CAGGAAACGGAAGCACAGAGAGAGTGACTAGGCCAAGGGTGTCCAGCTGGTAGCCTCTGCTGGGGTGTGCCTGCAACAAGGCTGCCCTCACCCCACCCTCTGCTTGGACCCTCGCCCTGGTGGCCTGTTCTTATTCAGGTCAATCTGACTGTTCTACTAAGGGACAATCTGTGTCCACTGGTCTCGTCCTGGTTTGGGGGGTGTCACAAAGAACCAGGCCAGATGCCCCTGGGCATCTGGCCCTTTAGATGCTAAAGGAAGTTCTCATACACCTCCCCTCAGTGTCTCTCTTCTGTTTCCCCAAGTGTGTTTAAATGTGATATCTGACTGTTTAACACTTTTAATGTGCCCTGCCTGCTCTGTGATTTTATTTCTCCTTTTATTTATTTATTTATTTATTTGGCTTCAGTTCTACCACCCTGCCCAACATTAACTTGAAGATTATACATATTTTTTTTTTAAGATTACAACATGCAGATGTTGCATATACTTTAAACTCCATGCTACATAATTTTTTATTATTTATATTGGTGTTGGCAAGCTTCTTCTATAAAGGGCCAAATGGTAAATATTTTAGGTTTTGTGGATCATAAATGGTCTCTACCACATGTTCTTTGTTTTTGTTTTTGTTTTTTCTAAGACCTTTTAAATACATAAAAGCCATTTTTATCTAGAGAGCCATACAAAAATAGGGTGTGGGCAGAGTTGACCTGCGGGCAAGTTTTCTGGCTTCTTTCTTTACAGTCAGTTTTATTTTGGATTTACCTACATATTTATTCTTTCTGTACTTCATTCCCTTTTACATGACCATGCTTCCCTCAGGAACCATTTTCCTCTTAGCATTTTGAATGTGTCATTCCACTGTCTACTGGCCCCCATTGTTCCTGATGATGGGTCAGCCGTAATGTTGGTCTCATTTATGTGAAAAGTTGTTTGTCTTATGCTATTTTCAAGACTTTTTCTTAGAAGGAGCTCCTACCCTTTGTGACAGCATGGGTGGAACTGGAAAGCATCATGCTAAGTGAAATAAGCCAGGTGGTGAAAAACAAATACCATATGATCTCACCTGTAACAGGAACCTAATTAACAAAACAAACAAATAAGCAAAATATAACCAAAAACACTGAAATAGAGAACAGGCTGACAGTGACCAGAGGGGAGAGGGGAGGTAATTTCAGGAGAAAAGGGGAAGGGTTTGCAGGAACAAATATAAAAGACACATGGACAAAAACTAGGGGGGGTGTGGAAATGGGAGGGAGGTGGGCTGGGCAGTAGGCTGGGATGGGAGTAAAGGACAGAAAACTGTACTTGAACAACAATTAAAATAAAAAAAAGACTTTTTTCTTGGCTTTAGAACTATACCTAGACACATTAGTTTTTATAGTTGATGTGTCCTGGTAAAATCTTCTTTGTGATTTTTCTCTATCTGAGGTTTTTTTTCCCATTTCTTCTGTCTGGCTCAATATTTTTCATCCATTGTGAGAAGGTTTCCGTTATTATCTCCTCAAATATTTTTCTGCCTCCTTCTCTCTGATTCTTCCAAAACTCGTTACCTGTATGTTCGTATGCTTGACAGCACACACAGGTCCTGAGGCTCTGTGTATTTTCTTAAATCTTTTTTCCTCTATTTCTCAGAAATGTCCTTTCTCTTGATCTGTCTTTAAGTTTATAGATTCTTTTTTCTGCCATCTTACATCATTTGCTGAGCCTGTCTGGGAAATCTTTCAGTTATTGTACTTCCAACTCTGGAATTTGTTATATTTATCATAAATATATTATAACTATGTAAATGTAAAAGAAGATACATAACTCTTCTATTTATTGAGTCTTAATCTATGTGTTTTTCTATAGTTCTCTGAACATAGTTTCTTTAATTCTTTGAACATTAATATATAAATATATAAACATATCCAACATCAGAGCCCACTTGGGATCAGTTTCCATTCACTGCTCTTTCCCTGGACACAAGACCAACTTTCCAGGTTTGAGGCAACTTTTGGTTGATACCCAAAATACCCAAACTACCCAAACATGTTTGATAAAACAGCGATTCTTGATTATGCTTTATTTTTCTGAGAGTCAGTGATTTATTTCTTAGTAACTTGCCTGGATTTAAACTGTGAAACCTGTCTCCCTCACTATGTGTAGCCACTGGTGTCTTTGCTCAGTTTTTTTATTTCTTGCATTTCTTTTTTTCACCCAGAATCTTTGGGGGCCGTGCCTGAGTCTGCAGGTTTAGTGACCAGCCAATGACTCGGAGAGAGGTCCCACTCAAACACTGTGCATTTGTCAGGCTCTGTTTACTGGTCTGTGAGCAGGCTGGAAAAGAAACACAGAGTTGCAGCCAACCCTCCAGCATCTCTTTGCTTTAATCTTACATGGGGCTCCTGCAGGTCTCCCCACCATGCACACAGATTCCTAGTCAGCCCGAACTGTGTGAAGAGCATACCTCAGCCCTTCTCATTGTGGGGGTTTCCCCATTAAACTGTCTGATGGGCTCACCTGTATCCCTGACAGGGAACAAATGTCAGGCTGGCAGAGCTGCAGGTGTTACCCATTTATTCCCACATTACTCCACCGCCTTTCACTGTCTGTTGTCTTGTTTTGTTTTGTTTTTTTCCTTTCTTATTTTCTGCTTACTTTGTGTTGCCTCCTGGTAATTATTTTTAAAATTAAATGTCAGGCATCAGATATGAATAAGTAGAAAGAATATCATGTTTGGGGTGGTGCTATCGTCTCCCATAAAGGCTTTACTCTTGCTTCGGGCAGGCAGGTCGAGACAGGTCACTGTCATCCAAGCTGGAGTCAGACTCAAACCCGTGATAAACATACACAGTGGACTAAGAAAGAATGTGACACAAAAGAATGAAATCTTACCTCTCGTAACAGCATGGAAGGGCCTAGAGGGTATTGTGCTCAGTGACCTATGTCAGACGAAGACAGAGACCATGTGATTTCACTTACATGTGGAATCCAGAGAACAAAATTAACAAACAAAATAGAAACACTCATAGATGCAGAGAACTGACTGACAGCTGACAGCGGGGAGGAGCTGGGGAGGCTGGGTGAAAGAGGCGGAGGGATTAAGAAGCACAGTTGATAGTTACAGAATAGTCACAGGGATGGAAATTGCAGCAGGGAGCATGCACAGTCAGTGATGTCATAATAACTATGTGTGGGGCCAGGTGGGCATTTGAAATATCAGGGGGACCACTCGATAAAGTACACGATTTTCTAACTACTATACTTCTGAAACTAATACACATGTAACCTGTAATGGAAAACTTGAAAAAAAAAAACCCAAAACCTAAAAAAAAAAGAGCCAGGCTTCAGTCTTTTCGGAGGCTGGCCTATTTCAAGTTTATCTCTGCTCCAAGGGTCTAGCTCTTGGAAGTCCCAACTGGAAGCCCGGGTCACTGACCACAGCCCCTCCTCCTTGATGGGCCCTGGACACCCGTGTCTTCCCCAGCCCCGCAGAGCTGCTGCGGCCCTGCACAGCACAGTAGCCTCCTGCCTTCTGGTACTGTTGCCTGTGATGCGGCAAATGCTTCGGGAGTAAAAACAGCATCAAATGTGGGGCTTACCCTATGTCTCTCTGACTTTGGGCCCCTCAAACTCTTGCTGCACTTTCAACTCTCAACAGATGGTCTCTCTCAATCTCTCTCCCCTCCCAACCTCTCCCCCTCCCACTCTCCCCCCTCCACCCCCTCCCCCTCAATGTGGAAACGTATAATAATAGAATGTCTATAGAGAAAAAAAATATGGTCCAGAATAGTCCAGAACAACTGCAGGAAAAATTGTAGGAATCCATCAACTCTCTTCAGAAATAACATCTTTGAGCCCCTTTAAGGCTTTTTAGAACTAGAGTCAGCACACGGGATCTCTCAGAGAAATCCTGCCTCTCTCAAGAGAAATGTCTAATTTCTGCTGCTATGGAATTGTGCCGATAGTGACATCTGTCTCCCTGGATTGTTCTGGCGGTAAAACAGCAGCACCTTTTACCCAGACTAACATAGTTCAGTAACTACTTTGTGCAGGCACTGGGCTAGATATTCTGCTTATATTATTTAATTTAAAATGTTTATAGAGTTCTGAGTATATTCACTGTCATAAAAATATATTTTTTAAGTTTTTATTACATTTTTATCCTCACCTGAGGGCATGCTTATTGATTTTAGAGAGAGGGGAAGGGAGGATGAGAGAGGGAGAGAAACAACCATGTGAGAGAGAAACGTCAATGGATTGCCTCTTGCATGTGCCCTGACCAGGGACTGAACCTGCAACCTAGACATGTGCCCTAGCCAGGCATCAAATGTGCAACCTATGGGTTTATGGGCTGATGCTCCAACCAAATGAGCCACACCAGCCAGGACCCAAAATCTCTTCCCTTCCCTCCCCTCCCCTCCCCTCCCCTCCCCTCCCCCTCCCCTCCCCCTCCCCTTCCCTTCCCTTCCCTTCCCTTCCCGTTTCTTTCCTTTTTGTTTCTTTTCTTTCTTTTAAAGAAAACTACTGTTTATATCAGGGGGTCAATGACTTTCTTTGAAGAGCCTTTTTTTCTTCTTCTCAGACTTGGAGTCTGGAAGACTAGGGGTGCTGAGTGGGGCATTTCTCAAAGGCCAGGAAGAGTCGGCTTTCTGTCTGTCCCCGTGCCAGGGCCACGCTGGCTTGATGACTGCGGCTTTAGAATGAGTCGTGGAGTTTTGCGGCGTGAGCTCTCTGACTTTGTTTGTCTCCTTTAATTTTCTGCTGGCTTTTAAGCTTCAAAATCAGTTTGCTGATATTCACAAAGGCTTTCACTTGTTTAAGTAGTTGGGGGAGAAAAGAATATTTCACAACACATGGAAATTTGATAAAATTCAAGTTTTCATCTCCATAAATAAGGTTAATTTGTTCGCACCGTGTTGGTGGCTCCTTTCGCGTGATGGCAGCAGAGCTGAGTAGTTGTGAGAGAGACCGTACGGTCTGCAAAACCTAAACCGCTGACCGCTGACCCTCTGCAGGACAGGTATGCCGAGCCCTGGTCCAGGTGCCAGACTCGGACTTACTTTCTCGGTTGCGAGCACGGCCCACGAAGCCAGACTGCCCATGTTCAAATCCTGCCATCACCATTTGCAGTCACCTTGAACATGCTGCTCAACCTTGCTGGGCCCTTACCAGTCAAGTGGGGACAACGGTTAGCTCCTGGAGTTGTGAGCATTCATTGAATTATCTTGTGGAGGTGCTTAGAATAGTGCCCGGAACATAGAAGCTGCGTATAAGAGCTGGCTACCCTATCGATTTTCGTCCTGGCTTAAAAATATTAGCAGAGTAGCCTCAAATCTCTGCCCTGCTCATTCATCTACCTCACTGCTCCCAGAGTGATGAGAATCTTAAAACACTCCTTCACACTCATCCCTTCAGAGACCCAGCACAGCTGCAGCTCCACAGCCCACCTGCTGTCTGTCTGCAAAGCCCCACCCACCCACCTTCCCGTGGCCTACTCCCAGTCACGTGCCCTGACCTCCAGCCTTTGGCAGTGGTCTGTGCACCGTTAATTGTACTATACTATTACTTACATATTTATAAGGTTAATGAGTCTGTTTTGTTTTATTGTATGTAAATTTTATTTTTTAAAAGTAAAAAAAATAAAGGTTTAAAAGACCGGCCCAAAGCAAGCGGAGACGAGGGTAGCGTCTTTGCAGACTCCCTACCTGCTTTTCTGCCCTGTCACCTACGGCCCCGAGGCCCCAGGACACAACCCCTGTCCAGCCGTCACGTGCGGTCCCGGCTGCTGGGAATCCCATGAGCCGCCTTTCTCCTAAGCTCGCACCACTCATCAGCCTGTTCCAGAATGTCCTTCCCCTCCCCATCCATGTCCTGGCTTCCCAAACAACAGCTGCTATCTGTCCAACGTTACCTGCCTCGGGAGGCCTGCCCGTTGCTAAGGAACCAAGAAAGGAATCCACAGTGATGTGCATGCATGTGGGGCGGGGTCGTTGCAGACCCTTGGCAGGTGACACGTTCATTTTCAGCCTGGTGATTCTTTAATGGTCTGCGTGCATGGACGTGCAGGGTCCCAAACAGCGGAGGTGACAGCCGGAGAATTGGAATCCAGGTTTTCCCTAACTCGAAGGATGCTGATGAGCTGGGCACAAAGCCCTGGTGGGAGGAAGGGCAGGAAATGTACAAATCTGGGTGGGAGTCAATTCCAGCTAAATAACTGGAACTGTATATTTTTGCTTTATTTTAGGGACCACCCAGGCCCATGCCTTTCCTGGAGAGAATACATTGGAAGAACAGCTGTGTCCAGAGGTGAGGGCTGTGTCCTCTTCGGAGGGCTGGCGGGGTCTCTTCCAGGGGGTGAATCCAAGTCTCCATGCAAGTTGGCAGGTTCCTTCCTCGAGGGAATGGGCTGGATGAGCTGCTTCCCGCAGGGGCAGTCTGGCTGCCTGGCAAGACAGAGACAGCGCGCCGTCCCTCCTGGAGCCTGGGGGCCCATCATTCCTGAAGACTGAGTGGGTGGTTCCCAGAAGTGTCCAGAAGGAGCTGTAAATGGGCTTGTTATCTTTGTGAACCTTGAAGCAGCGGCCTTGAGTTATCTGAAGGCAGCTGGGTAAGGTCTTCCCAGAACATCCCCAAGATAAGGGTTGAGAGTAAATGCTCTATCTCTTCCTGCAATCAGTAACTGAAGAGGATTAGCCTGTGATAGTGAGGCGTGGTCCAGGGACTCAGTTACCACCTGTTTTCCTTTGTAGGAGAACAGTGCGTCCTCCGTGTCGTCCATCGGGTTCCTGTAACTGCAGGGACCGACTTGTAATGAAACCACTTTTACCATAGGCCAGCTGGCATAAACAAGAGTTAAGGTGCTATGGCATCACATCAACTTTACAAGTTGAATGAGATGACTTCAGTTAAGGACCTGCTGTATTTCCTCTTCCACTCTCAATGGTGGGGAGAAAACATCCGATCTCCCCTCCCAAAGCCTGTGATGTGATTCACAGAAGCAGAGGCTGCTCTGGACCCCTGCAAGCACCTGAGGAGCTCGAGTGGCCCGGAGGACCAGAGCCCTGGTTGCCCAGCCCCTCCTCTGCTCTTGGCAACCCTCTGGGCTTAGGACAGGCCAACCCCGGGGAGAGACAGGTCTCCAATGTCAAGTTCACCCAGTTTCTGGCAGCACACAAACATAATGCCTCAAATACCCACTTATGTGTAAGAAATCAAAGGAGAGAAAGGAGATAATGCAAATCAATATAGCATAGATGAATTTTTAAATTTAATTTATTTTTAGAGAGAGGGGAAGGGAGGGAGAAAAAAGGAGAAAAACATTAATGCAAGAGAGAAACATCCATCGGTTGCCTCTTGCACACACTGCAACTGGGGACCAAACCCACAACCCAGGTGTGTGCCCTGACCGGGAATCACACCAGCGACCATTCGGTTTGTGGGACAACGCCCAACCCACTGAGCTGCACCAGTCAGGGCACATAGATGAATTTTTTTAATCTTTTAGTCTAGGGACTTTGGGTCTCTTCTTAAAGGTTTTTTTTTTTTACTGTGATCAAATGTGCATAACATAAAATTTACTGTTTTAATTACTTTTGAGTATATAATTCAGTGGCATTAAGTTCAGTACATTCACATTGCGTGACCATCATTACTGTCTACCTCCGGGACTTTGTCGTCATCCCAAGAACTGAGTTTTACTCTCCCTCCTTCTCCATCCCACCTGCTAAAGTCATTGTCAGAGGGCACGGGTCCTCTTGTACTGGGTGAGCAGGGATTAGTGAGACCATGACTGTGGCCAGTTGCTGCGTCTGGATTTTGAGTCTCGATAGAACAAGACGGTCCTTTCTACACCAAGCTGCCTGGACCCGCAGCAGCCCCACATAAGGCAGCTGATGTTCCTGCTGTTCGGTTGTGTTTGCAGAACCCGGAGACCTTTCAGTTCCTGTGTGACCCGAAGAAGTCAGGCTCCGACGCGCCTGCTACGTCAGGTGGGTGACCCTGAACCGTGGCGCCGGTGTGGCTGGCAGAGGCTCTGACCCTACATCTCTTGTGCCTTTTGGCCATTCAACGCCTCCCTCTTTCCCGTCCTTAGTCCCTAGGCCCTTCTGCTTTTCCCCTCACTTATTTCTATGGAGGGACGCGGACCGACGGACCAGTCGGAGATGAAGCCAGCATGGCCCACGGTGCCTGGCTGATGTGGGCGGCCTCCGGGAGCGCTCGCCTGCAGGGGGCAGGCAGTGTCATGGGAGTGGCGGGCTGGAGGCCAGTCCCTCGTGTGCCTTCCCCAGTTCTGTAAGGTAGCCACAGTGGCTGCTCTCGGCACTTGCCCCCTGTAATGGGCTACGTTTGTCTAGCACCCGGATGCTCTGCATGCTGCTCTTAAGCTGGCCATGGCCTCTTGCTTTATCCTATTAAGAGACCAAGTCATACACGGTTTAGAGGCTTTATTTACATTTGCATTGCGCTGACTTCCTAGGGTCTGCAGTTAAGCGTGTCATTCTTTGCACTCTGTTTTACGAGGAGAGTGGGCAGAAAAAGACATCTGTGCACACGACTTAGGGAATGGCTTCTTTGGGAGCCCCTAACATGACCAGGGAGCAAGTCAGAGGTTTCTGGGGAGACTTAATTATAAAAGTGCCGGCCACCCAGATGCGTCGAGGAGGCTTCCTGGGGGACCCTTTGCAGGCCGCTGGCATCTGATGTTCATGTGTGTTCATAGTCCTGAGGGCTGTTCCCTGGCAATCTTCGAGCCAATGGGATCCCTTGTGTACCCAGGTGGTTTGCATTTTAATTTTGCCCTCTTATTAGTGGTGGTCCAGAAATACAGAGCCGTGGAACAGGTGAGGGGGGAAATAAGGGCCATGACAGACCTTCCTTGGGACACATTTGGGAGACCTTGACATCAGTTCATAGTGTGGCCTCTGGAGAGGAGGGAGCCTCTTCTGAGCAGATTCCCAGGCCCCCACCGACCGCCTGGTCTTCAGTTCCCCGCTCCCGTGGCTGAAGGACTCAACCTCTGCCTCTGTCCTCTGCCTGGGGGCCTTGGGGCGACGCCTCCTATTTGGTGTCCTTGGCCTTCATCGTGGACGATGCAGACCTAACCTTCTTACCTGGGTCCTTGTCTTTGCAGTCCACTCCCTGAGACCTTCTGATATCAGATTTGTGGCAGGCATTGGCGATGTGGAGACTGTGAGTATTTCGAGAAGATGGAGGTGGGAGGCAGGGTCTGGGGCTGGTGACCCTTTGAAGGAGCTCCAGGTCGCCCGGCAGGATATTTCGTTTTGGGAGAGAAGCTTATTCTCTGAGTTGGAGAAATGCTATCATCCAAGGGGTTGTGAGTCTTCTTTTTTTTTTTTCTTTAATCAAATCAATGCCTCCCTTTACGTTCAGGTTAGAAAACTTTTGGAGTTTCTCATTAATAAATTAAACCCACTGATTGATAAATTAAGTCAAAGATCACACTGAATTTTAAAAGTAATCTCTTAAACTTTTTATTTGTAAGATAAAGAAAAAAAACTGGTAAAGTTTTGAAAATGCATGCATCCTTGCTAAAACGTTTTAAGTGGTATGTTTCTCATGTCGGAAGGAGACAGAAGGTGATAAAAGAGGAGACGGGGAGAGAGGAACCCGCACAAAGAGAGGCGTCTACAGACCAGGGAGGTGGGCGGCAGAGTGATGCCAGAGTCACTGCCCGCCCTGGCTCCCCACAGTGCCCCCTGCCCTGGTCTGAGTGAAAGCCCACAGCCCTGCTGCCCACAGCGCCCCCCAGTCCCAGTGGCCCCCAGCTGGACAGACCACTTGCCAGGCATCCTCTGCTCTGCCCCAGAGTCCTGCCGTCCCTCCCACACCCGAGCCAGGGCATTCCTCTCCCTCTAGCGTCATCTGCTCCCCACAGTCTCTCCCCTGGTCCTGCTGCAGACGGTACTCCCTGCGACCTCAGCCCCTTCCCTCAGGCCACCTCCCTGCAGGCCCCAGCCCACTGCCCCCAGCACAGTGGTGGCCGGATGCAAAGTATGAGACTTCACCTGAGAAACCCCAGTGAGACAGGCAGGCAGAGCTCCCTACCCTTGTTTTCTCCTAGAGGTGCTGGTGGTGCTGAGGCTGCCTGTGTGACTCTGTGTGTGCGCGTGTGTGTGCATGCATTGGGGTGAGGGTGGCAGTTTACTGCTGGGAGAGACGTGAAGGGGGAGGTGGGAGTAAGCGGGAAAAGACATGTTCATGTCACGGACAGAGCGTTGACCTTGCGGAGCCAGTGCTCAGCGCCCAGCCCCGGCCCCGGCATGCTGACGGTAGCATTCCCGGGTCTGGACGGAGTGCCACGCCCCCGAGGACTGTGTTCTTCCACTTCGGGCAGGAAGTTCCCGCAGGAAAATCTCCACCCAAGTCAGGCTTCCAGTTACCTGCAGCCAATCAGTGACTCCCGCTCTGTGGCCCCAGCTCTGAAAGAGCTCCAAATTCATGAATTATTCAGAACCCCCCGCCCCCCCACCCCCAGCTCCAGCCTGTCACTCAATTCATCCTTTCTCCGGTGAGCCCGAGGCCCTAGGTGACGGAACACAGCTTCAGTCCAGGGCTGTTTCCCGGCCCCAGAATCATTACCGTGACACTGACACTGACGGGCACCGCAGCCTTCAGGACAAAGCCTGGAAGCCCAGCTCCCCTGAGGCCACCCCCCTCTGCCTGCCCCGTGGGTGGGCGGGTGACTCCCGGCTGTTGTGAGCCTAGCCTGGCACCTAAAAAGCCAGGCTTGGGAAAAATGAGACTGAATTTCAAGTGGAAAAAGTCCGCAATGCGGATGCTTTTGCTTTGAGATCCTGGGGCTTTTTGTAACTGAGGACAGACACTTACCTCTGTCAGTGGCCAGCCCTTGTTTGTTTAATTGCTCCGGACTCTCTTTTCGTCAGAGAACTAAAATATCAGATCTGTAAATGTTTGTAAAAATTGTTTTCAAACTAGCACTTGTGATTCGTGTTTAATATAAGCAAAAATCAACCACAATGCGTGTGTATATTGAAGACCCCATTCACTGCTCCTACGCGTCTGCCTCAGTGCGTGTGCGGGCACACGCCCACACACGCACATTTGGGACGGGGGAGAGGCTGCCCTGTGTGTGCGTGACCTAAGTAAGGTCATCCTGTAATACGTCGTCCGCATTTTGGGCGTTGACTAAGTGTCGGAGACATTTCTCCATGCCAGGGACGTTACTATCCACTCTGTCCCACACCGTGAAGGCGGGGCCTGTGTCTGACTTCCCTTTGCGTCCCCCATGCCAGGCCTGCCACAGGGCTAGGTCTTGCAACCAGGCGTTCGGCCAGGGGAGGGTGGGGAGGGAGTGCGGCTGTGGGCACGGTGGAGCCGCAGGAGTGTGCTGCGTCGGCCCGCGTTACCTTTCTCCCCAGCTCTTCTGCCCACTCTGAGCCTTGTTCCTCTTACTCTCCCCTTCTGCTCCCCTCCTCACCTACCCTGTCCCCCACCCCCACCATCGAGCTTGTCCTGAGCGAGAGCTCTGCTGTGGGTCAGACCCCCTTGGGTCAGGCACAGGTGTCCCTGTGGCCTCGGCCCCAGGGCCGGGATCCGGGGGTGGTGGGGGGCTGCTTCCCTCAGGACTCCACCTGCTGGCATCTTTCTTTGTGATCCCTGACTGGCGTTGTGGTGTGACTTTTATTTAACTGGTTATCCTTCCCTGGAAATGTTGCCTTTCGCACTCCTCCTCACTGAGGACGAGGGACTCCCGGGAAATGACATGGCCAGCCTGTCCTGCTGAGGGGCTCCTCGGGTGTGACCCAGTTTTATAGACTGGCTGTCGTTCGCGCTGGGGGGATATGATGACAGTACTGAAGGGAAGTGGCAGCAGGCCGGGTGTGGGCAGGGTGGGCACAGCTGTCAGCACCGCACCTGGAGACTCTGTCTTCTAGGGATTAACGTCTCTGAAAATAATAACACTGACAATAGCTCCTGTGCACTGAGCACCCTCTATGTCCCGGGAAGGACTCCAAACGTCCCTGGGACCTTGCAAAAGACCCTCTCCCTGGTGGGGGGAGGGGCGGGGGGGCGGGTCACCACAACCTCGCCTCCAGCCCTACGGCCAGGGCACGTCTCCAATAGAGAGGGTCCTGTGCCATCCAGCACTTTACCAAGAGGAAAATCAGAAACTTATTTCATTCACTCAGCTAGTATTTATTGAACCAATGTTTACTGAGTACTTATGATGTGTCAGGCACTGTTCTAGGCCCAAGAAACATAGTCCAGAGCGCAGACCAGGCAGACTCCTGCCCTGGTGCTGCTTACGTGCTCCCCAGGGGCCCAGGCAATGAACCAAGTTAGCTGTAGAGGATGGACAGTCACACAGTCTCTTTTGTTTCTAGTTAGAATATTCATACGGTTTTACCGTGCATTTAAATCTACGCTCTCCAGCACCTGCTCTCTGTTCTGAGGGAAACACGCCCACCTCCTATTTCTCTGGGTTCTGACGCCCCTGATGCGGAGGAAGCCTGATTTTCTTCCCTCCCTGCAAAACTAGCATGGGCAGTTGGACCTTTCTGCCGACCCATGGCCCCCGGGAATCCGTGACAGGGCCTGTCTGACAGGCAGCTGCGGTCTCAGGGGCACAGACGGGCTCCGCCCCCTCCCCTGGCTGCATTAACGCCACCTCCTATCTCTTCCAGAGAGCAGACTCGGGGACAGCCGGCGCAGAGGAGCAGCCATGGTAACTATGCTGGAGTCACAGAGCAGCAGAGCTGGGCGGAGCCTCTGAGGATCTGCTCCCCTTGCTCCACTGACGGGGAAACCCCAGGCCCGGGGAGAAAAGGCCTTGCTCCAGGCTCCCCCAGGAGCAGGTGTCCCTTAGGAGCAGGGCCAGAACCCAGTCTCCTGCCTCCTGTGCCATCGAGCAACCCCGGGCTCCTCTGGGTGAATGGGAGGAAAAGCAGGGAACACGCATGTGGGATTCTCGCTTCCCACCAGCAGCCAGGTGCCCCTGCTCTGCTCAGGGGGCAGCATGTGGGGTGGACCAGGGCCAGCCTCCTTCTCCACCGGGGGCCACAGCCCCTTCCAGCTCTGGGCCAGATAAAGCTGTGCACCTGTCCGGGCGGCTCCATTGCCATCTGAGCTGTGTCTCCAGGGGGGGTCACTGAAGAGGCGGAGCCAGGCTGAGCTGGAGCGTGTCAGGGAGCAGAGCATAGCAGCCCGGGAGAAGGGTGGCGGGCAGGTGACAAACACAGCCTGACCCGTGCCTGTTCCCTTCTAGCTGCAGGACCCGAACTAGGCCACAGCAGGCGTGCGTGGACGTGGTGACAGGTGAGTTCTGGGCATTCATGGCCAGACTCCAGACTCGTGGCCAGGTCCCCGTCTCTCCTGACACCGCCGCGTTGTGCTAAATGAAGAGATGTTCCCCTTTGGCCACTTTGTCATGGGGCCTAAGGAGAAAAGGGAAGGACAGACAGGGAACCTGGGTATGAAAGGTCAATGTACCCTGGAAGGAGGGCCTGAGAACTGTGTCTGAGGGTCCCCAAGCAAAGAGGACCAGGAGGCTTTGGTAGGTTAGAGGACGTGGGAGGGGCGTCGGGAGAGGCCCAGGCCAGGGTCCCGAGGCTCCGTCTCCCCTGTGACCCCAGAGCTGGACAAGCAGTGCTTCACCTGGGGAACTGCCCCCACCACCCCTGTTCCCCGCTCCCCACCCCCGCCGGGAGAAGACCTGGTCTATTGTTCCTTTTGTAACAACTCCCTCACTTACAACTATGTCAGTTGGATTCAGAAGAAGGAAGGAAATGAAAGCCACCTGTATCCCACTGTCTGGAGATCATCATTGTAATGTTTTGGCCTTTTTACATAAGAATGTGTTTATAATAGGCCACCCGTAACCTGTTTTTTCCCATTTAACATGGGAGCCCCCTGTGACTGTATTAGGTAATCCTGAAACCTCGAGTCCCTTAACACCGGCTGAATTAGCCCAGCGGGATGTGAGAGTCACCTGTTTGGTGCTCACGGTCACTGCCAAGGAAGCCACTGCTGACAGCTGGAGTGAGAAGGCTCAGACGCAGTGTGTGTGCCCTGCAGAGCGGACACTCCTGTGACAGCAGGGGCAGTGAGGGGGCTAGTGTCTTGCTGGTTCAGCCAGTGAGCTTCACCAGGGCCTGGGAATCGCGAGGCTCCTGCAGAGGGCAGGGGTGAATCAGACACTGGCTGCTTGCAGCCCTCCCCTTCCGGCAGGGGATCCGGGGGCCTGGTGTTCAGCCCTCCAGGACCCGATCAACAGGCGAGGGGATATTGGTGGCCAAAGTGGTAGGAGAGTCCCCTGGGAAAGGGTCGAAGGATTCTGAAAGTGGAGCCCCTCCCCCACCCCTGACTGGGTGGCTGTCCCAGCTCTGCCTGGGGTTGGCCCTGTTTTCCCTTAAACGGAAGGGGAGAAAGAAATGCAATGGCGTATTTGTGGTGTCTAGGAGGATCAGATGTAGTTTAGACCCTGAAACCACAAATACAGCTGCTTTGCCTGATTTTGCAATTTGCCTCCTCTTTTTGTCCCTTGCCCACCCGGTAACGAGTCCTGACTGCCCGTCCTTAAGCAGAGTGACCAGGAGTCCCACCTGGCCGGAGATGCCGCAGAAGGCAGGGCAGTGAGAGCAGAGCGGGCACCTGGATGTCCTCAGAGGCAGCACTTCCTGTAGCTGCCAGTGAATCCGGCCCACCGAATGCGGGGGAGGCGGGGAGGAGAGGAGCGCAGGGCCGGGAAGTTCCGCTGGTGGCTGGGCCTGCAGAGGAGCGCCTGGTCTTCCCGGGGGAAAGGGCTCTAGGGACAGCTCTGCCCACGCAGTGTGTGAGGGCCGGCCCGAGCTCAGCCCGCCTGTCCTTCAGCCCCAGGACCGCAGAGCTCTCCGGATCCAGCCGTGCCCTCGCCCACCACAGCCAGTGTGCAGATGGGGACACTGAAAAGGGGCGGGGAGGGACTGTCTCAGCGCGAGACAGGGTCCCTGAGAAGACAGGTGGCCCAGCCCCTCGGAGAGCCAGAGAGGGGCGGACAGCACAGAGCAGGCGCACAGCGGATGTCGATGGAGTGACAGGCAGGTTTGGGGGAAAAGAGCCCCGGTCCTGTTCGACCAGAGAAGCCACATGATACAAATGCCGTTAGTTAGAAAGCAATTCTCTTCCAAAGACTTAGCACTGGGGAGGTCGTTCGCCCTCACAGACCATCCTGATGCCAGGGAGGAGAAGGTCCCCCCACACACTCGCTCTCACACACACACTCACACTCATTCACACACTGTCACACACTCTCACACTCATACTCATTCACACACTCACACACTCAGCCATTCACACACTGTCACACACACACTCATACTTACACTCTCACACTCACTCATACTCACACTCATTCATACTCTCACACTCAGCCATTCATACACTGTCACACACACTCTCATACTTACACTCACACTCATATACTCATTCAGAGGCTCTAACACCCAGTCATTCACACTGTCACACACACACACTCACATACATTCACAATCCCACACTCATACACACACTCATACTCACACACACGGACATGTGCACACACACACACTGTCCTGTAGTCGTCCACTGGCCCCAGAGCTTTTTATTTTCTCACCACGTGTGAGAGTGGGCTCCTTCCCGGGCTGGCCAGGGCTTATACAAGGGAGCTCAGCAGTTTCGGCTGAGGATGAGGACGACTGAGCCACACACACAGCTTTGAGTGGCTGCCCAAGCTGTCGATGCCGAGCGGCCAGTCTCCTGGCGCCCAGCCCAGCTCTGCTGCCCCCACGCCCTCCTGCCTGCAGCGTCAGCTCCTTCAAGGAGCCTCCAGCGCTGCCTCCTGGATCCCGCTCCCGCGGAGCCCCCGGCACCCCTGGGTGGGGGCAGAAGGAGGGGAGAACTGAGAGGGGGCGGGGGCGCCTCCCTCCCGTGACACTCTCCCCGCTGTGCCCTCTCCTCTCTCGGGAGCAAGACACAACCGCGCTGCTCCTGGCAGCACTATTTTTAGCGGTCCTCTGGCTGTCAGCTCTGGGACATATTCCCTGTCGCTCCCGGAGCTTTCCCAGCCTGCTGTCACTCTCAGGAGGGGCGAGGGGCTGGGAGGCAGCCTGCCCAGCACACTCTCCCCACTGGGTCGACAGCACACAACTCCAGGTAGCCTAGAGACCTCGGGTAGGCTGTGTACCTGCTCCTAGCCTCAGTTTCCCCTTCACAAGTATAAGGCGCTCAGCACTGAGCCTGGTCTAGCCCTTGAGAGAGATTAATTTTTAGCTCAGTTCGCTTCCAGGGGCCTGCTGCGAGGCTGACCTCACAGCCTAAGGCGGGTGTGAAGGGCAGGGTTTTGGAACAGGGGCAGCCACCCTGGGCACTTCACCCCCGAGGGGTCAGTCTCTACAGGTGACCCCTGACCATCAGAGCCGCACCCTCACACCAGCTCCCCCTTTAGCCCTTTCAGACATCATCAGACACTTCAATCCGTCTGTGCTGAGGCCCGTGTGCCCCCTGGGGGAGAGAGCGGTGCCCCACAGTGCTGCTGAGTAAGTCCCTTCGCTGGTCCTCCCAGGGCTGTGCGCTCCCATCGGTCTCGGGCATCTGGGCAGGAGGACGGGGGTGGGGGCTGGACTAGTCGAAGAGGCTTAAAAGTAGAGATCTGTATTAAGCCAAGGCCAAAATGCATCTCCTGTGCTGACCTAAGTCTCCCTGATGGGCCTAATGTTAAAAATCAGGTCAGGGTCTGCCCTCCAGAAGCCAGGGGTGGTACAGGGCAGCTTTGAACTCAGAGCCTGGCTCTCGGGCTGGGGCAAGGGTCAAGCTTCCAGCCCTGGGCAAAGTTGTATCTAACTGATCTTCTCTCTACCCACCTCCCTCCGTGCAGAGACTTGTGGGCTCAGGCGAAAGAACTGGTGAGGAGCATGCAAGAGAACCAGGTAGGACTCCGCCCGGCTCTGTGGCTGGGGCTGCGCGTGCCTGCCGAGAGGCACTCGGACCAAACACTCCAGGCCGCTGTGGCCCCGCGGCCGTTGTGCCCTGAACTCAGCCACCAGCGTGGCCAGGGCGCTCCTCACATGCTCTTCCTGGAGGCTGCTGGAACACAGGGCCACCTCTTAGGTGCACAGTGGTGGTCTGTGTGGTAGCAGAGGGCCTGCGTGACTTCCCACTTAGGGAGGTGGGAGAGAGCTTGGCCCAGAGGGAGAGCGGTTTAAATGGGAACCCTGAGTTCTTCACCTGCTCGCTGTATAATGTTGGTTAGGGCACTTAGCCTCTCTAAGCCTCAGTTTTCCCATTTGTGAAGTGGGCATAACGAGAGGCTGTAGCACAGGACTTAGGAAGTAGTAAATGAGGTGGTGGCCGTGCCTGGCACAGAGGCAATGCTCCGTGAAGGCCTGTAGCTGTCATCGTTGCAGAAGTGGTGGTGGTGGTTGTTATTAATTACCGTGTTTAGTTCTCAGGTGGAGGGGTGGAGGCCTCTGTGACCTGGCCGGGTGCCTGGGCGACATGCCGGGGGCCTGGTACCCAGCTGGCTCTAACCAAGCACTGAGCCTGGACCACTGGAACCAAGGGCAGCGCCGTCCCCATCAGCCACGTGCTCATTAAAGAGCTCAGGCGTTAAAGCCGGGTCATTGCAGGTTATACAGGGACAAGGACAAATGCAGGGGATATGCCATAGAGAGCTGGTTTCCTGCCCTGACCAGTGTGTAGCTCAGTGGGTTGGGCATCATCCAGCAAAGCAAAAATTTGCTGCTTTGATTCCCAGTCGGGGCACATGCCTGGTTTGATCCCTGGTTGGGGCATGTACGAGAGGCAACCAATCGATGTTTCTCTCTCTCTCTTTTCCTCTCCCTTCCCCTCTCCCTAAAAATAAATAAAAGTTTTAAAAAATTGGTTTCCCCCCTAACAAGAGAATGCCAGAATTTCTGGAGTAATCACAACATTCCGGAACATACCTGGGGGGTCTTGAATCTAGCCCTGTGATTTTATAGATGAAGAAACTGAAGTCTCAGGGATTCATGGGAAGTCCGAGTCCACACAGCCAGTCAGAGCTCAATCCAGTGTTTGATTTGCAGTCTCGCACTCCGCACCTGCATCACGGTGCCTTTAAAAGAGCAAAACAAATGTTTATTTTTTTGTTCCACAAGTGATACGTGTTTATTACAGAAAAACCAGAAAACACAGGTAAACAAAAGGAATCTTACCCAGAGATAATTGCTGTTGATAACTCAGGGTATAACCCCTTCCATTTTTTTTTCCAAGCACATTTATTCCAAACACATGTGTATATTTTATAAAACAGAGCTGTTACTAGATGTAGATACTTTTTATAACCTGCTTTTCTAACTGTGATATTTCTTCATGACAATGTTACATTTTCCAACACCATGTTGATAGCTATGCAGTGTTTTGTATAATGAATGTTCCACAGTTTCCACAGCAATTCCCTATTTTAGACATTTATGTTGTTTCCATTTTTTTTAAGAAATCATGCCTAGCTTGAGATTCTACTTCTTTTTTTTTAAGATTTTATTTATTTATTTTTAGAGAGGGAAGGGAAGGAGAAAGAGAGATAGAGAGAAACATTAATGTGAGGTTGCTGGGGGTCATGGCCTGCAACCCAGCCATGTGTCCTGACTGGGAATGGAACCTGTGATACTTTGGTTCGCAACCCGCGCTCAATCCACTGAGCTACGCCAGCCAGGTCATGTTTCTAGTTTTTTAATGTTAGAAACAAGGCTTCATTGATGCAGCTAAACCTTCTGAGCATCCTTATTTCCTTAAAAGACATTTGGAGAAATGGAATTGTTGGACGAAGGGTATGCCCTTAAAATTTTTTAAAGTAGATTTTGCCAAATTGCTTTTGAGAGCAGTTATACACATTGAGTTACCCACCATATACTTTAAAAAGTCCATAAATAGGATTTTACGCATGTGGGTGTGTGAAACTGAAAAATAATGTAAAGAGCGTTCTCTTGGAAGCAGGTCTTACCACCATCCCTTTCTGATGCCGTTGCCTTTTTCTTCAGCAACTTGACTTCCAAAATGACTGGAAGCTCATCAACGTGTTCTTCACTAACACCAACCACTGCCACCTGTGTCTCTTCACCCAACAGGTAAGCCACAGGCTGGGGTCAGAGGGACGGCAGTGCCTTGGGGGGTGCAGAGCCAGTGAACTAAACCTGCCTGATCTGTACCTGGGCGGGGCCTCGTGGCACCTATTGCACAGTTTGGATGGATGGATGCATGGATGCATGGATGCATGGATGGATGGATAGGAACCATGTACAGGGACAGGTGGTGTAACTCACCCGTCTTTCCTATCAGGTAAAGGGAACTGAGATGTAGAGGAAGGAGCTCAGCCAATGATCATGCTACACTTGAGAAGTATTGGCCTCCTAGGGAAAAAGCATTGTGCCTATTTTAACTCTGATTTCATTTAAGCACTGGATTGAGGGGTTAAAGCAAGGCATGCAGTCTCTTGAGCTGTAGTTCACCGAGAGCTCTGGCTGTGATGGGAAGCCCACTGTTCACATGTGTAGACCATCCTGCAGGCTCTCTGGTGTTCCCGGATGCAGGACTTGCAACACGTGGCTTCGTTTGTTGTTTCTGTGGGTGACTATTTAGCACTTATGTCCTGACAGACGGTTGTCCAGGTGAGGATCAGTTGAGAGTGGAAGGGTTGGGGAGACACCTGGGCTATGATGATGTAAATGGCACACATGTTCTTCAAGGGCCTGCCGTCTGGTTGACACCACGCTGTCCTTGCCACTCATGACAGACCAATTACCTGCCGCCATCCTCCCAGCCACCGTAGGGCCTCTGCCAGGCCATGGCACAGGCACGGGTGAAGTTTCTGGGGTGCTGCCTTCCTCCGACCTGTGCCCTTCTCGCACGACATACACTCTGGCCTTCTTCCAAATGCCCTGTGTTCCCCCTGAGTGGGACCGAGGTCCCTCCACCCAACCCCTTCCTTTGGTGATGCTGGGCCCTGGGAAAATGCAGATGGCAGCCCACCTCACCAGAGCAGCCCCTGTTGAAGGATAGCCCGACACATCTCCTGGGTTTGTGGGATATAGATCTTGAAGGTTCATTGTTCTACTTCACCCTCTGTTTTCTCCTATGCAAAGTGAAGCTCACAAGCCCTGTTTATTCTGTGCCCTCTTTTTGGAGACAGTGCACCCCGAAATTTCTGCATGGATTTATGTATTCATGCGAGCTCTTAGGCATTGCTGTAGCCCTCTGTGTATCCATTCATCGACCTGCCCATCTGTGAGTTGTCTCTTTGTGCGGGAATTCACTTTCCCTTTTTACGTGCAGGCACGTGCTGTTGTATTTAGGGTGAGTTCTGTTCCTGCTGGCTTTTGTTTGACTTTTAAATATTCGAATGCCTTCACAGATGCGTACACTCGTTCACGATTTCTCCCCTATGCTTTCGAGTTCAAGCGTCCAAATGTGAATTCTTGCTTTCTTTCACGTACTTATGCTTGGAAGCATTCTTGGCTATGAGGCCTTCCTGCACCTGCATGTACTCATTCGGTTACTGTTGCTAATTTTCAGTTAGATCACCAAAGCACAAATGTTTCTCCTTAAAATAACTAAAATATGACAGTTAAAGCTACAATGTCACCTCCAATCCTCTCCCTCTTTTCATTTCCAAGCCTCTTACATATCTGTGAATCTTAGTATATAGTATTTTGTGTGTATGTGCAAGAGAAAGAGATTTAACACAGATAATATTAGATCATGAACAATTTTTTCACTGACCGAATATTTTTAAAATATAGTCATGCTGATACACATAGATCGAGTTTGTTCCTGTTACTTGCTAAATAGTATCCCACTGTGTAGACCTACTAAGCTGTGTTGCATCATTTCCCTACTGATGGCCATGCAGGTATTTCTAGTTTTGTTCATTTCCCAGAATGTGTGTGTTTTCCCGAATACAGTGATTTTCAGGTTGCAGATTGAAATAAACTAGTGGGTCAAAATTAAATTTAAAGACTGCAATCAAAATGATAAAAATAGAAAAAGAATAGACTGTGAAATGTTACAGTCAATTACATGTTGTAAGGTAAATATTGACTCATGGTTTTTGGGCTTTGTTTCCTGCAGAGGTGTGTGCCTTGGGTGGTAATGTGACATATTTCTTACTCCGTGGGTCATGCTTGAAGTGATTGGGAGAAAAGTCCCTAGAACAGAGTCTTAAACAGAATCGCTAGTCATCAGGCACACACTCTTTAAGTTGTAACGGAGGCTGCCCGGTTACCGTGCGAAGCAGCTGCACCCCTTCCATCCTTCCGGTGTCGGGGGTCTCACCCCCGACAACTTCCCCAGCACTTGTTATCAAACTGTCAGTATGTGCAGTCCCTCCAACATGTGGACACCTAGTCAGGTTGGCAGGTGCGGATTTATTCGCACCTTAGGACCTCAGCTGGGCCGTCTGCTCCACAAATTTAGTTCATCGTGCCAATGCTTATTTGCATCTACTCAAGTTCCCTTTTTCCTGCATTTTTTCCCTTTTATCTTGATTTTCCTTTTGCGCAAAGACCACCAAGTCTTGGGAGCCGGGAGTAAGTCCCACCTCCACTTCCGTTTCCCACACAGGACCCTGTGGCTCCCGGCTGGCTCCGGGCTGCCCACTGTGGTGAAACAAAGATGCTTCTAGGGCTGGACGCTGACCACTCTTCTGTGAAGTCTGGTTTGTTGTGAGTAAGATGAAAGCAGCAGTCAGAAGAAGAGACAAAATGAAGAAAAAACACATAGTCAGGGGCACCACAAGAAAATCGACGCATTTATTTGTCACAAATGCCTTTAGAAGCAGTGGAGGCTACTCGGGTATCTTCTGACTGAACAATCCTACTCCTTGGAATAATCCCAAGGAAAAAAATTATTAGAAAAAGTTAAGTTTTGTCTCAGGCGCAGGTTTCATAATAGAACATTCTTCTGACTGAAAGCAAAAGATATAAATAAAAATGTGCAAATCCATTTGGGAAAATAAGCTTTTCCTGACTTTGGATTCAAGGGGGAGTCTATTACATGTGCCCTTATAGACAAGGGACGTTTTGTAAGAATGTAGTGTCTTCCACCACGGACCAGGGACAGTCGGGGCCCAGGCGACCACCACGCAGTCCCTGCAGTGACTGGGTGGCCCCATTCCCTCCGTAGCCATGAATACGCCCTGGGCTGAGAGGCTTCTATAGCAGGGTCTGCAGTTGGGACAGCAGCACCCAGGGTGATGATGACCTGAATGTGGGCATCCAGGAGCTTTCTGGACAGACAGTCCCCAAGACTCTTCAGAGGGAAAATGGAGACGCTTAAGGTCCCGTTTAGAGAGCCTCACTGAGACTGAAGGAAATGAGGCACCAGGCTTTGTTGCTAGTTGTGGCAACAGAGAAGGCTGAGCTGGCTTCCAGAGGACAGCCTCGAACCCCAGCGAGCTGGGACTCCTGCAGGGGGAGGGGAGGCGGGGAGTGCTCCAGAGCAGGGAGGGAGACAGCCGTCCAGGCAGCCACAGCCTGAGTGATTGGCAGCTGTCTGCAGAATCACCGCCCGTGTTCCCCCAGGACTCAGCACAGCTCCTGGGCCTCCTGCGTCTTCCTGTCTGAGCCACGTCCCCTCGGGGGACAGCTGGTTAGCAGGCAGCTGAGGAGTTTGTCTTGGTGTAAAAGTTTATTTTTGTTTTGTGTTTTTTGTTTGTTTTGTTTTGGGTTTTTTTTTTTTTTTTACTCGGAAAAGGTAAGCCAGGGTCTACTTTTGAAATGCTCTCATTAGCTTGTTTATTCTCATTACCTGCCAGGCACTGGGTGGGAAGGCGTTCTTTAAACACCTGGTGGCAGGGAGAAGTCTGATAAAAGGGCGCCATGTGGAAGTTTTAGGCCCATCTGGGGCCTGAAATCCAAGGGTAATTGTGTTCCCCCTTGGACCTGATTTTCTTCAGACAGAAGTGACTCCATCAGCCTCTGGAGTGAGTCCTGTCTCCCATCCCTCAGTGCGAGCTGTCGAGTTTCCTCGACATTGAGTTTGCCCTTCCCTGATGTGGAACTTCTTATCTGGGGGAGTCTGATTTTTGTCTAGTGGATGGTGGGTTGGGGAAGTCAGAATGGACAGAAACCCCAGGGAGCTCTGGGAACTCTCTGCTTGTTTGCAAGAAACTGGGGTCCAGTAGGGCCTCTGTCTCTATCATCTCGGGGTGGGGTGGGGGCTTGGGGAGGGGGAAGCACAGGTGAGGAGGCCTGTGAGCCCAGGCCTCCTCGGCCCCCTGTTCCCGTTCCCACCCCCACTCAGCATGTTTCTCCTCCCGCAGCAGAGGCACGTGACAGGCGGCATGGACCAGCTGACCAGGATGCTGGACTACCTGCTCCAGGAGGTGAGGCTCGAGGCTTCCCCAGCTCTGGGGGACCGCGCCCCGGGCGCTTCCTCATGGCCGCCTTCCACAGACGGGTGGTGGGGGGGGGGAGACTGTCCTGAGAGTTGGCAGGGAAGGTTCTGGTTTCTCTCAAAGTGCCTCCATGGGGTTGAGAAGTGGCATAGTGGCAGGCATCCCATGAGGAAGGTCAAGACTAGGGAAGAGGTCTGGAGGAGCCGGTCTTTTCATCCTTTGCGTGAAAACCTGGGTCAGCTGTAGAACCCTTCTCTCTTGCAAAAGGTGTTTCTGACAGAGCCTTGTGGGCAGGAAGAAGGAGCAGAGCACAGTTCACCCTGGGGACTCACGACCCCACCCTTTCCTGCCCAGACGGGGGCAGGGATGACCTGGAGGGTCCCTGAGAGCTTTCGAGACTTCCCTTCCTAGAGTGACCGGGAGAGCCAGCGCTGCAGACTCTCAGACTCCCAGAGGGCAGCTTCTGTGTTGCTCCCATCGTGGTCCCCCCTCCTTATGGTCACTGCGGTAGGGTGGTGCCCCGCCCACCACAAGCAGCAGTGAGTGACGCATTTCTGCTTAACCAGCAGGGAAGGTGGCTCTGGACCACCCCCAACCAAACTTCTCCCAAAGAGGCACCTCCTGCTCAACCAAACCCCAATCAGGCCTCCAGCCAATGGCCCCAGGGAAGACCCTGGGCAGCCATGGTGACGTTGCAAATGTTCTTCTTCCCCCTGGTTTCCTCTTAGGTCCCTAAAGCCTTTGTGAACCTGGTGGACCTCTCCGAGGTTGTGGGGGTCTCTCCCTGGCGTCAGGGGACCCAGCTCAGGTACAAGGGGGAGTGGAATGGACCCAGCGTGTGTGGGGTGGCTGCCGAGTGCCAGGCACTGGGTGGGGCACTTCACACACACTGATCCTGGGAGAGATTAAAGGATGGGGGGCAAGAGAGATGAAGCCACCACACGCACGAGGTCACGCAGCTGGTGGCTGGAGCGGTGTTCTGGCCACGGAGTCAGAGGGCGAACTACGCAGTCGGGGTGATGTAAGCAGATGGCCTGCCCCCAGCAGAACGATCTGAGAGTTTAAGAGGCAGGTTTGGCAAAATGGAAACAAACAAAAACATGTAGCCTATATATATGTATATATCTTACCTTCACCGAGCTGAATTCCCATGTAGTTCTGAAGTGTGTCACAGAATTTAAACTCCTTGAACCCAAAACCTAAGATGTCTGGCTTTGCACCCAGAAAAGAAGATCACGTGGCGAAAGCCAGGGGAGGGACCGCTGGGGCTGCGGGCAGCGGGCAGCGGGGAGGAGAGGAGGGTGTTGAAGAGCAGGGACACGCAGAGCAGGCGGAGGAAGGGTTGGAGGTGGGCTTCGGTGTGGAGGCAGCGAGGGGCCAGTATGTTGGGAGGCAGAGTGAGAGGGAGCTCGTCCCCACATCCCTTCCGCACCCGGATGGAGGGACAGACCGCCAACCAGATCACAGTGGGCCTTTGCCCTCTGTTCTCTCCGCCGTGGACATGCTTCCTTTCCCTGCACCCGCCGAGACATCCAGCTCCTCCCCGCTCCCTGAGCAGCACCGAGGCCCCCCAGCCCTCTCGTTCCTCCATGGGGCAGCCTGCATAGCCCCCCAGCCCTCTCATTCCTCCATGGGGCAGCCTGCATAGCCCCCGCTGCATCCACGCTCTCCTTTCTGGCTTCTTTTACCCCGCAGCCCTGCGGCAGAGCCCTGTACGTGCTCAGGGGACACCTCGAAGCTGTCCAAGCTCGTGGCACAGTGGTCCTACCAGGTGAGCCCACCCTGGGAGACTGGCGGCTTGCAGGGGCAGGGGGTTATGGGGGAGAACAGGGGCGACAGGCACAATGAAGGCATGAGTCTGCGACTGCAGGACTTCTCCAGCGGAGTCAGGGACCGCAGAGCTGCCTTCGGTGCACTCCCTGGCCACGACTTGATTTCCGGTGCCTAAAGTGGGGAGGTCGATCCCGGCAGGCTGGGGGTGGGGGCGGGGTGGTGCTTTAGATAGCGAAGGACTTGGCAGATTTGTTTGGAAATGGTTTTGATCGCAGCATCTGTGACTGCTGAGCTGATTCTCCCTAAGCTGGGCTAAGCCCCCAGACGACAGCCCAAGGGCGCCTCGGAGGCCCCAAAGCTGTGCTTTCTGATTCAGAGAAGAGACCCCAAGAGGGCGAGGATGGCTCAGTGGAAGCCATCATCCCTGTCAGCACGCAGCTCAAAGCACAGTTCCTGTTGTCATATGTTGGTTGACACGATGACTTTTGTTTAAGAAGAAAGTTATGTATGAAGCTGTGTGGCACTTCTCTTACTCCAGAGGTGACATGTTTTGTGCCGTTAATGGCACATCCGTTGCCGGCACACCCTCAGCCCGTGGACGGAGCGTGTGTGCTTCCTGCGCTCTCCAGGAACATATGTCAGATCTACGTCGGGTGCTGGTTCGGGCCGGCGTGCAGTGGGCGGCTGTGACGGAGGGGTGGCTGGGAGCTCCCGGCCGGAGGACCCGGCAGGCTGTGCCTCGCTCGAGCTCCTGGGCGCCCGTCTCTGCTCTCCCCTTCAGGAAAGCTGGGAGCGTCTGCTGGCCTCCAGCAAGTACAACGAGCAGGAGTCCTTCGCCGTGGTGTTCCAGCCCTTCTTCTACGAGACAGCCCTGTCACCACGCTCGGTGAGTGAGGTGACCGTAGGAGCCTGGCCCACACCCTCTCCCCCTCCCACTCAGCTGGGACTCCCCGAGCCCAGGGCGTGCACTCTCAGGGGGAAGGTACCGCAGTGTAAGGTTTCCCTTACACTTCCTGGACGCTTTCCCACGGGGCCGGGGAGCCCCGTGAGGAGGTTCCTAGAGGAGAGCGGCCCAGTGGTCAGGAGCGTGGGCCTGAGCCAGATGGCTGCCGGCTCTGAGACTGGCCAGCTGTGTGACCTTGGGCAAGTTGCTGGAGCTCTCCGTGCCGTGGGTGCCTCCTCTGTGAAATCAGGGCCATTACCAACAGTCCCTCCCTCCAGGGCGAGGATCAGGTTGCAGGAGTAAATGGGTGTCGGGGACTTGGGAGGCCCTCAGCACCTCTTAGCTGTTGTGACTACTCAGGATGGAATTTGAGTGGGGGCATGTCACCCTCCTCCGTCCATAGGCTGTCTGTAGCTCTCCCTCCACCCCTTCCGGAAGAGAGGGTTGACTTGCCCCCCTCCCCCCAGGTCACTTGGCCAATGCCCTTTGCCCAGAGGAGCGCCCAGACCATGGGCATGGTGGCGGGTCAGCACGTGCTCCGTAGGGTCTCTGACACCGCTGAGCCTTCAGCACTGTGTGTCTGGGACAGTCCCTGCCCCAGGCTCCTGGCTCCTGCCTGTTGGAGCCGCCGTGCCCTCTCCAGGACTTTCTCGATGTTTAACAGTGGTTTGGAAGGAGAAGGAGGAAAATTAGTTCCCATTCCCCTCCACTCCGACCACACATGAGTCACTCCCCTGTCACCACTGCTTCTGTTTAGTTCAGTTAGGGAGAACCCCATGATAATGGGGGGGTCTGACCCGTTCCTGCAAGCCCAGAACCCAGACAGAGGTCCTGTAAGTGCCTGCTGTTGCTGAGTGGAAAGGGGCTGAGAGAAAAGAGTCTGGACGGATCAGGGCCACCCCGTCTCTGCCAGGGACACCCTCAAAGTGCGTGGCAGGTGCACCCCATGTTTGGGGGCACACAGGGGCTCTAATCTGTTCTCTTTCAGGAGGAGTGGCCGCTCCAGGATGCCACCACACTCGCCCTGAATCTCTGGAACAGCATGGTGAGTTGCCGGGGACCAGGGGAGGTGCAGGGTCAGCCTGGGGACCTGGTCTACAGGAGGGGCGGGGCTACCACGGCCACACCCACTCACCCGCTGCTCTGAGGGAGGGGCTGCGGGGCTCCAGCAGGATCCCTGGGCAGTGGCTCTGGGCCACCAGGCATCGTCCCCTCATCTGGGGCCAGCCCAGCTCTGACCACCTGGGAGTCTCACCTCCTCGCCCTAGAGCTGCAACAGCAGCCCTGGTGGTGTGCGGGGGTCGCTGGGCTTCAGTCCTGCTCCCCTCAGAGGTGGGGGCGTGGCCTCGAAGTCCGGGGGCAGCTGCACGTGGAGGCGGGGCCCAGGGGAATGACTCACAGGGTGATTGCAGGCCAGCTGCCTGTCACGTCCCACTCGAGCGCCTTCACGTGGTTTCAAGGCCCAGGCTGGTCCCCGGGATGAACTCAGGCTTTCAAGTGATGAAGACCTGGGTTCAAATCCTAGCTCTGGCTCTCACAAGTCGTGGGAATTCAGGGTCTCCACGAAGCCCAGATCATAACATCTGGCCCAAGCACAAGCAGGTGTATGGCTCACTGAGGCCCCGAGGGAGCGCTCGGCCCAGACAGCCCTTCTTCCCGTCACCATGACAGGTCTGGCCCACCCCTCCAAGGCCCCCCAGGGCTACCTGGGACGGTCGGTGGATGGACTGGAATGTCAAAACTGAGCTTTTCCAGGGCCCCAGACAGGCACCCGATCTCGCCGTGCATTTTTCCCCATCCAAGCCGCCCTGTTTTTAGACGGCCAGTGGCAGGCGATTGGTTCTCTTCTTCCTTGGCTTAGAACATTTTCCCCCCATCTTCTCAAATCCGTGCTCCGCTGTGTTCAAGGAGCAGCTGTGTTTCAGCGGGGTTAGCCAGAGAGCAGGGCGGGACGGGGGGCAGGGACTGGCCTCAGGCAGCCCTAGTCAAAGGAATTACGCTCTCCTTTAATAGGAAAGCACTCGATTTCTTGGTGAGTGGGTCGGGCCCTTGGGTGGGATATTCCCGCCAGGAAACCACTTTGCTGCTGGTCTCCTGTGAAGGGCAGAAGAAGAGAACTCAGCCCCTCCAGCCGGGGCCACCCTCTCGCCACCCTCCTGCTGGGGAAGAGGGGCTGATGATTGCAGCTGAGCCAAGCCCATCTCCTGCCCCTCCCGTGTCACCCCCTCCCCCCGCAAGCAACAGAAGGGAGCCTTCAGTGTGCCCTGTGCTGGGTCTGAGGAAGGTACAAAACACACCCCGAGTGGCCTTCGCCTCCACTGAGCCTAGGGCACAGCTGGAAGGGTCAGGCGACTCAGAGGAGCAAGAGTAAACTTGAACTCAGCCAGCAGCGATTTGCTGGACTGTGCACCCAAACGCAGTATGGGCCGGAGGTCAGGACAGCCCCTCGGTGGTGGGATTTGAACTGGCTTTGTAGGGTGTGCCAGACAGGGTCAGGGTGGGCATTCCTAGGCAAGAGACCTTTGTGAGTGCGGGGCATGGAGGGAAGGAAGCCACATGCACTATCGTCAGGAGGCCGTAGGCTGGTCTGATAAGGCAGGATGAGGAGGCCCCGAGAACAGAGGGAGCACTGGAGAGCCAGGCAGACGCTGGAGAGAGCAAAGAGCGAGAGAGGATCCCACTTCCCCTCTTTCTCCCTTCTTCTTGCTATTGAGCATCAGCAGGGGTGGTGGCAGCAGTGACAGCTGCCTTTATTGAGCCCAGGTGATCACTCCAGGTGAAAGCACAGGAGGTGATGTCCTGTCCTTTCAAACCGGCGCCGCAGTGTCCTATACTATAACCCACCTGAGAGCGAGGACGAGGATGCGCAGGTGCGCAGGGGGGCACAGAAGCCCTCACACTGGAGGCTAAAGAGCCGGGACACAGGAGATGTCACAGGGGCTCCGAGGAGGCGGGGGCGGCTTTTCTGGGTGGGCAGTTCCCCCTTTCTCCCCAGACATGTCCCCCGACCACCCGTCGTTTCCTGGGGAGAGTTCTCGGGGTTCCTGCGGCCAGGCCCGCAAAGAGGGAGGGCTCGTCCCAGGTGTGTCTTTTGTTTTGTTTTTTGAGGTGAGTCACATGGCCTTTCCGGGTCTCCATTCTGTCTACTTGCCAAAGGGGTGTAATAACCCTCCGCTGGCTTCTAAGGGCTTTGGGAGTGATTCACGCTTGGGTCCATCTTGGGTCCTCCCAGAGACACAGTGGGGCCAGGAGTCTGCCTTCGCCCCTTGAGCCCCTGCCGTGCTGGGCGTCACGGAGAGCACGGAGCTAACAGTCCGGTGTGTTTGCCCGTGCCCACACTCGCAGACACACGCAGCCCCGCCCGAGCGGGGAGCGGAGCGGGGCTCGGAGAACCGCCGTGACCACGGGCGCCCAGGTTCTACGCCCCTCTCCTGCCCCCGGCCCAGGACTCCAGGGAGCAGGGTGGCTGTGTGGGGCCACACCAACGTCTGCTGCCGCCCCCCCCCCGGCCCCCACTGCCAAGTCCCAGCGTGTGCATGAGCTCTGAGGGCCAGCGGCCAGTGACAGGAACCCCGCATGCCTGGCGTCGTCCCGGCAGGATGCACCCCCAGACTGAACTGGGCTCCCGGCACGGAGCTGAGGAGGGTCTCGCGTTGGGGACATGAGTCATTGCCTAGGCCCTTCTGCCTTCTCCCCAATACCTTCTGATAAGCTTTAACCCCCCCCACAGCAATTTTAAGGAAGTCTACCTTCGGGGAACTCAGTTCCCGGGCCCTCCCAGCCACTGCTGACCCCCAGCTTGTGCCAAGCCCGGGGCCAGGGGCTGGAGCCACAGGGCAGGGTGGGAACTGGCAGCCACTGCTCCCGGTCCGGTGGACATGTTCCGCGGAGAGACCGTTTGAGGCCGCCCCCCTCCCCCACACTCCAGGTCACGTCAGGGTGGCAGGGAAGCTGTGCAGGGGAGATGTGAGCGACTAAAGATGCCAGCCCTGATGTGCCTGGGGCAGGTGTGCGTTTGTGTGCCCACAGGTGGCAGGAGGAGGAGGGACACGGTGGTGGTCCCTCCCTGTCCCCTCGAGGACGAGGGCCAGAGTGGGGTGACAGGGGACGAGTGGAAGCAGGAGGGATGATGCAGGTGACTAAGAATGATGTTTAGGCCAAGATTCTTCAGGGAAATGGGCTTGCTGGGAAAGCTTATGAATTTTCCTTCTTTGAGATCCCTGACACATAGGCTTGCTGTATCCATCCACCAGAATCATGAAGGTGCGGCTCTTCCAATGCTTCTTTCCAGACCCTATTACTGATTAAGTTTTTGAAAGACTGGAGAGAAGGAAGCAGGCCAGACGGACATCTGGCTGCCAGCCCAGGCCCCCTCGACACTCCCTGTGCGAGCGGGCCTGGCCACTCTGGGGGGGCCCTCCCCTTTCTAGGAGTGTCCGCCATCAAAATAAAACTGAAAAAGGGGCCTCAGCTCCTCCTCCAGCCCTTGAGCTGAAGGGTTGCCACTCCTCTAAGGCTAAAATTCTTTCCCTGCTTCTTGCTTAGTGGGCGCAGATCCTGGGATAAGATACTGCCCAGGACTCTGAAACCCTCCCAGGGGATGGCAGAGCCTGTGACCGAGCCGGACACGGTGCTCCATCCTGGAGCCTCCTGTCTCTTGTGTACCCGTCAAGGTCCCTGGAGGGATGACAAGGGACAGAGATATTATCGTAGGAGCCCGGATGCTGGGGGAAGTAGCACTGACAGCAACTGTGAGCCTCCCTGCCTTCTCCTCAACAGTTTCTGATAATTTTTAACCCCCACACAGAGGTGTTAAAGGGATCTCCTCCAGTGGTGGGAGCTCAATGTGCAGAAGGGAACCTGTGATGTCTCAAGGCCACTGCCTTTTCTTTTAAGTGTTTACAGACTCAGAACGAGCGTGTAAAGACAGCAGAAGGCACTTTTAAAAACTTGCCTCCACATCGAGTTTTTCACCGCCCTCGTTTCCCCTCCCGCCTTCAATGCCTCCGCCTGTGGCCCCACTGTGCGCTTTCTGTCCGGGCTGTCAGATGGGCTTCGGTTATTATTTCAGCGGCTGCCTGTGTCAGAGCTGGTGCCGCCGCCTCTCATCCCTGAATCCATAGCCATAGGAAGCCGTGCACCCACCGAGAGGCGTGCGGTTGCCATGAGGACCCTGATGTCCTGGTCCCAGCCCGGCCCCCCTGGGGTTCAGTGTCTCCCGTGCTGTCAGGGGATGTGGGCGAGGAATCCATGATTCCTCGAGTGCCCTGGGCCTCAGCTCAAGCGGGCGCTAGGTTCCCGGGAAGGGCCCGTTGGATGCCGAGAGCCGGGCCGCACCCCAGGGTTTCCGACGCAGTAGGTTGGGGTGGGGGCTGGAAATCCGCCTCGCTGGTGCGTTCCCAGGTGGCGCTGGGGCTGCTGGTCCACGGTCGGACTCGGAGAGACATCAGACCGACGAGTCTTTCTCAGTGGCACCTGGAGTGCTGCCACCTGTGCACAACGCACCTGTTCTGGAGGTCGCCTTCTTTCACAGATGCAGCCTGCGGGACAGAAGGATGAGCCGTTCCGTGCAAATGAGAGAAGGCTGACTAAGTGTCCCTCTCAGGTAGGCTGGGGCAGGGTGGGGAGGGCATCTGTCACTGAACCGGGAGAGAAACGGGGTCACCAGGGGGGCTTTGCCGTGGAGTGATGGCTTGTCTGGCTGAGACATTAGCCACTATAGAGTCTTAGGTCTGTTTTTCTGGGTCTGATCCCAGCTTTGCATACTTGGTATGCCTAAGGTTTATCAAATTTAACCGTTTTAGCAGAATTGAGCTGTTTTAGTAGAATGATGGCTCCTTCCACACCTGTGGAGGCACAGGAGGGACAAAAACCATATTTCACCTGGCACCAACTGTCCCAAATGTGAAGATGGATTTCTTAAGTAAGTGCCAAATCTGTAATAGGGATATAATTAAAGTTGCTGAATAAACAGATGAGAAAATAACATCGATGAGTAGAATTCCTTTTACCCCTTAATGGTAGTCAACGTTCTGGCTTTCTCAATGAGTTGTAAGTTTTTTGTTACTAGGCTATAAGAACTATATCATTCACCCTGTTTCCCTCTTTCCTTTGGCTGCCAGGAAGCTTACAATTAAGTTGTTCTTTCATGAAAATATATGTACCCTGCTGGCAGCACGCACCTCCAGGTGGAGAGCCAGAGAGGAGGACTGTCGCACCGGGGAAATGTTGGAGCATTAGCGGGCTCCTTCAGGGGACCCCTGGGCGGGACAGAGAGGCGAAGCCAGAGAATGGCTTTCATCTGAATGATGGTGTGAATGTCCCAATGTCAAAGGCACGGCTGGATGATACAGCCTGAGGATGAAAGGGCCTAGATTTCTGGGTCGTGGTTACACCCCCTGACTTTTCTCTGCAGGAAAACCCCTACCTGTTCACCTATAGCAACAGCGACTACCTGCCCACGCTGACAAACCTCCACGAGAAGTCAGAGGTACGGAGAGGTTTTCTGTGGTCGGCGCACGTGGGAGTGCACCAGGGGGCCATGCACCTTGCTGAGTAGTGGAAGCTTCCATGTGGTTCCTTGTGTCCTGGAACCCCGTGGGATGTCCTGGCTGGGATGGGCGGCAGAGCAGGCGCATGGTTGTCCCCTCGGTACTTAGAGCAGGTCTGCCCTACGGCGCCGTCCTGAGACCAGCCTGGCAACCCTATGGCTTCGTGGGGAGTGTCGGGTGCTCGGCTCTGCCCACGGCCTGTCTATCCTGCTGGGAGGCAAGGCTCTTCTGGCCCTTCTCAAACCTCGAAAAAGTCCTTGTAAACCCGGCTGAGGCCTTAGTTTGCAGGGAAAGTCAAGAAGAAGCCAAGAAATATGGCGAAACCAGACAACTTCTGAGACCAAAAGTCCCCAGAAGTTGGCCCACACCTCAGGAGCCACCTTCCACTTACTCACGTCCTGCTTATTGCTTATCTCGTGACTCTCCCGGATACTTCCTGCTAAGAGTAGATAGGGCACCCGCACTGCTCCGACAGAGACACTCGCAGGTTGGCGTCCTTGTTCTCCGTGGACTGGGGGCTGACACGGGTTGTGACGAATTCGACCTAGTGCCATCCCTGCCGCCTTGTTGTACAAACGAGGGTGAGCATTACCCCAGGTGGAGGCAGCGCCGGTGGCCTGGGCCAGCCCCACACAGCCCGAGAAATGCAGAGTGAAACATGCTTTCCTTCGCCGGCTTGCCCCGCACTTCCTGACAGCAGCGAGGACACACCTGAGGGTCACATGGCACCGGGAGGGGAGAGAGCTGGCCCTGGGTTCAAATCCACGCTCTTCCACTCACTGGCTCTGTGTCACGGGACAAGGTGCTTCACTCTCTCCGTGCCTTGTTTATGTTCACACGGGAAGTGCCGAAAGTCACGGTCCTGCCTCGTGGCGTTGTTAGTAAATCACAGTAAATGACAAGTATAGAGCACCTGCAGCAGTGTCTGGCCTGCTGTGATGAGTGTCGCTGTTATTGTCGTCTGATCATAGGGAGCGATACACTCCTGCAGGATACAGCCATTGATTGCCTACCTGCTCTGTGCCCCTAGGATTCCAGGCCAGTGAAGGCGGGCACTCGGAGCCGCCACCTGGTCACTATTTGTTGAATGACTAGATGGTGGGTGGGTGGGAGGAAGGATGGGTACCCGGCACAGGAGGTAAAAATGTCAATGAAATACTTGCTTGTCCTAAGGAACTCAGTCTGGTGGAGTCAACCAGCAATTACTGCACAGCGGAATAAGTCCCTTAATTCAAGTTCCCGTGGGGTTTTCAGGGAGCACCGAGTCAGAGCAACTAACTCTGGGGAAACAGCCAATACCCCAGACAGACAAACATCCCTGCTTTCACTGAGAAGTTGGGCAGAGCAGTGACATAGTTCTACTGTATTGAGAGGGAGAGAGACCCCTCCGGGTGGATTCAGCAGCTGGGGCGGAAGCCCAGCGGACAGAAGGTGATGATGCTGTGAACCCGGCAGTATCCCGGGCAGGAAGCACCAGGGGCCTGGGTGGAGGCGGAGGCGGAGGGACCTGAGGAGGGGGCAGGGTTGGGAGCACGTGGACAGGATGCTGTGGACACCCAACTGTGAGTGCTGCAGGAGAGGGAGAGACGGTAAGAGACACCTAGGTTGCTGTATTACGTGAGATTTTCCAAAGTGGAGACCCCGCTTCTCACCCAACTGCACGTGCTCCGTTCCCCCTTATCTCTCCACGTGTCTCATTCCAGGTGACAGACGGAGCGGAGATCAGGTGCCTGGACAAGGATCCCTCCGACAGGATTCCCACCTCAGGTACAGGGCCTGCGTCAAGGGGTTTTTAAGCTCGTTTGAGGCCTGAACTCCCCAAAGTAAAAGCAACCATGGGATGATGAGGGCTTTCCGCACAATCTGAGATTCACTGAGAGGGTTTTGGAGGGCAGTAGAAATAGCTCTGTGTACACAGGCATGCCTGGTTCTTTGTGCTTCGTGGATGTTGCTTTTTTTTTTTTTTAAAGAATATTGATTTAATGTAACTTTTTAAAAAAGATTTTATTTATTTTTTTAGAGAGGGAAGGGAAGGAGAAAAAGAGAGAGAGAAACATCAATGTACAGTTGCTGGGGTTCATGGCCTGCAACACAGGCATGTGCCCTGACTGGGAATCAAACCTGCAACACTTTGGTTCACAGCCCGCACTCAATCCACTGAGCTATACACCAGCCAGGGCGATGATGCTTTTTAAAAAAAATACAAATGGAAGGCAATACCCTCCATCAGCAAAAAAGGTGATGAGTCACTTTATTGTGACCCTCTGTTGTCATGGTCTGGAACCTGTGTACCAGGTGCCTGTACACTTGTAAGTTCACGCCTGTGTTTGGATATTTGATAACTGAAGCAGGGGATGATACGGTATGCTGCCATATGATATACAAGATATGATAACACTATCAGCAAGCATTTATGAAGCATTAACTGGGCACGAGGCCATGTTCCGCAAAGGGACAGCTCACGTCATTGTCCCTGCCTCTGAGCCTTGATGAGGTGGATTTGCTCTCAGAAAGCAAAACCACCTCGAAGCCAGAAGCAACTGTAGCCAGTCCCCACTCCCCATCGGCGCCACTTGCTGGGTGCCCTCCAACCCTGTGCAGAATGGGAGGTCGCGCTGCCTTAGAAATGCGCTGTTTTTGCTGCTGCTCAGTGTTTCCAAAGAGACTGGTGTTGGGCCATGAAGAGGAGAGTCATGGAACGTCCCAGGCAGAGACCATGTCAGAAGGGGGCTGCCTAAGGGCTGAGCCTCTTCCTCCAGGCCAGCTGGTCTGGGAGCGATGGCGGTGGGCCTCGCTCACGGCGGGGTGGGGGGGTGGTTGGGGGTCAGGCACTCGCTCTTGGGGACTCGCAGGAATCACAAAACGGCAGCCAGGAGCGTTTCTGCAGCAGTGAGCTAGGGCCCTGGAGGGAGACTCATTTGTTCATTGATCTGTTCGCTCGTCCATTCATGGATCGGATGTTTGCCGAGTGCTTCCCATGGGCCTTCCAGGATCAAAAACTAAGTGTGGAGGTGCCCCAGCGCCCAGCCGGACTCTTTCAGGGATGCAGACCCTTGTCCTCAGCTGCCTCCTCCTGCTGCGTGTTCGCAGAACACGTAAACACCCGGGCTGCCGTTAGCCTCTCCCTCACCCGTGTCTCGGCCCTACACACTCTCACGGAGCCAAGTGAGTGGGGAGTTAAAATTTCAGTGTGTAACTGGCTCTTGTCCTAAACTGCAGACTGAAGGAATAGGCGATTGAGATCTCACACACACACGCACACACAGTCTCACACTCGAACACTTTTAGTCTTTGACTCCCCCCGCTGCCCCCCCCCACACACATGCTTGGTGACACCCACGCCTATTGGTGAGTTTACTAGGAGGACTTTAGCAGCAGAGATAAATTATTAGCTTCACATGCAGGCCTTCCTATAGCAAAAGCACAAAGGTGTGTGTAATATATGTATGTGTCCATGTATAGAGAGAGAAGAGGAGAGGGAGAACGTCTATGTTTTAATAGCCGTAGTCTTCACAGTGAAATAGCACCCAGCCTCTTTTTAATCTTATCCTTCTGGGAGAGAGATCTATATAGCATTTCGAAACCTGTCTAGATTACTCTCCTGCCGTGGCCATGGCGGCCAACCAGTTCACGAGAGCATATCTCAGCATCTGAGATAAACCAAATAAAACACGAACCTCTTCTTCATTCCCTGACCCCGAAGATTGTTGTTTACTGGAACGTGGACATGGAAGTGCCAGAAATCTCACGACCTTGAGATCTGAGATACTCTGCTGATAGGGAGCCATTTGAATACTCAGACGGGTAGATTTCAGCCTGCCTGGTCTACCCAGGTGCGCTTGGGGCCCGCACCCTCTCTCCCACTGCGCGGCCGCACTCACAGATCGGCCTGGGCCTGCATGTCCGAGTCCCACCTGGAGAGTGTCGTTTGGACAAGTGGCCACCACTGAGGACAGTAGTGAGAAACACACTGTGCATGATCTGTGATTGACATTTTAAACCTACTCGTGACCGTGGGGGCGGGCAGAAGGACTTAGCACAGGTCACATTATTACTTGCCCTTGATAATGATCGAATTTCTGGTGAGGTCGTTGACTCTTCTGGAGATCAAGTTTGCAATTCCTCCTGGAGATGCAGGCATCTGATACATGCTTAACAGATTATCTTATCTTTATATCCCCAGTGACTCAGCACCTGGTCAGGGCCCATACCTGTTTGCTGAACTAGTCTGAATCCTCAAATATTTCTCACTCAGCAAATCAACCGCTTTCATGGTTGAAAGGGCTTTCAAAACCAACTAGACCAAAGTATCTTCTGTCAAACCATTTTTCTTATAAAGTAAGTGTTTTGCCTTCAGAGTTACTTCCAGAAACCTTCGGTCGTCCCCTTTTCCAGTGTTTCTCTCAAACCAGTGCACAGACATGTAACTAGCCAACCAAAGTGGTGTTTCCAGACAGGATGCTGCCTCCTCCACAGGCCAGGGATGCTGGCAGCACCCCAGGCTGCCGCGCTCTCAGTGCCTTGGAGCTCACAGGTGCTAAGCCTCTTCCACGGATCTGTGGGGCTTTGGAGAGAAAGACAGGGCTGATGTGATTTTTTGTAGCCCACTGGGCATTGGGTAGCCAATGAATGAATACAAGCCTCTCGTTTTTCCCTCCAGTTCAGTTCACACAGTGCAGTGTGCCAGGCGCTTTCTCCCGCGGGCTTTGAAACTTGGTAAATACGTGTATCATTCTATATCACTCCATGGCCTTGTCCCTAACACAACTGGGATAACTTAAAAAAGATTGGGGGGCCTAGTAGCTGCCTTAAAGCTTTCCCAGTAAGGAAAGGAGTAGCACTTTGCAGGCAAGAGTGGGAATAATCAGAAGCCAGAGGGCACATGGTTCATTGGCTGTCTATTGAAGCTGGTCATCTTGGTATTTGAACGCAGGGATCCAAAAAGCTAATTATGTAATTATAATTATAGTATATGCCACTGTCCCTAGGAGTATGAATCAGAACAGTGCATTCATTTAAGCCATTGGTTCCCAAGTCCCTGAAATCATTTGTTTTACCCATTTGGCTGAGATGAGCCACTCAGACGCTGATACGAATGTGCCCCAGGGTACAGCACTGAGTGATCACGGAGGGCTTCGCTTCATTGTGAATCGGCAGCGTGATGGCCAGTGTAGACCCTGAACTGCTCCTGGAGCCACGCTCACTCATGGGTCTGGCAGCTCAACCTCGCCTGTGACGAGGGAGTACTGACGCACCCCGCAGGGAGGGGCAGCCCGTCCGTCCCTAGGCAGGACCAGCCTAAGCAAGTTCAAACTCACCCCAAGATGTCTGGATGGATAAGTGTTTCCCTTCCCTGTAGGTTCCATCCCTTTGAGTTTGGAAAGCCATCAGGTCCCTGACACAGAGCCCTCACGTAGCCCGTCATTTACTTTAACACATTTCTTGAGTTCCTACTCTGTGCGAGGCGCATGCGTTTTGTATAAACTCACACCAACAGCACTTCAAAGGCGGAAACAAGGTTCCAGGCTTGTGCCGGCCGTTGACCCCCCTCAGAGACGTCTTTACGTGGGTCCCTACGATCGGAGAGCTTATGGGTTGGGCATCCCTAGCTAGCAAAGAAGAGAAAGTTGGGGTTCAGATTATGGACCCAGTGGTTTAAGTTGCTGGATTACACAAGACAAAACTCCAAAGCCCAAGCCTGTCTCCTGGGCACCCCTCTCCTCACGTGCAGAGAGCCGTTTCCGCATTCTCTGCACTGGCCTGTCCTTTCCTTGCTACGTGCGGTGTTTCGCCATCGTTTGGATGGCCTTCTGATAAGAGGTCCCCTCTGAAGAAATCTTGATGATTTAATGATGTGTTTATCAATTTCTTTCAAGGTGGTGCACAGTTTGTACCAGATAATGTTTAGCTAATCAGCCCACACACATTTAATCTTATCTCTAAATAGTTCTTTCCCCAAGGAGAGCGATTGCCAAAGTGCTCTGCTGTGTTTCCAAGCCGTGTCTCTGTCATATACGATGACACTAACAGAGCTCAAATCAAGGTCTGTAGCTATTAAGCCGATGATATGTGTTGGGCGCTATCTTAACAAAAGTCCAGGTAAGTCACACTCCTCCTATCGAGGCTTGGCTCCTTTGGTTTATTATCTCTTGCAGGAAACCCTTTAGACTGACCCACAGGAGAAGCCCCCTCCCCCACCACACAGTACCCAGTCTCTCTACACACGTACAGATGCACACGTGCCCCCGTGTGTGTTTTCTGTCTGCTGCAAATTTTGGAGACAGGAATGGCCCCTTTCAGCTGCCTCTTTACCAAAACGTAATGTGCTTTTGATGCAAATATATCCACTCATTCCACATTTGTCAACCCCAGAGACTTCCTCTAACCTTTACACCCTAGAGCGGTCTCAGAATTCACTGCATCATTCGTTATGGCAACAAGAATATGGTGATTGATTGTCATCACCAGGAGCTAAAATGAACTCTCTAGAGTTGGGGGGAGGTGGTCTCGGTTGCCTTTTCTTTCTCTTTTGCACAGTCTGATTTCTCTGAGAAGAGGTCATTTTGAAGTTCTGGGGCTCAGCCTTGTGGATGTGCATTAATGTGTGCAGCTGGCTTTGCGCCTTGAAATTGTTCTTCTGACCACATATCCTTGGGCCCGCTGCAGACCGACTGACTCCCAAACTCTGAGGGTGGGGACCACCATCTGTGGCTTAACCAGCTCTCCAGAGGATACTGATGCGTGCTCACATCTGAGGACCACACACCTACATATTTTGCATGTTCTCATTCACACCCACGTGTCTGTTAGTTTGCACGCTGTGATAGGAAGAGGCAGGGTCTTTCGCTTTTCCAATGAGAGCAGGTCCTCAGAGGGGGCAGCGGTTCCCCATCCGCAAGCAGGGTGGAAGTCAGGTAGACAAGACGTCTCCACGGAGGGAAACAAGACACTGTCTGCCCTGAGTGTCAGTACAGCTTCCTCCACAGGCGTAACTATACAAGCGTGATTTGGGCGTTGGGGGATAAAGCGGGCTCTAGGTAGTCCAGGTGCACGGTCGGCCCCTGCGTTTCACTGCATGTTGGTGGAGGGAGTCGGCGCAGAGGTGGTGTCGAGAAAGCCTCCATGCGCACAAGTTTCAGTTTATCCACCTGAAGCAACGGCCCACTGAAAGGATGGGCTTCTTCCCTCTGGCAGTGGGCCGCCCCCTGGTACAGATGGTACGTTCCACTTCCCCCAGGGCCTGGAAGCTAGTTGACAGTTGAGTTCAGCTGGAGACAGCGGGGCACATGGGGGAGGAAAGGGGAGCGACGGCAAGTCGGGGTGACTGTGGCCGTAAGGCACTCTGACGGAGGGGAGGTGTGGGGCAGGGGCGGAGCCACACACGGCAGAAAGACTCCGAGGTGAGGTCCCCAAAACGCGCTTGGGTGGATAAATGTAGTGCGGATGTACGCTTGCGGGTTATGCACACAGGGTGGGGCAAAAGTAGGTTTGCAGTGGGGAGTACACAAAACACAGCGTGTTCTTATATATTATTAATTATTGTATTATTTTCCACACCAACGACTATAAACCTACTTTTGCCCCACCCTGTATAGCAACATTCAGGTTCGCCAGGCACAAGAGGCCTGTGGCCCCAACCTGCTTTTCAGCGTTATTGCTGTTAGTCCCCGTCACTACCCAGCACTGAAGCCAAACTGGACCACTGTCTGTCCTTCACGGACACCCCACGCATCACCAGCCCGCATCCGTCCTTCACGCTCGCCCTCCCCGGCCTGGCTCTCCCGCCCCCTTGCCTCCGAGCCGTGTCCCGAGGCTGAGTTCGAACGTCGCCTTCTCCGTGAAGCCGGGTTTGAACCGCCCCCCGCCGCTGCCCTAGGGCGGACCAGCCCCGCAGCCCCAGGACTGCACACCCCTTCCCACCCCGCGGAGTGCTCATCCGCCTGTAGCTTGTTACAGCCAGGGGTGTTTCCCACCGCCCCCGCAGCCTGCGAGGTCCTCGGGGGCACTGCACACTGCTGGTCACTGCGCAGTCCCCGGCACCCAGCCCCTGCCTGGGGCGGAATGTGTCTGTCCTGCGAGCGGACGGCTGCTCGGCCACAGCACAGGGTGCAGGTGCGTAAACGTGCGCGAGAGAACGGAGTCAGGCTGTAGGAAACGGTTCGGTGGCTCCTCAAAATGCTGAACAGAGGGTTATCAGAGGACCCCCGGCCACCCCGCACTCCCACTCCTAGGGGTATCCCCAGATAATGGAGCACAGGCACTGGGGTGAACACTCGTGTTCGATGCACGGGTGTTCGCAGCAGAAGTATTCGGGAGAGCTGCAGGCGGAGACAACCCAGTGTCCAGTGTCCCTCGGGGCAGCAGATCCGTGCAGCAGAACGCCGCTCGGCCATCAGCGGCGTGAAGCACTGACACACGCTGTGACACGGGCAAACCTGGAAAACGTCGTGGACGCGGGAGAAGCCAGACACAAAGGGCCGTGTATTGTACAGGACGAGTTTGTTACGAAATGTCCAGAATAGGAGGACCCACGGCCAGGAGCAGATGGGCCGTTGCCAGGGGCGGGGGGAGCAGGAGAAATGGGGGGGCGGCTGCTAGGGGCCCCTCTCCTCTGAGGGCGGTGGAGATGCTTCGGAACCAGCCGAGGCGGTGGGTGCACGACATTGGGACTTCAGCACTCAGTGCCACGGGACTGCTGGCTCTGAAACGGTTCGTTCTGTGTTCTATGAATTTCACCTGGATTTTTAAAAATAGTGGTATGAAAGCAGTTCCCTTTTCACTGTAGAGGAGCTGCGCTAATTTTTGCAGTAGGACGAGTCGCTGTACCCCAAATACGACCAGATCCTGGGGGAAATTAAGTATCGGTCGTGGGCCATGTCACACCCTGAGGAGGACTGCGCGCCCTGCGGCACCGGGGTCACCGAAAGCCCGCAGACTCCCCTTGGAAAACTGGTCACGGTCCAGCCCTGGGCCCTGCACGCAGGCGCCCTGAAGGGAGGGAGACTGGTAGTCCGGCTCCAGGGCTGCTGCTGCTGCTGAGCCTTGTGACAAGGATGGGCCCCTAATGTCATTGTCCAAGCCAAATTGCTGTTAGAGACGGACCTTCTCTCCGTTTTCCTGGGAGATCGTCCTTTGTTTTCAGAGGAGGTGGGTACCTCGCTCTTCCGTTCACTCCTGCGGGTCCTCAGTTCACAGGCTGAAGGCGGCGGACATCAAGGTGATCGGCGCGCTGGGGGACTCTCTCACGGTGAGTCACCCTGACTGCACGGGGAGGGGTGGGGAGGGGCTCTCCTGGGTTCACACTAGAACCGGGAGAGAGGGAACCTCGCGCCCAGCTCTTGAATGTTGCCATCTCGGGTCCTGATCTTCTGTCCCTCTCCATCCCCGCACCCACCCTGGGGTCCAGCATTCCTTGCCCATCTCCTCTTCCCACCTTCACGCTAAACTCGTCCTGCCTCTCCCAATGCTGGAACAAATGAGAGGGCAGGTGGTGGGGGTGCCAACGGGAGCCCTGGAGTGGAAGTGACCGAGCCCAAATCACACAGCAGAGCTGGACTAGGTCTCCCACCCACGGAGCAGTTCCCCTTCACAGACCTGGGGCCGTGTCTGTCCATGTGGGAAGCTGAGGGAGGGGCAGAGAGATGATGAGACGGGAACCAGTGCCGATGGGGGTGGCAGGGGTGGGGGTGGGGCAGTGCCGTGTGAGCACACGGGTCCTGGGAGCGCCAGAGCTCCTAAAAATGACCCTGGCCCATCTCTGCAGCCCCTCCCTGGGGACACCCCAGCCCTACAAAGAGCTCTGTCCTGCAAAGAGCTATCTGTGAAAAGCCCCGTCAGGCCTCAGAGAGCCTGGCTGGGGAGTCCCGGAGCGTCCCGGACGGAAACTTGCACTCGACGGCAGCTCCTCGCCAGCGAGCCCCACTGCCGGCAACAGCCCCAGGGCCTCCAGCCGAGTGTCCCCCAAGACCAGTGACACCCTCCATGTCTTCGGCCTGTTCGCACTGATGTTATTATTATCTCACTCAATGTCCTCAACAAAGCCCCCTGGAGTCTGACACTCCCTAAACCAGTAAAGAAGGTGACGCCAAGTGACGAAAAGTCAGTGTCCCTGGCCACACGGTTTGTAAGTGCCGGACCAGGACCAGAACTCATGGGTCCTGCCTCCCAGTCCAGAATTCTGTCCCTGTGCTGTAGCTGTCTCCTCCGGAGCCCTCAGTGACTGTCACCCCAAAGGCCCTGCTGCTCCTCACCCCCAGGGAAGGACAGGCAAGCTGGTTTTAGCAATGCTTGCCCTAACCACTGCCTGCCAGGTGTGGCCCGACATCACCTGCCTCTACGCTCCCCACCCCACGCTCCCCCTTCCCACACCTGGCTCTTGGAAGATGCTCTGGGAATAGGACGTGAGCAAGAACCAGCACAGCTGCTCAGGGTTTCCTGGGAAGGCCGCGCTTTGAGTGCGGCGTACCTGGCAGGTAGCAGAGGAACTGGGCGCCAGATCAGGGATTGCACCCGGGGGGTGGCTCTCGTGCCCTTCAGCATGGCCCTGCCCAGAAATAACACACCTTCGGCCAGGGCTGTGCACCTGCAGAGCGCGCCCAGACTGTGGTTTAAAGACCCCGCTCCTTCGTCCGCTGAGGGACAGGTACGTGGCACGTCACTTGATGACTGCTCTACATTGCTCTTATGTGAGACAGGGTGACGTAGAAGGATTGTGATACGCTTTCCTTTACGAGGGATTTCAGGGCTTGTTACCAGTGACGAAAGCTGGGCCCTGAAATGTGCCCTTTGGAGAATGGACGTCAGAGTCTACTCTTCACAGTGCTCTTCCTGGACCGGCGCCACTTGAGCCTGGTCTGAGCAGGGTTTCCCAGGCTGAGCCCACTGGTGGCCAGGCCAGGCTTCCCAGCAGGAGCTGTCACTCATCTCTGGAAAGGGTGCCGTCTGGACTCTGGGGAGTGCTCCAGTGATCCCGGCCAGAACAAGGTCCAGCCTCCTGGCCAGCGGGCAGGGAAACTCATTGCTTTGTTGCTCCCTCTCAGGCAGGTAACGGGGCCGGGTCCAGGCCCGGGGATATACTGGACGTCTTCACTCAGTATCGAGGTCTGTCCTGGAGGTGAGTGACGGTGTGGCAAGGCCCCAAAGGGAGACCTGTTATGGCAGGGCTGGGAGGACCCCTGGGCATCGTGGGAAACCATTCCTCCAGCAGAGGGATGAGCCACCTAGTACTTCTCATGAGGAACTTCTAGGTTTAATATGAGGATGGTATTAGTCGGCTTCCCCAAACCACTGCATTTCCCAAAGCAGGAGCTGGGACCAGGGAGAGTCTGGAGAAGAAACGACATAAATGTTTGGATTGGAAAAGCTTCTCTAGCTCCCATTTCCCCCTCTGAGAAGTAATATTGGAAGGAGGCAGTAGCCTTTGGAACCAGAGTTGTACCTGAACCCTGGCTGCCAGCTCTGTGCAACTGTGGGCCCGTTACTTAACCTCTCTGAGCTGGTCTTCTCACCTTTGATGCAGGGGTAATAATGTTGCATGAGCACTGTCATGAGGGTTTGAGTACCCCAGCACAGTGCCCAACACAAAGTAGGGATAAGTGGCAGCCGGTGTCATTATTAAAGGGCCTTCAGTTTACAGATGAGGAAGCAAAGCCCAGAGAAGGCAAGTAACCTGTCCAAGATCACACAGCCAGATGGTCAAAGAGCAAGAAGTAGAGTAGATGCTTGTTGACACCTAACCTGGTGGCTCCCCCCATTTGTACAGTGGCTTCCTGCAGCCTCGCTCCTGCTCTGGCTGCAGTCAAATCCAGGCCTCCCCAAGCCGCAGCGAGCAGAACGTGACCTCTGAGCTTCGAAGGCATGGAGGGCAGGCCTGGGGCTTCCTCGGCCTGGACTCCGGCGTCTCTGGCGCCAGCCGCATGTTGAATCCCTGGCATCTTCCCTCCTGCTGCTACACAGGGTTAAACCCCAAATACTTTGAGAACCTTGAAAACGTTCCCAGACATACTTGGCAGAGAATGAAGGAATCTGGAAAAGCAAAGGGCTCAATAAACTCTGGAATGTTATATGTTTTCATGCCTAGAAACCCATCCAATTTGATTTCCTTGGAGTCTGAGAAGTGGCTTGGAAGATGGGTTGCTCTCAAAGAGATCCCCTCGGAAAACGGGTTTGGCCAAGCCGAGGAGGAAAAGAGCCATGAGGGCATCCCATTTTACTGGGTTTTCAGTAACAGCAGCAGTGCGCAGCTGCAGGGCTAGTGGGGCAAGAGGGGACTCTGAGTCCAAGGAAGGCCTCTTTCCCTGTGGAAGCTGGGCAGAAGCCGGCCGCTGTGAAAGTCACCCCTGCCCCAAGGTCAACACTCAAAGTTATAAACCAACAAAGTCAGCCACGACCACTTCCTGTGTGGACGTTCAGGTGTGTGGGGAGAGAGGAGAGAGGAGTTGCTGTGTTCTGGTTTGGTTTTCAAGGTTTTTACTGAAATCCTAAGTCAAAGTCTCCAAGCCCCTGGGGTGTCTCTCAGAAGCAGAAACGTCTGTCTTGGTAGTGTCCGAGATGTTTCAGAGTCGCTGGCATTTTTAACCTTCACTTTCTTTTTTTTCCCACCACCCAGCGTCGGCGGAGATGGGAACCTCAGCACCGTCACTACCCTGGCCAGTGAGTCCCCACACTCTTACTTGGGCTTTAGGGCGGGCTCGTGGTCACCCTGAGCGTTTCTGCAGCGCCCCCTGGCGGCGGCCTCGGGCTTAGCAGGGAACCGGTGGCAGGAGACAGCCGCATTCGGCAGGGGGCGCTGCTTCCCCGATGTGATCGCACTGAGATAAAAGCCTGGGAGATTTGGGGGTTTTTTTTTGAAATTGTATTTAGAGATCTCAGGTCAAATCTTAGTGCAAGTCATTATTGAGAAATGATTCAAGAAAGAAGGGAAAGGAGACACTTCTTTGCTGTCTATGCCTGTCATTCTGAGCAGAACATCTTTCTCTTACTGAGAGACATTGATCAGGGTTTGGGCTGCATGAGGCACCACTGCAGGCAAAGACATTCCATTCCTGTGTGTAGCTTTAGGAAACGCTACTGTTGCAGCAGTAAAGACGAAGTTACTTAGTTCAAGTGACTGCCTGGAAGGATTTTTTTAAAGCTTGTCTTGTTAATCTTCTCAGTACACACGTCATTGTGCTTGTTCTTAAAGACACACGCAATAAGTGTTAAAATTGCTTTCTTCCCCCTTACAATCTTATAGCTAATAATTACACCCAAGAGGAACTTCATCAGTCCCAGTCTCAATTATTCTTCTTGCAATTTTCCCTTGGTTATATATCTTCAGATATATCCCAGCTAGGAGGTTATTTGAGCTTTAACTCACTAAGAATCTGGTGATAGGGACTGCTCAATCTCCACACAGGCAGAGCTGATTGGACATCACGCTTGTTATCTGTTTTTGCTCTTTGCAAATCCTGTTGAATTTTAGTAGGTACAGTTCTGGGGCACAAGTGCTCCCTGTCTTCTTTATTTCCAGGTCTATACACAAGAGCTGCTAATAAACTCCCCTACTGCTCAGAGATGGATTGGGTTGATTTTGTAAGCGAGATGGACTGGTTGTGAGCAGGCCCAGCTTATACAACAGCTTGCTGGGCTCCCTGATTCCCGTGCAATTACCATGGATAACATAACTGAAAATCAGTAGGCTCACAAACTTTCGCCAAAGTCACTTACAAAGGATTGAGACAATGTCACCCCTCAGGTGGACTCTCCTGACACAGGTAGCCTATGTGGAGACTGTCCAATGGGGAAAGAACCATCTTTTTTTTAAAAAAAAAAAAAAAGATTGTATTTATTTGTTTTTAGAGAGGGAAGGGAGGGAGAAAGAGAGAGAGAGAAACATCAATGTGCGGTTGTAGGGGCACCTGGCCTGCAACCCAGGCATGTGCCCTGACTGGGAATAGAACCTGCGACACTTTGGTTCGCAGCCCACGCTCAATCCACTGAGCTACACCAGCCAGAGCTTAAGAACCATCTTTTTAATAAATGGTTCTCGGGCAACTAGATAGCTGCACACACAGAGTGGAGTCAGACCCCCACCTCACACTGTACACAAAAATTAACTCAAAATGAGACGTCGACCTAAATGCACGAGCTGAAACAAACTCTTAGAAGAAAACAGAGGAGCAAATCTTTATGACCCTAGGTTAAAGAAAGCCTTCTTAGATATAACACCAGAAGCACAAGTGACAAAAAGAAAAAAAATAGATATATTGGACAAAATTAAACACTTTTGTGTTTCAAAGGAAAAAGACAACCCAGAGAAAGTAAAAGACAACCCAAAGAGAGGGAGAAAATGTTTGCAAATTATATATTTGATAAGAAACTTGTATCTAGAAAATATAAAGGTTTCTCATAACTCAGAGATAAAAAGATAACCCGATTAAAAATGGGCAAAGGCAACATTGCGAATATATTTAATACCTCTGAACTGCACACTTAAAAATGATTAAGGTGGTAAATTTTACTGTGTGTATTTTACTGTAATTTTTTTAACGGACAAAGGATTTGAATCCACATTTCTCCAAACCAAGACACACAAATGGCCGATCAGCACCTGGAAAGACACTCAGCACCAGCAACTGTCGCAGGGTTTCCTAGCTGAGTGACTGGCACGGGGAGGGGGCGGTGGGTAGGGCTGTGCTTGGTCCTGAACACCACCCACCAGCGGTGTGAGAGGAATTGGAACGTTGTTCTGGGGAACACTAAACTCCCTCTTCCCTGTATCTGCAGACATCCTCCGGGAATTCAACCCTTCCCTCAAGGGCTTCTCTGTTGGCACCGGGAAAGAAAACAGCCCCGGAGCCTTCCTGAACCAGGCTGTGGCGGGAAACGTGGCTGGGTGAGCAGCTCGGGCCTTCTGGGGACCTGCGTAAGGAAGGGCTTGGCCTGGGTGGGGATTTACGGCTGACAGCTGGGGGGCTGGTCTGCGGGGCGGTCTCAGGGTCAAAGGCTGGACCGGAAGGGGCTGAGGGACACTAGAAGGAGCCGCTGGCCCACCCCCAACGCCACCCCAGGGCAGCCGACTCTGACGCGAGGTGTGTGCTTTGAGCAAATTACATCTTCTTGTCTCTGAACCTCACGTCCACATAAGACAGTGACCGGAAGAGGGCCCACTGTGAGGCGGTTTTCATTGTTTGCTAATCTCTATTTTACCTCTCCTCTTCACCTTCCCTTCCTCAGACACGCTCTTTGAGCAGCTTTCTCGGGCTCTAGATCTTGCCTCCTGCCTGGAGCATGGAAAGGGCACCCGTCCCCTGAGTCTGAGTCCTGGCTCCCCTGTCCCCCTTTCCTCCCAATCTGGCCTCACGAAGCCTTAGCCTAAGGGAAGGGCTGGCAGTGAACCCTCCCAGGGTGATCATAGGACTCAATGCCACGTTGAATGTGGAAGTTCTGGCAAGCTGTAAATAGCACTCACCTATCGGGTCAGGACGGTGGTCCCAGCAGCAGGACAGCAGGGATGCAAGACCCACCCGGGGAACCTGTTAGTGAGCGAGCAAACCCCCGTGTCATGGTCACGGGCACCGACCGAATGGACAGGGTTGGCTTTCCTGGGTCCTGTTAGCTGCATGTCTCTCCGAGGTCCTGGGCCTTGAGCGCTCCACGGGGTTTGCTGCCTGGACGGAGAGTGAGTGAATGCCGCTCCCAGACCAGGGAAAATGAGAGGAAAGATCCTGTTCTACATCCTGTTCTTCCTCCAGAATAACCACAAGCTTCACTTTACCACGTAGTTCCTAGGGATTCCTGCGTTTTGGCTCCTGGATTCCCTAGCTTCGTCCTCCCAGTTCTCATTCTAGGAGCCACCCAGGTAACTAACTCTCAGGTGTTCAGGACGGGAAAGGTGGCGAACTGCCCAGAGCAGAGGCCCTGCGAAACCCAATGCGGTTTAGAATGTATTCCGTGGCTCCGCTGTCCTTCTGGTGGGGGCGGGCCGAAAGGCTACCACTCCGCTGCTTTAAATTTTCGGCTTACCGTAGTGCTACTGTAGTTTTGCTTCCTTCCCAGCACATGCCAGCTGGTGGGGTGAGCGGAGAGGCAGTTGTGAGCATGACTAGGTCAGGAAGGCATCCTAGAAGGAAACCTTAGTCATAAAAGCAGCCAAAACGGAGCGTGATTCACATGGCCCTGGATTTCTTCCCTGCTTTCCCAGAGGCCTGGGGCTCTTTCGTTCAAGTAACCCATTCAGGACATCCAGCACGTCCTGGGCTGCAGGGCAGGGTGAGAGGCTGTTGTTCCCATGTCACAGAAACTGTAGCACAAGGAGGCAAAGGGGCCTGAGCAGATGCGTCAGCCCAGCCACATGCACGTGGTCTGCTGGCTTGGTGCCTGCGGGCTCTGTCCCGGGGTTGACGGCGAGTCCTCAGACATACACGGCAGCGAGCAGGCTACAAAGTACCTCTGTTTCCCCTGTCCCCTGTGCTCCACACAGGGACCGTGCCATGGATAAAGCGGAGGGTCCGGTACCCATGCTTTCTTAATGGCGATACTGGTGATACAGGGAGGCCAACAAAGCACCCCAAAACACAGGTCCGCAGACAGAGCAGCTGCTCTGATAACTTCAGATGTCCAGACGAGGAAACGGAGGCTCAACGAGCTTACGTGGCTCACCCAGAATTCCCACCCAGGCCAACTGATCCCCACTCTCCTGTGACTAAGACCAGGCCAGCTGGGCCGATAGTCGAGAGAGGAAGAGGATGGCTAATGTTTCCTGCTAGCGGCTGTGCCAGAGACGTCCTTGATGATAATGCTGATGGTGGTGGCACAAATAATTCACGGGTTGATTTATCCTGTGGGTGCTGACCATGGGCTGTTCTAAGTCCTTTCGGGGCACCTTATTGAATCTGCCCAGCATTTCCGTGAAGAAGCTGTGCTCACCATCCCCATCTTACACAGGAAAAAACGGGGGGCTGGCAAGGTCGAGTACTTTGCTAAGGTCTCAGAGCTGGTCAGTGGCGGGGCTGGGATTCAAACCCACGCTGTCTGGCATCAGTGAGGACCCTCGCTGCACAGGGCTGCTTTGCCCATCTCACTTCCTGCTCCCACGCACCCTCTGAGACTGGGGATTTTCTCCGCGTTTGTAGTCTTTTTGGACTGGGAACTTAAATCACCTTCCCACAGTTACCAAGAGGTAACTCAATGTCAAACTCAAGAATGTCTGGCTCAGCTATGTCACCTGGAGGGTGAGGGCCCCTTGAGGCCGAGGCCATGGCATGAGCCACGCATGACACGGAATGCTCACACGCAGCCTTCTGTCTGCCTGGAATGAGCTTGGCATGGGACGGAAAGCAAAGCAGGTGATCAAATACGCCCATCAGGACACAGTCCCCCGGCAGTCACCTCCTGACGTGTGGTGTGTGCTGTTCTTCTCGCCCCACGGACATGACTCCCACCACTCCCCCAGCTCTGTGACAAGAGCCTGACCTTCAGTCCAGCTTTCCTGACACAGATTTCATTCCTGTCCTCTCTGCTGAGTCCCCTCCCAGCCCCAGCCTCACAGTCCCTGCTTTGCACATGACTCCCTCCTGTGTCCGCCCGCAGGGATTTAACCGTTCAGGCCAGGAGGCTGGTAGACCTGATGCAGAATGACACACTGGTAAGTCTGGGGGAGGTGCCTCCTGGGACCACCTGTGGTAGGAGGTCCCAGAACAGGGGTTAGGCAGAAGAAATCCATGAAGACAGAGAGAGGCAGCTTTGGGGGAGGACAGGGCCACTGGGAAGTCCAGAGAGTTCATCTTTAAAAAAACAACAATAACCAATAGCAACACCCTCTAAACCTGGGGTGTGTACGGGCCCAATCCTGCCAGCGTTCGGCACTGTGTGTTTTCCTTGACATGACTCTGGGGTGAGACATTTACTTGTTCGTTTTCTATTCATTTCAGAAGATAGATTTTCAGCAAGACTGGAAGATAATAACCATGTTTATAGGGGGCAATGACCTCTGCGATTTCTGCAACAACCCGGTAGGTCCCAGGGGAGGGTTTCTGCCCCGGGCCCCCGAGCAGTGCGGCGGGGCTGGGGCTTGGGGCTTGTGGTCTGGCGTGGCTCCAGCCTGGGCTTAGCCTCAAGACCCAGGCGGCATCCACCTCCCGGAAGAGCATCGATAGCACCAGCGGGAATGATGGTGAGATGAGTCCTGATTAGGTTTTCTGTCAAGGGAGCCTGAGCATATCATTCTAGAAACCAAGATGACACTCCAATGATCTCTAGAAGTCTGGCATGTCTTCATAGCTCATTATAGGTCGGCTCCTTTCTCCAGTATCCGACTGCCACACCATCTCCGCCTTTGTGCTGTCACTTGTACGGGAAAGTTGAGCTCCTAACGCAGGCCCTGAGGCTGAGGTCAGGGCCCAGTCCCCTGTGGGCTGGTGGGAGACCCCAGGGCCAGGCGGCCACCCCGAAGGAGCGATGCTTCTTCCTGGACTCCCAGGAGCTCTGAGCAGGAAGGCACCCCCCTAGCCATCCCCCCCCAGCCGCCACCCTCAGCAAAGGTGCTTTCCACAGAACCCAGTTGTCCAAGAATGTTTCCAGGTTGGGCAGCTTTTTAATTTGCAAGGTGGCCCTAGCCAGTAACCTGAGCAGGTGTAAATTGTTTTGTGGTGTTTCTTTTTGTTTTTGTTCTAAAAGATTTTATTTATTTATTTTTAGAGAGGGAAGAGAGGGAGACAGAGAAAGAGAGGAAGAGAAACATCAATGTGTGGTTGCCTCTTGCGCACCCCCTACTGGGGGCCATAGCCTGCAACCCAGGCATGTGCCCCAACTGGGAATCGAACCTGCGACATTTTGGTTCGCAGCCCGCGCTCAATCCACTGAGCTACGCCAGCCAGGGCTTGTGGTGGTTCTTTGTGTTAAGCCCAAACTCTTGGCAAGCCTCTTCTGCATTCAATGCAGCTGACTTTTTTTAAAAAGTTTTTTTTTAATTGTGTAAGTAATACACACAGGAACATATCAAAGTGCAGAGAAAAAAAAAACATTCTCTGTGACCTAATCACAACATCCAGAAATGCCACTGTTAGCACTTTGGCAAGTGTCTCGAGCATTTTCTGTGAATGTGGAGAAAATGCTTTATTATTTTCTAAAAATGATATCATTCCAAAAGTATTGTTTGGTCACCTGCTCTTTTTCAATAGCTACACATTGGGAAGGTATTCCTCTATCAATATTTATTTTTCTCTCAAATAATTCTTGATGACCATATAGCAGCGCGTAATGTAGATTGGCCGTAATTTACTTAACTGTTCCCAATTATTGGGTGCTTACCTTGCATTGCTTCCAATTATGCCTATTACACATGAACACCAGGATAAACAACCATCTTTATGCATGTCCACAGTTGTTTCCTAGTGTGTACTCTAGGTAGCAAGCTTTTTTTTTTAACATTTTTTTAAAGATTTTTTTGTTTATTTTTAGAGAGGGAAGGCGGGGGGTGGAGAGAGAGAGAGAAAGAGGGAGAGAAACATCAATGTGCAGTTGCTGGGGGTCATGGCCTGCAACCCAGGCATGTGCCCTGACTGGGAATCGAACCTGTGACACTTTGGTTTGCAGCCCGCACACAATCCACTGAGCTACGCCAGCCAGGGCTCTAGGTAGCAAGCTTTATAAGCAAAAACATATGTATACTCCCCCCAGTGCTGTATTTCCAAACACACCGAGGCACTGAGAGGTGTGTGTGGTAAGTGCCCGTGCGCCCACTGCCTAGAGTTTACACTTGTTAATATTGTGCCGTATGCACACATTTCTGTCCATCTGATTTTTTGGAGACTGCACATTGTTAATGCTTTGGATACCTATGACCAAGTCACTGCCAGCCTGTGTATCCCAGTCAGGCCTCTTTCCCCACACCCCAGCTGGCAATGTGCATTATTGAATAACTGCTATTCTGATAAATGAGAAAAACTGAACCTTGTTTTCAAATTTTGCATTTTTTTTTTACTTCCTACATAGCAATAAACTTTTGTTTCCCTTGTTTGAATCTCTCCTTTTGGTAAATTCTATATTATGCCTGTTGGCTGTCTGCAGTTAAGGTATTTATCTTTTCGTTATTGATTTATAGAAACCCCTTGCCATAGGTGTTGCCCACTTGGTGCCTTCCATTTAGTTTGGTTGCAGGGCTTTCCGATAAACAAGATGCTTTTTGTTTGTAGTACCATTTGCTGGGTGCGTGTTACGTGCCAGGCACTGCCCTGGGGGCCGAGCAGGCGAGTGAGACGCAGGCGAGTGAGACACAGGCTCTGTCCTCAAGATGCTCAGCCCGTGGGAAGGGGGGTGGGGAACACAGACAGCTCACCGTACCCCGGTGAGGAAAGCACCACACCGAGGTCCTGGGGGTGCACACAGACGTCTGAAGGCGGAACTCCTGTGTCAGGAGTTTACACAGAGCAGGGGACACTTTCCGGCTGGGACCTGAAGTCCAGGACCATTGTCAGGCAGAAAAGGGACCAGCTGAGCGAGATTTAGGAAGTGGTGAGACCTGCTGTGGCCTGGGAGCCCCTGGCCTGAGGGGTGAGCCTGCCCCCCAGAGCCCTCCTTTCCTGGCATCAAAGTCACCAGGGTGTGGGGGTTTCAGGCTGTGATGGGAGGGGCCCATGGTGGACCCCTGGGGCTGCCTCCTGGGACAGATGGGACCATGGACCCCTCCCCCACTTCCCTGCAACTTTGCTTCCTTTGGTAGAGCAGGGCTCTCTGTTGGAGTTCATTCAGAAAGCGTTCCACTGTTTCTAAAAAACTTTAAGAACCGCAAGTATCAAAATCAAGAGAAATAACCATTAAAATGTGTTGGTGCTTGGCAGAGTGGTCTCCCGGGGCCCTGTTACCCTCCTTAAGTGGTGTGGCTGGGCTGTGGGCGCTTGAGGTCTGAGCAGAAGAAATCAAGGTACAGGACCCGAGTGTGTTCAAGCTGTAGGCGACCTCAGTGGTCCTCTGCTCCAACACCCCGTTTTGGAGGGGCCCAGAACGGCACGCGCCTTAGCTGGGGCTCTGCACCTAGTTGACAGGAGATGGATCCGGAGCTTTCCGTGGCTCCATGCAGGAGAAAGAGCGTCTCCCCCTCAGGAGACGGGGGTCATAGCCGTGATGAGCCTGAGGGTTGTGGGGGTGGTGTGGCGGCTGGGGTCCCAAGGCAAACTTGTGTTCAGGGTCGCCCATTCTGGCTGACACAAAGGAAGGAGGGGGTGCAGGAGAAAAAGTGGCCCTGGTCTGCGCAGAGATTGGGTGACACACAGTGTTGGGTGTTTCCTCTCCCCGCAGGCCCACTATTCTCCGCAGAACTTCACGGACAACATCCGGAAGGCCCTGGACATCCTGCATGCTGAGGTACGGAGGCCGGCGCACGTGGCCTCTGTGCAGCCCGACCACGGCTCTCCCTGGGCCTCAGGCCTGGCCTGGAGGCGGCTCTGGCTCCTGGCTGAGACCGCCTTGTCAGGTCCCCTTTGCCTGGAGACCAGCGTGACCCCGCTGTCAGCCCTGGTCCCAGCAGCCTGAACACACTGGTGCTGTCGGGGAGGGGAGGGGCAGAGGAGGGGGAGGCAGGGATGCAGGAAGCGGACCCGGCCAGATGGAAGGCCGTAGGCCTGACCCCCAGCAGGAGCAACCGCCCAGCCCTGATCCTATCGGTGACCGACCTTGACTTCGCTCAGGTTCCCCGGGCATTTGTGAACCTGGTAAAGGTGTTGGAGATCACCGACCTGAGGGAGCTGTACAACGAGAAGAAAGTCAGCTGCCCAAGGCTGATCCTCAGGTGAGCTTCTCCCCCGTTGCCGAAAGGGCCATAGGACCCTTCGCAGAAAGTGACTCTGAGGAGTTAGAAAACTGAAGGAAAGGAGCGGGAGCAGCGTGGAGACTGCCCCATTTTTTAAGCTGACAGGGTCTAATGGAGGAGACTTCTGTGACCCCAGTGGAGACCTCGGCTCCTCCTGGACTAGGCACCTGCAACCCACACGTGCTTCTGTTGCCATGGCCGCTCGGAACACCCTCCAGTCCCCCAGGGAGGGAAGAGTCAAGCATGAGGAACAGACGGGGCCTGGGTGGGCCAGGCTCATTGGCCGCTGCTAGGCCCGACCTTTCAGTGTGTTCAGCTCCTCCCCCTCCCCCAGGGACTCCAGTCCAGTCCAGGACAGAGGGAGCCTCTGTCTGGCACGGTGCTGCAGGCTGGGCATTGACAAACGTAGGGCCGTTTGCTTGTTAGAGGAGAGCGTGGTCCGATCAGAACCAGGAGGGTCTGGAGGACAGAGTCTCCCCCGGGGAACAGAGAGCCCTGGGCCTGGGGTGGCCCCAGGAGGCCTTCTTCATCCCCAGTCTCCACGGCCGAACGAAGGTGGCTCCCTCTCTCGTATCACTCATGTCCGTGACCCTCAGGAGTAAGATGTCCTTCCCACCGAGCGTGAACATTTTGCATGGCGTTGCTCCCTGCCGGGCTCCTCTGGACCATTAGCTGAGGTCACTGTGGCTGTGCCCATCCCCGCCCCCCACCTCCCCAGCTCTGCACCCCGCCCCCACACCATAGCCCCGAGCGTATCACATGGTAACTATTCATGTGCCTCTCCCCCAGCCCTGAACCCTGTGTCTGAGTCACTGCTAGCACAGCACAGGGGCCCAGTGGCTGTTGGCTGAATGGCTGAATGAATAATTCACAAGGGCCAGGTTTGCTCTTTGAAATGAAGAGGTATCTTGGCTGCTCCCCCGAAGATCATGCCAAACCTCACCTGGGGGCCCAGACTGCACGGGGCCCCTCAGGAGGCCCGCGGGTGCTGAGAGTGGGAGGATGGCTGCTGGGTGACACACGCCTGTTAGCGCAGCTGGTGTCAGGCGTCCTATTTTCAGCCGCTGACTCATCCCCTGGCTCCCACGTTCTCCAGCCTCTGGGCCACGCGGGGCTCAGTGTTTTCACTCCGTTTCAGAGCAGCTCACCCAAAACTCTCTTGCCGCCCGTCACTGCAGGCTTGTTAGGCCATCGAAGAAGCTAAAGGCTCAGAGGAGGCATTTGCCAGGGTGGTTCTCAGCTCTGAAGTGGCCAAGTCACTGACCGTGCGTTAGGCAGGCTCAAGGTCACCTTGGCCCACCACCTCTGCAGTGCGCTGCCCTCCCTGCCTCTCTGCTGTTCGTCTCGGTGGTGGCACTTTCCTTGGAGGCACTGAGTCTACCCAGAGCCATCCACAATGTTATCCCCTTATTTCTCAGAGCAAAAGCCCGGATTTGCAAGCTGTTCGTCCAGATCAGAGCTACAGACTGGGCAGAAGCTGTTTAACTAGGGATCAAGAGCTCAGGTTCATCCCAGGCAGACTTGAGTTCAAGTTCTGGCTCCTCCTCTTAGCATCTGTGTGATCTTGAGAAGATGACTGCACTGAGCCTCAGTTTTCTCAACTATAAAATGGGGATAATGACAGTTCTAGAATGGCTAAAGGGGATTCAACAGGTTAATACCCATAAACCCCTTGGCACAGCAAGTATTCATGGTGTGTTAGCTGTTCTCATGATCACTGTTGTCTCTACCGTCATTTAGTAGGAGGCCTGCCTGACCTCCAGCTCCTTGCTTCAGACGATCCCAAAGTAGCTGAGCTCCGTGAAAGGCATCTCCTGCGGATGTCAGGAGAAGTAACTATTTCATTTTCACGAGCAAATCCAGGTCTGGGAAATTTCCTTCAGTTTTATCTGGCACTGTTGACAAGTCAGACAGCCAGGGCCCTGGTTAGCACTGACCCCTGATACCTCCACATTAAAGGATTCTGGATTTCAAGCCACTGTTTCTGCATCGTGCACTCAGATGGTGATTTGGGGGGGGCGGGGCATCTCTTCCATTTGCTCTGCAGGAATCTGTGCCCCTGCGTCCTGACGCCAGAGGAAAACTCAACGGAGCTCGCCGCCCTCATCGAGGTGAACAGGAGGTACCAGGTGAGGCGGAGCGGGCTGCACGGGAACTGCTGTGTGACGTGGTTGCTCTGGTTGGACGATGAGCACACGCCTACGTGTTTTTGGACCCCAACTGAGTGTGAGGTTCTCTCTGACCGGTCCGCAGATTTATAGACACCCTGCAAGGCGGCAGGGGCTGTGGTTCCTTTCATTTGAATCAAGCTCTAAAACCAAGTCACTGGACACACCACCAAGACTCGGTTCCTGACCTTACACGAAACCAAGTGTTTCCCGTTGACCACGGGGAATGCGTGTGAGCCCAACTCCCAGTGGGAAGCCTTTTCCAGCCAAGAGAACCTGGGGGGTTCCGTGAGGTGACATGCATTCCCTCTGCCCTCCCCTCCCAAGGGAAGAGGCCTTACTGGGGAGCAGGAGGAGAAGGAAAGCCGGCAGGAGCTCTCTAAACACCCTGTGGGTTGTGCGTTCCAAGCCTTTCCCATCACAGCTTGGACCAGAGCAGCTGACTCCCTTGATTCAGTCTTGAGTTTCCCCCCAGATAATTGTCCAGTCACTCGAGAGGACCGTAGTAGCTGTCTGGCCCTTCTAGAATGGACTGCAAACCGCTTCTAGGGTGGACTCATCCTTCACGTCCAGGGACTCCTTAGAGCAGAACCACTTCCCAGCAGACTCTTGGGTGGCAGCCGTCCCCGCCAGGGATATCGGGGCCCAGGAGAACGAACCTCTCTCTCTCATGCTGTGGCCCCACCGGCCGGCCTTGCAGATGCCTCCCAGCTGCACTGCCTTCTCTGCACGCAGGCGCCTGTGTCCCCATGGCTACACCAGGACAGGGAAGGCCGCTGAGGCCCTGAGAGCAAACCTGTTCCAGGTGGGCGTCTCGGGTGCACGCAACAAAGGCTTATGCAGTTCTGGTTTATTTAAGCAGGTCTATTATTTAAGCACAATATCTGGAAGAGCTAGAAAGCTAGAGCCAGAGGCCAAGCTACCAGAATCATGGAATTTTAGGGACCAAGCCATAAGAGTCCAAATTAGACCAAAGAACTAGCCCAGGATGCGGCTGCCACCCTCAGCAGAATGGAGTTTGTGCCGTCCCTCCATCTTCTTCGGGGTAGTTTCTGCCCCCGAGTGGGAGTGTTCACTGGAGACCCTTGGTGAGTGCCCGCGCCCTCGTTGTGAGGGGCGTTGAGAGAGCCAGTGCTCGCCTTTCTCACCCGCTGCAGCGAGAGGCAGGCTGCTCTTCATACGGCAGAGTTTTCCAAACATAGGAAGTGGGTTCAGATGCTGGGTAGACAAAAAGAGGACCTATTCACCAAACCTGCCTTCACCAACCTTTCTAGATTGGCCGGCTGTTCCCAGGTCTGATCCGAGACCCTAACGTAGTGCCCGGAGAAGCGCACAGCTCAGCCACCTGAGGCCATCATGCCCTCTCTCCGAATCCCCTCACTCCCCACTTCCTGCCAAAGCCACGGTTCCCCTCCCTCTTCCTGGAGACGATCGCTGCTGTTAGTGCCCCCTGTGCCAGGCATTCTAGACACTATTTCTTTCACTTCTCCAGAGACGCCCGGTACCCCTGGGAGCCAGTGTGGCTGGTTCACAGAGTAACCAGCGGCACTGGATTTAAGGGATGGTCCAGGTCTTGCCAAATAGAGCTCTGGAGCGGGAAAGCATCTTGTCACACAGCTAGTCTGTGGCATTGCACCTTCTGCCTCATGGCTCTGCCTATAAATAGGAGACTTCCTGGGAGGTCAAAATTGAGGTGTCTCCAGTACAGGGGCCCTCTTTCTGGCTCCCACTGGGCAAAGAAAGTGCTCGGTATCTTCTGAAGTGGCCACACTAATGTTCTCGTGTATGCAGACCTGACTTCCCTCTCCAGCCAGGGTTCTGGCCCCAAATGGCACGAACCTGGCAAGCCGTGGGATGGCCGTCTGGCACCCGTGGGAGCCAGAACTGGGTTAATCAGTCCTCCCAGAGCTGAGGCCAAGTGGAAGCTGCGAGAGTGACAGCTTCATTACTCTCCCAGGGAGATCCGAGAGTCTCGGGAGCGTGCAGGCCCAGGGGCCCACGCGCTCACACACACCACGGGCCAGCGCCGCAATAGGCAACAAATGTCGCTGGTGACTCACCTTTGATTTTCTGAATAAATGTAGGACGGAAAAAAAGTAAATGTAAGAATTATCCAAAGAAATCATTTAATCAAATACTCGCCCCCCTCCCGCAAGTTTGAATCAGGAGCTTTAAAGGGGATCAAGCGGACGGCCTCAGAGTTTTCCTTACATTCCTTTTCTCGAGGCCTAGGTCAAGCAGGCGATGGCAGCAGAGGTTGGGGCCGGGGATGGAGGTAAAGGCTGATTTAAAAGGTCACTAGCTGGCTCCTGATCAGTTGATATTTTGCCACAGAGTGATTTCACTGCAGGGCCAGACTCCGTCTAATCCTACGGCAGCAGAGAAGGGGACCGCATGCAGACCGAGCAGACGCGGAGAGCCCCTGACCCTTGTCCCCCTTGCCTCCTCCCACAGGAGATGACTCACCAGCTGGTCGAGAGTGGGCGGTACGACACGAGGGAAGATTTCACGGTGGTCTTGCAGCCGTTCTTCGAAAAAGTGGACATGCCGAAGACCTCGGTAAGTAAAGCAAATGTAGTGGACAACGGGGGAGGGGGGGGCGTGGCACAGATGGTGTCCAGCTGTTTCTGAGCGTCACCTGCACCACCGGACGTCTCCTCACTCAGCCCCTCTTGTCTGCCCCGCGACCAGGAGGGGCTGCCTGACAGCTCTTTCTTCGCTCCCGACTGTTTCCACTTCAGCAGGAAGTCCCATGCCCACGCAGCCAGCGGTCTCTGGACCAATATGGTAAGGCGACCCAGGCGGGAAGAATGCTCCTCCCTCTGATAAGAAAAAGACTCCAGAAAGATTTCGCTGGGGCTCAGAGGCCCCTCGCCCAGGTCCAGGCCATGGGAGCCCCGCACGGCAAGGACAGCCAACCCATTCCCTTTGTCCCCCCCACCCCCACCCTCCTCCAGCCCGGACCACGGCCTGGGCTCCCACTCTCGCCGCCTCTTTCTCACTCCCCATCTTCCTGCTTCTTGGCTTAGCTGGAGCCCGTCGGCCAGAAGACGACGCGCCATGATTTTGAAAGCAAGATCAACATCACGTGTCCGAACGAGGTAGAGTGAGAAGCCCATCCTTGCCACGGCTCCACCCAAAGCCTCTCTTCCAGCCTTTTAAAGTCTCCTTACGGTTTCTCAGCCCGTTGCCTACCAGGGCCCCACCCTCAGCCCCAGCTCTGCTCCCCTGCTCACTCACTCCAGACTCCGGGTCACCGTCCGCGGTGTCCCATCCGGGTGGACTGGGATGGACGTCAGTCCCTGGTGGCCAGGGGGCCGTGGGCGCTCCCCTGTCTCCTCCCGTCACAGTGAGCCCCAGTACATGCAGCTCCTTCCAGTCTGAAAGGGGAGCACAGTGTTACCATCCAACTCTCATTGGGAAGGCTAGGGCTGGGGACAGCATCAAGGGCAGAAAGGGACAGAAGGACACTCCATGTAGCCGTCTCCATGGCACGATGGGAGGAGCGAGGAACAGAAACCCCCTGCTAGGGCGGGGGTGGGGGTGGGGGTGGTCGTTTGGAAGCTGGAGCTAAGAAAGCAGACATTAACCGGGAAGGCAAAGCCAATCAAATCCCCCCACTCACCCACGTGGGATTGAAAGGTTCTTGGATCTCTGCAGCGGCTCCCTCACCTCTGTGAGCCCCTCTGTGTTCCCAGTGGGGTCCCCCTGGCCTGGGCTTGCATGAGGCAGGACCTCAGAGAGCTTGATTTTCTTGCCTGGGCAGGAAGGAACCCAGGCTGCTGCAGGGTAGGAGTGGCATGGAGTGGCAAGGGGGGCCCAGGGAGTAGGGACACGGGCTTGTGCTGGCAGAGAGGGGTGCTCTGCTGGCAGGGGCCGGGGTTGAGGAAGAGGTGACACGGCCCCCCCAGCCAGCTGCACAGGAGGTGAAGAGCAGACATGGTCATTCCCAGGAGCCACTGCAGGGTGTATTCTGATTGTTCCTGTGGGTTCCGATTGGGTCGGGGTTGGGTCTGAGTTGCAGAGAAGGCCCCAGTGCACCCTGGGAAGGAGCCCCTAGGGTCGCCCTGGCAGGGAGGGGCTTGTGACATGGAGCGGGGAGGCTGACCGTGTTTGAAGCATTTCTACCCAGGCCAGCACCCCGCACCCCCAAGGGTGGGCGAACAGAGGGCAAGGCAGAAAAGAAGCCAAGTTCACTGCGGTTGCTCACCCCCTCCTTCCACAGGCCTGGCCGTTCCTGAGGACCTACAAGAACAGTGTGCAGGTAACTGCCTGTTGCTTCCTTTCCCCTTGCCAGCCTGTGCAGGGGGCACCCCCTGGGCTGGGACTCGCCCAACAGGGTGGGTGAGAACAAGGGTGTTCACACTCTTATAAAATCCATCCACGCACACCTCAGATGGGGTGGAGAGCAGAGTAAGTGACAGCCCAGAAGGGGCCCAGCCAATCAATTCTCAGCCTCAGCAAAGACGTAGGTGAAGAACCTATCCTCCCTATAAAGCCGCTATGGAAGCGGGGGTGGGGGGGGGGTTGTTGATGCCCCGATTCTTCCATTAGTTGGTGGAGGGCTCTGAACGACATTAGCCGACCTCAGGGTGGCTGATGTTCAGAATTGCCAAGGGACCCTCTTTAAATGCCCTTCTGGGCTCTTCCCTGGCTGGGCTGGGGGTATGCAGGAGTCTGTGTTTGTTAAGGTCTCTGTGTGTCTGACACCCGGCGAGTCTCTTTGGTCCCTTCCAGCCCTGAGATCCATTCTCTGCCCTTAGGGTCATGGGAGTCACCTGCTGTGCGAGGACAGAGCCCCTTCTGCCTCACCACCCACCTCAGGTGAGCCCCGTGGGACACACCGGGACACAGGACCTCTCCATAGGACTCAGGAGCCCAGGAATGTTCTGACAAAATTTCTACATGTAACTCAGTGATGCAGTTATGGCCAGTGCTTGCTTCCTGTCTGGGTGGTCACCTGGGACAAGTCCCTGATTTGTCCCCCTCTGCTCTGTGGAGATGGCTTGTGTAGCAGGCCTCCAGGTTACCAGGCCAGGAACTGTTTGTCTCTTAAAGGGAACACAGTGCAGGAGCCACGTGAGCTCCCCGTCCAGTGACCTAGCCCTGTGGAGTGACCTCATGAGGTCAGAGGTGGGGCCAGGTGCCCAGGGAGTCCCAAGAGGCAGCCAGCTCCCAGGTTGTCCTGGGGCTTCCGGCTCTGCAATCACTGCCGGCGCCTGCAGGGCTGGAGAGTTCCTGGAGTCTGGGAGACACTTGAGGGCCCAGAAAGACCTGGCATGATTGTGTCTCAGATTCTTGATGAAAATATGGAACCCAGCTCTAACTGGACTGTGCATCAGGCCCCAACCCTCATTTCAGATGGTCCAGTGTCCATCTGGTTGTCCATACAGGTCACAGCTGGTGTCCCACACGACTGCTGGCACTGCCGTGGTGGGATCCCACCATGCTGTCCCTTCCCCTTCCCCTCCCTCCCTCCCCTCCCTTCCTTCCTCCCTCCTCCCCTCCTTCGCACCCATTTACCCATCCCCTTTCCTTCCCCCTCTCTCTCAGCACCCTTCTCTCCCCATAGGTCCAGGGTTCCTTCATTAAGTCTCTTATAGGGAAAGCCTGTTTTAATGTAACCTCTGCCTCTAGGGCACCATGGACCCTGAGTCCTGCGTGGCCAGAGCACAGCTGAGCAGTGTTTCTGATCTCGCTTAAAGACGCACTAGACTCTGACTGCAGCTTCCTTTCCACGGACTCAGGCGTGTCCCTCTGTCTCCCCAGTGCACTCCCTGAGACCTGCAGACATCCGAGTCGTGGCTGCTCTGGGGGATTCTCTGACCGTAAGGACTCTTGGGCCCTGCGGTGGGGTGGGGGTGGCTGTGTCTGTTCAGGTCCCAGTCCTCCCCCTCCCTCCAGGGCCTGCACTCCTGAGCCCTGCATTATGCCCCACCCCCCAACCCAGCCTTCTCCAGGCCTTGTCAATCCAAGAACATGGCGACGGCTTGTTTTGCAGCCACTTTCTCACTCAGGTGTGCAAAGGGAAGTCTTTTTTAGGAGTGAACTGAATTACCTCAGATAGTAGAGGTTCTGCACACCTAACAACACTTTCTTAACAATTGCAAAAACATGTCATTTTGACTCAAAAAATCTTCTACACCTACCTGTGTGGGTGCCCCTTTCCATTCGGATGCTGCTTTCCAAGCGACTCAGACCCTCCCACCTGCTGCCTCTTTGCATCTGCGTGGGAAGCCTCAAAGGCACCCAAGCTGTGGCTAAAGCTCTGCCCCTAAGTTCTGAGGAGTGGGGCTCTTTGCCATCCCCAAGGACCACTCTGCGGCAGCACCTCTAAAGCCACGAGAGCGCCTTACAGACTGTCCCAGCGGGAAAGAAGAGAAATGCGAAGTTCACAAGGAATCTGCCCCCGGCCATCCACTCAGACCCACGAGCTTGTTCTTCGTTGCTTACGAAGAACTGAGGAGCGTGTCTCACACTCATAAAGCACTTTAGGGTCTTCCACACCCTTTCACAGCTCCGATCCAGTTTGGGCGTCCAAAGAGCCCTGTGAGGCAGGCAAGGCCCGTCCCCAGCGCAGTTGGGAGCCAGCTGCCGCCCACAGGAGGCGAGTGCGGGTCCTCTGACCGCCGGCCCAGCGTTCCGCTCGCGCATGCGTGGTGAGGGGCGTTGGAGCCAGCTGCAGACTCCGTGCGCGTTGACAGCCTCCGTTTTCTCTGGCTTGCTGATTTCCCTCTGGATTTTGGTGTGTTTTCAAAGGCTGGCAATGGAATTGGCTCCAAACCAGGCGACCTTCCTGACGTCACCACTCAGTATCGGGGGCTGTCTTATAGGTAACGATAACCCTTGACCCCTAGCTACCCCGGGTTCATCCCCGGAGACTGGGGGGGCTTTGTCTCCTGTGAATTAACAAATAACCAAGAGCAAGGACTGGTCTGGAAGGGGCTTCCAGAAGGAAAACCTATGTTACGCCTGCGAAGTGTGAGTGTGGTGAGTGGAGAGGGTCTTTTACTATTGATGACCTTTTTCTTCTTTTTCTTTTTTTTAAATTGTGCAGAAAAAGCAACCCAGGGTTCTTATCAGGCTCCTGGGTCAGCAAATCCAACAGGAAATGCACCCGAAAAGCACCAAATCTCTGAGTCTCCACCTGCCCGTTTGCGTGTATACGTCTCTGTGTCCTGTCTCTATGTGTTTGTTCACGTCAGTCTGTGGTCACACCTCCGCCTTTACGTGTATGTACATGCATGTACACGCCTGCAGAGAAAACTCCACAGTGCGACACACTTCGGGAGGAAATAACCAAGACAAAATCACAACAGCAGACGCTGAGCGAGGGGCACGCGTGGGAGGCGCGGGCAAACGCCCATGCTCGCGGGCAGTTGGCGCCCTGTGGCGGTAAAGGGTGCCCCAGCGCTGCCAGGGAAGGGAAGGGGAACACCCAGCCCTGGCTTCCCAGAGGAGGTGGTAGCCCCGTCATGTCCTGACAGAATAGCAGTTAGGTCATGGAACGGGTGAGAAAGAACATCCCAGACACAAGGTGTCAGGTGAGTGGCTGGACGGGGGCATTCTTAAGTTTTTTTCCTAATAAAGCTCAGATTTGTGTGTGCTTCTCCATGACTGGCGATTAGCTCAGACTTTGGAACGACTAGAGCAAAACCAGCCACCAGGGGGCAGAGTGTTGATGAGAAACTGCGCAGCTAACAGTGCACTGGCCTCCTCCCTTCAGGGTGCGTTCACATGAAATGTTCCTTCTGAGAAAGTGAGAGGGAGTGAGGAAAGTTAGGACCGTGACAGTTTCCTGGTCAACCCCGAGGACAGCGTCGGAGAGAAAGGTTCTCCTGGGTGAGAGAGGCGTCCTTGCTCAGCCTGTAGCCACCCACAGAGAGGGTCCAGGGCGTGGGAAGCGTGAGACCATCACCCCTAAGAGCTGGGGCACATGCCTTGGAGCCCCGGATGCCCCTAGGTTCCCACACGCCTCAACCAGGTAGGGGGTCCCCGAACAGGCCGGCAACCAGAGCCTCCCCTCCTGACCACCCGGCCCCAGGTGTTCTTGAGGCTGCAAGAAACAGAAAAGCCAGAGGGAGAGAAAGAAAGCAGAGCGCATTCCAGCCCCGGCAAAGGATGGGGTTGTGGCAGCTGCATTTAGCCTTAGCTGACCGAGGCAGGGGCCACCCATCACTGCGCGGAAAGACAGAAAAGAGATGGACCAGCCACCGGGTGAAGGAGAAGCTGTGCCTGGTGGTGCGGTCCAGGGAAGGGAGGTGATCTGCCCAACTTTACCCACAGGCCCACTGGACAGGCCCCGAGAGTCAGACCCAGGCAGGAGACCTTCGGCTAAACGTTTCTCTCTGCAGCAGAGGAAACACCCAGCCATCGCTGCCTCTGCCTGCAGGTGAAGTCCCGTGAGGCCTCATGTGTCAGCCTTACGTATTCAGTGGCTCACATACTCAGCCTCCTCTATTCATTCAATGGCTGCTATGCCTTTAAACCCTTTGCTTGCTCTAAATGTTTCACGTACCTGCCCCCAGGTCCCCATGTGTTAAAAACGGAAGCTCGGGGTCAGAGTTGGAGAGACAGCTCGACATGCGGTGGAACACATAGACTAACGTTTCCCAAAGTTTGTTCAGTGGAACACCAGCCCCAGCCATGGTCCTGAAGAGGGCAAAAGTCTTTGTACTTTCGGGAAACCTTACCTACTGTGTCCTTCCTCTGGGGAATTCACATGCATCTCAGCACATGAAAGGCTCTGAGAATACCTACCATGGAAAAAGGTTTTAAAAATTGCATCTGTTTAATCGCGTGTTTCCCTCAATCCCAGAATGCTTTCTTTGTTCATGTGCCTGTCAGCATCTCCTGGGGACTGTCCACGTGCTAGGGCAATGACCTTCCACCGGTGTGCAGCAAGGACTTTCAAAGCAGGCCGTACCTGGCTGTCTAGTCGGGGGCCCTGACTGCCTTTCCCTTAGATCATCAAGTTAAAAAATAACAGCTGCCAGCACGATAGTAGCCATTCAGTGTGAATGAATCGATAGTATACCTATTTTTTGGTCAAATCATCAAAAAATATAATGTATTTCTTGGTGTGCAACAGAATGCGAATTGTATGCCACGAGATGAAAAAGGTTGAAAAATCACTGTACTGGGCTAGCCTGAGAAAAGCAATTTTCTGAAGTCATTAAAGCTTCTGGATGAGAAATGCTCAGCAATGAATGATTCTAAATGAATTAGAATTGTGAGTTGAGCCTCTTCCTCCAAAAAAAATCACAAAGTGGAGAGAGCGACCTCACGGGCGGGATGGGAGGTGGCGGCTGCAGGCAGGACCCGCAGAGGGAGGTGTGGCAGCCCTGGTTTCCGAGGGCCCCGGGCGGTGGGAGTCACAGGGCCCACCAGTCTTCGGAGCCTTGCCTTTTCCTCAGTTGAAATAAACTGTCTTGTTGGGCACCGTTCAAAGGACCAAAATAAAATTTACTTGCCAAAAAAAAATGCATTTCTTTGTCTTGTTAATTAGGAGTTGAACCCTGCATTACAGAGAGTTGTGAAACATCTACTCTGTGTTTCTCTGCCCGTGGTGACGACAGAGGAACAAAGCCCAGCTGTGGAGCTCATGGTGCAATGAACACAAATTACGTTAATTGGCAGGTCTCCTGTAGACTAGCTGTTTCGTGTGGATCTGTTTTCTTTCATGTTTCATGTAAATCTGGTCAAAATGAGGGCTTCACTTTTTGTCTCACGTTTATTTGTATAATTCTCTCTCTTCTCCTAGAACTGTTCACTCTAAAGTGGGCTGAGAGAGAGATTTCCACCGCCTATGGGTCTAGGTCGCCGTGGAGAGTGCCATTCTGGGCTGGGCACGCAGTGTGTTCCGGCTGAGCGCTCGCACTCCCGACTTGGTGGAGAAAAGAAACAGCTCTCTTTTACCTTCTAATCCTGGGTTACGGGGGACCCGGCCCACTGGGGGGTTCAGGTTTTCTCAGACTCTCTCGAATACACACAGATGAAACCATGTACAGGTGCTGATGGTGTGGGCGCTAAGAAAAACCTACGTACTGATTCAGTCTCACTGGCTTACTCCCTACAGCTCAGGAGGAGATGGCTCCCTGGAGACTGTGACCACCTTACCAAGTAAGTGACTGCCAGGCTGGGGCTCGAGGGCGCCTCTCAGCTGAGAAAGGAGAAAACAGCGTTTTCCTTCCAACCACCATTGAAACGGGAGGACAGGCCCACGGATGGGCGGCTTAGCGGGTGAAATCAACACCATGTATGGAGCCCAGGGGCCTGGGGTCAAGCCCTGGCTCTCCTCTGTGCTTGCCAGGGGACCTAGGGCGAGTTCCCCAACATCCTGAGCCTCAGGTTTCTTCCACCGGCCCAGAGCGTGCAGAGAAAATCAAACGAGGTAGTGAGGATTCTCTGCACAATCCTCTGTGAATTGTCAGAGAGACAGAGAAAGAGAGTGAGCAAACCAGCGGAGACTCTTGCTGCCCTGGCCCACCCTGTCCTCCAGGCATTTCAACTCAGAGAGGCCCCAGCTCCTGCTGGGTGTACCCTCTGCTGCCTCTCCCCGGGCTGCCTGAGAATGGTAACGCAGCCCCCTGCGGGGACCCCAGACCAGGAAAGGTCCCTGGCCTTCTGTCCTAAGCACTCTGTGTCCTGTTCACCCCTTCCTCTTCCAGATATCCTTCGGAAGTTTAACGGCTATCTCACAGGCTACGCACTGGGCACCGGTGGTGCCAACGACACAAATGCGTTCCTCAATCAGGCTGTTCCTGGAGCAAAGGCTGAGTACGGCACTTGCGGGGGTGGGGGGGGGGGCGGGCTGTAGGTGGCACTCCCCTTTAAGGTTGTCATACTGCCCTCTGTGTGCAAAGGGCACATTCATCCATTCACACCAGTGATTTGATAGGCTCCCTGCCACTCCCTTCCCTGGCCGCCCCGGTCGCTAAGCTAGAGAGGCTGGAACTTGGACACGGCCGTGACCCTAAAGGCTGAACTCCTGACCTCACTTTCATGTGCAGCATGTTCTAATCATTCGACCAGCTGACCAGCCTCGTCCAGTGTTTACAACTTACCATGGCATGATGGTGCTAGAGAGATGCGCCCTCTCCAAAGCCCTACAAGCGGCCATTCCCCCGCAAAGGTCAGAGTGTGCCAAACAAATGGACGGGCCAGCCAGAACCTCCTTCTGTAGAGGCCACTGGTGTCCTGTCGCTAGCCCTCAGTGGAGCTAACAGGAAGCTCAGTTGAGGAGCCAGAGGCCGTGAAGCAGAAGCGCTCAGACTCCCAGGGTCTCTACCAGCTCATGCAGTCGGGTTAACGTTATGGAAGCCTCCAGTTCAGACCTTTTAAGGCGGGGAAATCCAGGCACCGTTCCTGAACGAGACTGATTTCCTCTCCTTTTCAGGGAGCTTGCAGGCCAAGTCCAGGCTCTGGTACAGAGGATGAAAGATGACCACGTGAGTCGGATTTATGGTTACTCTTAAACACACATTTTCTAACCCACAAAAGTCCCCAAATGGATTAGTCTACCATGAAACTAGGGAGCCCCCTGTCACGAGAGGCATTCAAGCGGCAGTAGGGCAGCCCTGGTTGGAGGCCTTCTGGAGGAGATTGCGTCAATGGGAAGACATTTATTGCTGGTCACAATGACCTTGAAGGTCCCTCCTGGTGCTGAGATTCTGTGGTCTATAAATAAACCTCTAAAATTCTTTCAGCTCTGAGATTCTGATTCTATTATTTCAAGTGGGCGAGGAAGTCTGAGAGGGTTAAATGGACTTCCTAGAGCTGGGGCGTTTTGCATTTGCCTGCTTGTTTGTGGGAAGTCACCGAGCGTTCTCCTCCCTCTGTGCAGAGAGTAAATTTCCACGAGGACTGGAAGGTCATCACGGTGCAGATTGGAGGCAGTGACTTATGCGACTACTGCACAGACTCGGTAACGGGGGCGGGGCGGGCCTGTTGGTTGCCCCTGACTTTGACCTGTAGGCAGGCCTTGGAGAGCCTCTTTGAAAACAGCCCTTAAAGTCAACCCTAGAACCGTACAACTACACCTCTGCGTGTGCACGCACGTACTTCCTACCCACTGCCCTCAGGTTTCTGGCCCCACCTTGATGTCCCAGTAGTGCGAGGTGGCAGGTGGCAGATCAGTGGTGCTTCTACTTCCCTCTCTCACCCTTCCTGAGCACTCAGAAAGAGAAGGAATTGTAAACCTCAGGCAGGAAGAAGGAGGACTTTCCACTTTCTGCCCCTGAAATAAAGCTCTGGCTGAAAGTGCCAGCCTTCTGGCTGGCCCCCTTTTATAACAGCGAGGGGTCAACTGTTCGTTTCAGATCCTGGCAGGATGAGCTGGAGACAGTTGGAGGCCAGAGGGAGGACAGGTCTCGGGGCTGAGCCGGGGGCGGGGGACCTGTAACTGCCCCCGCGCCCCCTCCTCTTAACCAGCTCCTCCTCTCCCTCCTGTCTCTTCCCAGAATCTCTATTCTGCAGCCAACTTTTTTGCCCATCTCCGTGAGGCCCTGGACATCCTGCACAGAGAGGTGGGTGGCAGCAGCTCCCTGTACTTGGGACCAGCCCAGAAGGCTCTCAAGCTTGAGGAAGGGAAAGCAGTGTGTGTGCTAATTGTCCCCACACTGCTCCCTGGGACATTCCCTGGTGGCAGCAGCTGGCACTGTGCTCTGGGCCACACAGTGTGTCTAGAGCAAGCCCCTCTCTGATCCAGTGCCCAGCAATGGGCTCTGTCCCCACCCCCCGGCATAGGCAAGCCACTGCTGTCCTCTGGCCCCCGGGTGGTTCCCTGGATGGCTGCGTCCCTAGGCCTGCTCAGCAGCATTAGAGAGCTAGAGAGCTCAGGCAGAGCTAGAGAGAAACGGTTGGGGGCTAATGTCCTGCCGAAGCGGGTGTCTGTCCCACTAAATTTAAAGCTAGCAGACTTGAGTTCACTAACCAATGGCTGAATGGGGCTGAGCTCTCAGCATTCAGACTTGGGTCTGCCATGCAGTCCCATTCCAGGAGGTGCCGTTCACACTGCAGCCCCGGGGTGCACACGGCCCGCAGGATCCTAGGGTCGCCCGGTTTGGACGCCTCCGCAGAACTCCACTCGGGCACATCTGGGCAGGCACTCCACGGGGCCCCTGGAGCGTGTTCCCACTTCTCAGGGCCCTAAGGCAGCCGGAGGGGGGAGCCCCTGGGGTCCCCCTGGGGCCCCCTCTCACCTGCATTCTTGCCCTCAGGTGCCCAGAGCCCTGGTCAACCTTGTGGACTTCATGAGCCCCAGCGTCATGCGGCAGGCATTCCTGGGGAGCCCAGACACATGCCCGGCGCAGCAGGCCAGGTAGGCAGTGCCGGCCGCCCTTGGCCCTGGTCTGGCTTGTGCGGCCGTGGCTCCTCGGGGCCTTTGTGACTTGGTCTGTCCATGTGCCCAACACTGTAAAGGGGTCCTTGAGCCGGGACCACCCCTATCTGGATGGTTGGAGCCATGCCCCACCCCTTATCCAACCTCGGGGTGTCAGCAGGAACCTGTGTGACACGGGGGAGCCCAGAGGGAGAGGCCAGGGCTGGGGCAGAGGCCAGGGCTGGGGCAGAGGCCAGGGCTTGAGAGACGGTGTCTGTCACCCAGCCTGTGAGGAACAGCATGGGGCGGTCAAACTGAAGCGGAGGTGAGGGAATGACCCACGCAATCTCGTCACGGTTAGCAGGAGTGAGTTAGGGAGGGAACTTCAAGCTCGGATTTTGTTTCTTAAGCTGCGTGCTTGAGAGGATACGTGGGTATATGTTGTATTATTCTTTGTACCTCGTAGGTACGCTTGCTTACTGAGCAAACACTTTTACAGAACTCACTGTGAACCAGGCACTGTCCTGAGCGCTTTAGAGATGCAGTCTCTTTTAAATTAAGTATATTTTGTGGGCATGAAATAATTCCTAAGCAAAGCAAAGATGCAGTGTCACTAGTGTCAACGAAGGAGCTGTCTGGGGACATGAGCCACTGGAGGCCCCCAAATCCCAGCCCCAGTACCAGAGGGTGCACTTCTGTTTTATGTAAGAAAATTGCACATGGTATCTTCATTGGCTAAATTCGTTCGTTCATCATGCTTTGCTTCGGGCCCAGCGCCTGCAGGCCAGCCCTGGTGCTCTGCTACTGTGAGAGGGTGCTCATCCATGCCCCCGTGGGGACCTGCCCAGTCCCCGTGTCAGGTGGGAAACCTGCCCGGGGCATGCGCATCAGAGCCTCACGGCACACCTGCTCCTGAGCCCGAACTCAGATGACCCGCCCCGTGCGACAGGACCAGCCCCTGACCAGAGCCTCGGCTCGGCCCCCTGCCTCCCTCTCTTTGTGCAGCATTTTCTGTAACTGTGTGCTGACCCCTCGGGAGAACTCCCAAGAGCTGGCCAGGTTGGAGGTCGTCACCAGAGCCTACCAGGTGAGACCGAGAAGCTCTCCCCCACCTCGGCGAGCACGCCAGCCCCGAGCCCCTGAGGGGAGGCACACAGGGGAGGGAAGAGCCATGCAGGGTTTGAGGGGAGCTTCACCGTCTAGGCCCCTTCCTCCGCCCCACCTGGCAGAGGTGTCTCAGGTAGCCGGCTGGGTGGCATCATTCCAAAGGCATCGAGGTGGCAAAGCCCCCGTGGCCCAGTCACCCATGGTGGCTTAGCCCTAACACTCAACCTGAGGACAGTAGCCTTGGGTGCCCCATGGGAGCCCCAGTTCTGCGCCCTGGGGGTCCAGCGGCCCCTACCCCACCCACTCCTCACCTCGTCAACAGGCAGGCCTGGGGCCTCTCTGGAGGCTCTTCCCAGGTTTTTATTCCTTCTGGGACTTCTTGCCTGGCCCTTCAGAGTTTGCAGTTCACATAAAAGCAAAAGAAAAAGGTGACCCAACCTGTTCCCAATTCTCTGGAGAGAGCTTTGCAACCAAGTGTGTCTGCCTGCCCAAGGGAAGGGCTGAGCCGGCACCCGCTTCATTTCCCAGGGGGATGGGGCTCCGTCCACCACTCCCATCCCACCCCTCCCCGCTGGGCTCCTGGGCCACCTAGGGCCTGTGCTGAAGGCACCTGTGGGTGTGTCCCCAGAGCAGCATGCGCGAGCTGGTGGAGTCAGGCCGCTATGACACGCGGGAGGACTTCTCCGTGGTGCTGCAGCCCTTCTTCCACAGCGTCCGCCTCCCCCTCCTGGAGGTAGGTCCCTGCCCTCTCCGGTGGGGCTTCCGGGGAGGACAGGAAGTTCAGGGCAAAGAGGCCATGTGCTTCCGTCAGAGTGTGAGTAAATGGGAACAACCAGGGCGGCTCTCCGGGTGCTGGTCTGGTGGGCGCAGCCTCCTGGACCATCCGAGCTGCCTTCCCAGAGGCAACCGGGCATGGGCAAGCAGCCTCTGCTGTGCTGAGCATCTGCTATGTGCCAGGCACTGTGCTTGCCAGACGCACAATCTTTACAGCTGCCTTTTGAGGTGAGTTTTAGCATCGCCATATAGCACAGGCTCAGAGGTGTCAACAGTCTTCCTACAGTCATGCAGGAAATACGGGATGGAGAGGGCAGATGTGAACGTTTCCAGCCCCAGATATTCACTTTCTGCCACATGTACACGACCCCATAGTCATAAAGGAGGGCTTGGGGTATTCGGTCTGCACCCCTGGCTGTGCCTTGGGCTTGACACTCCCACCCGGAGCAGGAGAGTGCTGTGAGCGGGCCGGGGTGGGCCCTCAGCTCTGTCCAGCTGGGCCTCCAGGCTAAGGGCTCCGCCTGACTGGAGGGAGCTTCGAGCACCGCTGAGTGCCTCGAGGAAGAGGTGGTTGGCCCACTGCCCCGTAGTGGCTTTGTCCAGGCCTGCCCCAGCCTCGGCCCCATTCTCCCCACCAAGACCACCAGTTCTCTCGGGCCGAGGGCTGGGAAGTGGTTTTTCCCAGCTGGCTGGCCAAGGCTTCCTTGGGGACTGGGTCTCATGCCCTTGACCATGGCACGGGCCAGGGCCTCACACCAACATGCCTAAAAGCAAATACGGCATTTTTTTTTTATTCAGTAGGGGAAACTGTGGGGCCAGAAAGGAGGATGGGGGCTGGGGGTGGTCACCCAAGGCTTTGGCTCTGTGGGATTGCTCTGATCTCCCCCTCGAGGTGAGCAGGCCCGGCAAGTCCAACAGCTCGGAGCCCCCCAGGGGAGGAAGGGGTCGAGGGGTCGAGCCCAGGGCTCAGGCCAAGGATCTCAGCTCCCCTTCTGCCCTCTGCACTGATGGGATCTTGAGGAAGCCTATTTCTCTCCTCCAGGATGGGCGCCCGGATACGTCTCTCTTCGCCCCGGACTGCATCCACCCCAGTCAGAAATTCCACTCCCAGCTCGCCAGAGCCCTTTGGGTCAATATGGTAAATTAAATGGGGTACCCCTGGGGTCCTTGTCTATAGCAAAGCACCAGTTCCCATAGACTGGAGTGTTCTTGGCCTCCCTTTGCCAGCAAGGTACAGAGGAGCAGTGGCTGCCTGGCTGGCTGGCAGGCACGTCTGTAGGCGCCTATAGACTTGAAAATAGTCCTAAGACCCCAGGGTTAGCTACGCCCTCTCCTCTGTGCCTAGAACCCTGCCGAGGGACTCTGCAGGAGCGCAAGGCAGGCCCTTCACACAGTCCACATTTCCTGCGTGGCAGCCTCTGTGCTGGGCGGCTTAAGCCACGTTACCTCGCGGAAGCTTCCCAACGGCCCTGCTGTGCTGTGAGTTTATGAGGAAGCTGAGTCCTGGAGAGGCTCAGGGACTCGCCCCGTATCCCACAGCTGGCAGCTGGCAGAGCCAGGAACGGAGGCCAAAGCCCCTGAAATGGTGTTTGGAGCTTTCCCACGGCAGGATGCTGCCCGCGGAAGTTCATGGCCATGGAAACAAATGAGTACACCTGTGTCTTTGTTTTTCCCCCAATCAGCTTGAGCCACTAGGAAGGAAAACCGACACCCTGGACCTGACAGCAGACGTGGCCCTCTCCTGCCCCACTCAGGTAATTGAGCAGGGCCGGCTTTACTCCTCTGCAGGACCCGGAGGTCTGACCCCACCCCTGCAGCCTCCCCCACAGCATTCTCCCTGCCCATCTTGCCCCTCATCTGGAAGCAGATGGACTCGGGAGGACGGAAGGAAGTCGATGAGAACAGAAAGGGGAGAAGCAGGTGGGAGAGGAGGCCTGGGCCCAAGCAGAGGTGGAGGGTCAGGATGAGCGAGGTGGATTCCTGCGCAGCGAGTCAGAGAGCCAGAAGGAGGAGGCGGCGGCCTGTCTGAGCAGGGGTACGTGGGTAGGCAGGAGAGTCAGACCGCAGGGGGAGGCCCAGGGAGAAGCCCGTAGGTCCGGAGTTGTGGTTCGTGGTGGCAGAGCCTGAATCGGGAGTTTCCGGCAAGGACAGGGTCACAGAGGACAGCCTGTGAGCTGGGTGGAGGAAGGGCAAGCCGGAGTGGCCTTGGTGAGAACTCAGCTCCTTTTAAGGAGGAAAATGTAAGTGGTTGTTCAGCTTGATTTCAGGCCTGGGGTGGGGGCAGGTTCATGTTCTGCCTGCCTTCGGCTCCCTCTTCTAGGCCCTATCTTATGACTTTTTAACCAAATAAGGCTGAGGCCCAAGAGCCCTCAGTGGCAATAAAAGCAGAAAGAAGGTTCTGACCCAATCTGGGAAGCTGGGTTTCCCTCCTGGGTCAGCTGCGTCAGCGTCAGTGGGTCCTACCCTCCAGGCTGAGCGGGAGTGGCCCCCCCCATGTGTCTACCAGGGCTCCAGGGAGGGCGCCCTGTCTGCTACCTTCCCCACCCCTGTCTGCGGCCCAGGCTCAGCCTGTGTGCCATCAGCCTCATCAGGAGAGCCAGGGTGGTGGGGAAGGAGGGCTGAGGAAGTGAGGGCCATGGCCACAGAGGGCTTGGCTGCTGGGTCTGGTGCATGGAGCAAAGGAGCAAAGGAGATAGTCCAGAGATGGGACAGCCAGGGTACCACGGATGCCTCCACTCTGAAGGCCAGGTGCTGGCCAAAGGGCCGGGGCACAGACCTAGAGGACTCTGCTGTGCCAGGAGTGAATGGTTTAACTGCTGTATCCTGAGCATGTCCAAAGGGCCCTAGGGGAGGAACCAGGCCACCTCTGCAGTAGGGGCATTTGGGGACTCAGAGCAGAGGCTGTAAACCATGCTGGAGGTAAGTATGTCAACATTTTTATAACTCCTGTGTCTGTTCTGAACATCAGCCATGGATGTCTTCCATTAAATAGTAGAAGTAATAACAACCCATTCCGGGGAGCCGTCATTGTTCTCCCCATCCCCCGCCTCCAAACAATTATTAAGTACCGGGTTACAGCCAAGGCACTGGGTCAGGGAGCACTTGTTGCCATGGACCTCAGGGTGACCTGTGACACCCTCTGCCCCAGGCCAAGCAAGGAGCCCCGACAGGGTGCCGCCCCACCAACACTCAGGTCACAGTGGGCTCTGCTCCTCCTCCCGGACAGAGCCTGACGGAGCCACTGGTGAGCAGAGGAGAGCAAACCCAGCCTCCCGGAACCCTAGAAGCCCAGCCTGGAAGCAGCGGTTGCCAGGCAACCCCAGAGCCCATTCCCAAAGGCTCCATCTGTTGGCCAGCCCAATTTCACCGCACCAGGCAATGTAGCATTCTGTGTTCCCCAGGTCCCATCTGCTCCCTCCCGTGTGCCTCAGAGCTATATAAAAGTCCACCAGCATCTCAGTGTGAGCTGACAGGGGCCAGGCAGCACATATTTTAGTGCTAGCTGTGTCTAAACATAGACGCAACAGGCAGGACCCACTGGGGAGGAGGGGGCCAAGACAGATGCAAACACTTGGGCGCTTTCTCAGCTTCCTCCCTGCTCCTCCCCCGCCCCAGTCAACTGCAAGTGCATCCTGCCTGGCCAGGTTGGCCTCTTAACAACACTCCATGGATTTCTGGTGGACTTCCAGGATGGACAAATGATTTCATAGCCAACTTGTGAATAACCACCCTGTGCACTATGGCGGCCGTCCCCTCCCGCCTTCACCACCTCTCTGCCCGCTCCTTCCCTAGCCCAGGGCAGCTGGCGGCAGCTGTGCAGGCTTTGAAGAAAGCAGCTGAAAGACCAGCACAGTCCTTTTTAAGCTCTTATTCATCTGGCCCTCTCTAAACATCTGACAAAGTTAACTCCCTCCTCCGTGAGTTTCCTGGGTGCAAAAGCACCTTGTTGTCCTGTTTTTCTAGTTGCTGCCCATTCTCATCTCTTTTAACAACCCTCCTTCCTTCTTCCAGCCTCGAAAATGTGGAGCTGAGACATTTTCGTCCAGCTCCACGTCTGTCCAGCTGCTCCACACTGTCCAGCTGTCATGTCTCAGTGCTCTTCTCTCTTCTCTGTCCCCCATTTCTTCCCCCTGAGATTCGTCCATTTCCAGGAGATCCTCTTAAATTCTTTGTATGAGACTCCCCAACCTGTGTCTTTATTTCTTGATCCTTTCCCAAACTCCACCTCTGTGCTTCTAACCCTTCAGAGCTGCTTTTCCCTACGTGGTATAAGGTTACCCAGACAGCAGCTTACAGGAATGGGCCAGGTACCAACAAAGCAGGGGAACCAAAGAGAGATGCAAAGAGAGAGGGAGACAGAGAGGCCGAGAAAGGGAGAGACCAAAATAATTTCAAGTGATGTTACATCCAGTCTTTCCTTTTGGAAAAAGCAGAGGTGTGTTGGATTCCACCATACGTATTGTTTTGCGGTGTTTCTGTTTTTAATTACACATGGGGGACACTATTATCTTCTGAATGCTTTGGACTTCTGAATCTCCTAAAATCCTGCCCTGAACTCACCATCCCCCACCCCCAACTCAACAAACTGTCATTCAGAAAATAATGTTTGAGTATGGAGTGCTAAAATAGGAACTACATATCTGTCTCCCCAACTCTCTAGAGAGCCTTAGGACATTCCTATTTCTGTCAGTGTTACAGTGTTTGCACCTTTCTGCAGCCACGGAAGCTCAGGCAGGGGCCCTACCCACTGGGACTCTCCCGGGAGCCCCTCTGGCCGCCCCTGCCTTGGCTTCCACTGCCACCCCTCCCCCATTCAGGTACTTAGCCCTTTGTTTGCTAAAGGTTATGTGGTCCGACCTTCCATCACAAAACAACACAGGATCATATAACCTTAGGCTCTTGGCAGGGAGGACATGGGAGCCCCGTAGATGTAGTTCTCATAGAATAAATGGGTCATTTTACCACATCTCTCCCAAGGCACTACCATGGCCTCTGCTTAAATTTCTGCACTCTCAAGGCAGTGCCTTTCAAACTGCCCAGTGGCAAACCATTAGCAGGCTGTGGAATTAGCCTAGCATGTCGCGCACCAGCGTTTGGAGTGGCGTGGCCCTTAGGTCCTCCTCCCTCCTACCGTCCCCGCCCCCTCCCCTGAGTCTTCTCCTCAGTTCCCTCAGCTGTTTGTCACAGGTGAGCCTTGTAAACCCTGTCTCATGCGGTAGGCATGCCTCCTTGGCACACGGCCCCTCTTCAGGGGCTGCCCAGACCTGCCTGTGCGCTCTGGTTTGGGCCGAGCAGCATGGAACTGGAAAAAAAAAGAGCCACCACCCCTTCGCCGAGGAACTTTAAACCTAGTGACACAGCCAAGTGAACATGACCTTTCCCCGAAGCCTCTGGCTCACGTTGCTGATGCACCTCAGGCGGCTGTCCTGGCGCTGCCCCACCCCCAGGCAGGCCACCCTGTCTTTGCACAGCCTTCCCTGTCCCGGAATTTAATGGGCTTCACCTTTTACTCACTGGTGTTACGAACAGAGCCAAAGAGAGCCGGTCGGACTAGGCGATGGAATCCCTCCTCCCGGCCTTTAAGTCGCGCTGACTCATGCACATGGCACGCAGCCTCCGGTCAATAAAACAAGCCCTGGGCAGCCCAGGCCACCTGTCCGCCGCTGGCCTGGACCTGCTCTTGCTATTCCTGCGCTGGCCTCCCTCCCCACCGAATTCCGGTGTCTCCTTCGCCTCCCACCCCTTTGACTCGGTCTGTCTCTCCGGCCCCTCCCCCAGCCCTTGGGTCATGCAACCCAGTAGACTCTCCAGCGTGACTTTCAGCACTTCGTAAGGTCAGGGTGCTTCTCTGTCCTCTTGTCTTTCCCCATTCTGGCTGCTCTGGGACTAGCTCCAGCCCCCAGGCCCTAGGCCCAGTCAAGGCTCCCTTGAAGTGGGGGGAGTATATTCAACAGCCACGCACCCACCACTGAGTCTGGTCTGTGAGGACCACACATTCCCAGATCTTACTGAAGGCCATTCCTCATCAGTCATTGCACTTAAGGCCACAGCATTCTTTGATGCTTCACTGCCACCTCCTAGCTTCTCGCCTTCTCTGCCTGATTGGGGGTCGTAAGCCTCCTCATGCCCTCCCCTCACCCTGGCACTCAGAACAGTGCTCTGAGCACGCGGGGACTCTGCAGCCGCGGCTCAGTTACGGGTAGGGTACTCCCAGGTTGCCCTCATGTGGTGGCGAATGCTCAGGGGAAGCTAAATGACATTGGCTGGAGACGAGCCTAGTTAGCCATGGTGACTTGCCATGATAAGGCCTCTTTTGCCTTGTACTGTTGCAGACAGTCCCGGGCGCACTTCCTGCCCTTGGCATTGAGTACTCCTCTGGCCCACGTGCCAGCTAGGAACAGAGACCCAGGAGGAAGGAGAGACACACGTGGTGTTCTGAAAGCGGGCCGGGGGCGGGGGGAGTTGGAGGCTGGGAGATTTGTGCATGTAGCTTTGGTCCTCCAAGGTGACTGCTGAGTCCCTCTCTTCCCCTTCCTCTGTGACCGCGCAGGGCCCGACACCAGTGCGAGCAATGGGACCGGGCCGCTCCTGGTCAGGAAGGCCTGTCAAGTCAGGCCAGGCCCCGTGCTCACTCCCTACTTGCTCTCTACCTGGAACGGGCCCCTTCCGCGCGCTGGACCTCAGCTGCCCCTCATCTGTAAAATGGGGGGTTTCAGATGCTGCAAACTCACATCTGAGGCCAGGCAGGAACACGACCTTATGAACGGGATCGGGCATGCGCCAGGAGGAAGTGGCGGGGCCAGGACCGAAGAGCGCGTGTTTCTTCTGAGAGCACTCAGGTTCTGTCTCCTCTCACCCCTCCCCCTCTGTGAACACCGTTCAGGCCAAAAAATAAAGCAGAACAAATCGAAACATCTCCTGGGTGGGCTCAGCCCAGGAGCAGTCAGTTTCCAACCCTGGGAACTGATCTCCCATGATGTCTTCTCCAACATTCTGGTTCTCTCTTCTTGTCCCCAAACTGCAGACCATGGCCCTTCTGCCCCACTCTTTGCCCATCCCCTGAAGAGTAGACAGCCCTGGCTGGGCCTTTGGTGCTTCCTGATCTCGGTCCTGCTCACTGGTTCTTGCTTCGCCATCGTGTCTACGTGTTCTCAGTCCCTTGCTTTTCCCGTTTCTCCTTCGCCTCCATTCGTCCTTCCTGATGCACCCATTGCCTGAAACTAAATAGACCTGGATTCTCGACTGGGCTCGTGTGAGAACCAGTCCTGAACTAGACAGGTGGGCAGGGAACGAAGAGGGTGTCCGTGAGAAAAGGCATGGCCAGACTATGTAAAGCTGACCTGAAGGGGGTAAGACACGTAGTTCAAAAGAGGACGAGAGCAGATAGTAAAAATAAATTGATAATCATAACACTCTAATGCTATGAAGCTCTTGGCAGAGAAATGACAAAGGAAAGAAAACAGATCGTTGCGATGATCAGGGAGATGTCCAGGTGCTGGGGGGAAACGGAAGCGTAGAACCCCGAATAAAACATGCGTGGAACCCTCGTCAGGCCTTTCACTGTGTCTCCCTTGCCAAAGCGGATGTGCAAAACCCTCTAGGGAATGAACAAAATTATGTTCGCACAGCTCTTTCTATCTGAGTGCAGAAAAATCACATTAAATAAATCTAGAAGACAGGATTATTAGTTCTTATTTTCCCTAAGCAACCTTCAATATTGCCAGATAACCAACCCCCCTCCATGGTTTCTGTTCTCTCTCAGAACGAGCCTTTCCTGAGAACCGTCCGGAACAGTAACTACACCTACCCCACCCAGCCAGCCGTCGAGGTAACTCCGGACTCATGTCTGCCTCTCTCAGGGACAAACGAGGGTGATTCAGGGTGCGAGGCAGGTTTCAGAGGATTTGCTTAAGCAGAAGTGTACCCTTCTTACAAACTGGAAATTGGAATGTTAAAAAAAATTCCCTGAACCACAAAGTTCTGGGACTGCCCTAGCATGTTCTCAAGCACTTATCTGACATCAGCAGCCCACAGGTAGAAGTGCCCGTGGGTCCGTTTCCTCTGACCTTTGTACAAGCATCATCTCTGATTGGGCAACTCAGCCTTTCAGGAAAGGATGACAGGGAGGCAGCGGGTGTGATGGGCCGCTGACTTGCTGAAAGGTGGCGGCTGAGTGGAAAGTATCTTAATTCCAGAGGCTGGGCCCAGTGGACAGCTGATGCATATCCAGGTGGGTCTCCAAGGCTGGCTTGGTTCAAGTCAACCATACTGGCTCTGAGGAACCCCGAAGGAGCCAGGGCTTTAAGGACTGCTCCTCCAAAGGTGGCCTGGAGGGTCCTGGACCACACCAGGCCTTGTAGGACAGGCCTGGTCCAGATCAGGTCTGTCGGCCACCGGGACAGGAGCTCAACCACCAGTTTCAGTGGGGCATCTGTGGTATATCCAATCTTGTATTAGAGGCTGGAGGGACTTTAGGGATATAGCAGACATGACCCTGGCCTTGGGGAGTTACATAGAGGTCATTTCCATGCTGAGCACCTACTATGCGCCCGGCACTATCCCAGGGAGATAGAGCAGAAGACCAGACAGATGGGTCTTATCCCTCATGGGGCTTACAGTCTATGTTTTTAAAAGAGGCACTCAGTAAATAGCTAAGCACAATCATTTCAGGAAATGAGGGCCACTCAGAGAAAAGCGATGTGAGACAGCACAGTGGGGCAAGGGAGGGGTGGCGAGTTCTGAGGAGTTGTGGGCAGGCCAGGCCTCCCTGGGGAGGAAAGATGAGAGCTGGGACATGCAGGATGAAAAGACACCGGCTACCTGGAGAGCCAGAGTCCCAGGCAGGACCCAGGAACACAAAGGTTCAGAAATGGCGTTGAGTTGGGTGTGTTCGAGGAGGAGAAGGAAGATCAGGGTGGCTGTGGGCATGTGAATTGGGTGGGGGTGGGGGTGGTGATGAGATCAGAGGAGTTCTCAGGGGCCAGATCATCCACAATCCGAATCCCTAAGTGGGAAGATTGGACTCCAAGTGGAGAGATGTGGGAAGCCATTGGAGGCTCACGGAGAGGGTGACGTATTCTGGTTCACCTTTAAAAGGTGTCCCTGACTGGTGTGGAAAATGGACTGGGGAGCAGCAGCAGTGGTTGAGGGGGGCCTTCTACAAGCTCGCTGACGCACTGAGACTAACTTAGAGGAAGTTCCTGAAGAACCATTAGATTCTGAGTCCTGGGGCCCCAGCCATGCCAGCGTCACGGCCAGGGTAACACCAAACTTCCAGCCTCTCTGGGCTCTTCCAGGCTCATATTAGCCCAACAGAGGCTTGTCCCAGGCCAGCTATTGACCAGAACTCATGATAATGGAAATGTCAGCTGCGTCTTGTCCATCAGGCCTTTAATTCTGTAACGTTTATTTGCTGGGTGCCTGAGTGAAGCAGGCACTGTGCTAAGTGCCGAGTACCTAAGGAGAGCCAAGCGGGCCTGGGCCTGCCCTCTTGGATCTTACAGTCTGTGTGTCTGCGCTTCTGCTGCTACAAGAGTTAGAAACCCAGGCCTAGAATGTGTGTGTGTGTGTGCGTGTGTGTGTGTGTGTGTGTGTAACACCTTGCTGTTTTAGCCACAGGCAGGTGACATCAACATTCCCTGGAAACTGGTTAGAAATGCAGAGTCCTGGGCACCACCCCAGTCCCACTGAATCAGAGTCTGCCTTTAACGGGACTCCCAGGGTGTCTGGGCACCCTGCAGCGTGCGGTTCTCCCCTGTGACGGAGGCACACGCCCACACTCCCACCTGTATCTGTGGGTCTGTGCAGTGCCTGCTGGCCCTGGCTCATCAGCCAGCTGAGATGGTTCTAAAGTACTCACAGCTATAGAGCTTTTTTTTTTTTTCCCAATGGTATTTCTTCCAACATTTGTCACTGGCACACGACACATTCTTGACTTCAGTAGGACATCCGCACGGAAGAAGGAATCCATCAGGGTGATGGATTGAGCAGTTCCTCGGAACAAACTAAATTATATCAAATTAAGCAAATGCCATTTAAAAGAAGTTTCATTTTTGCTCCCTCGTCAGAGGAGTGTTTTAACAAGGCTTGTCTTCATCATCATCTGACCAAAAGGGGAGAGATGAGCTCCCACAGCCTTGGCAGAGAACCGGCTGACCCGTCCACCCCCGCCCGTGGAGCTCGGCTGTGTATGCAGCCCTGGGCTCGTCTCCCAGACCGTCCTGGGGACAGGCAGGCGTCTGGGGCTCTGGGGGGGAGACCTGATTTCTCCCCCAGCTGGCCGGGATTGGCCGTTTCTGTGCCCTCTGCTTCTCACCCCGTCCCTTCCTCCAGCACCTGGAAAAGTTGCTCTGTAGTTTAGCTACAAAGAAATTTGACTAAAGGTATGCAGGTTACAGACATTACTTTTTACACGTACAAGGAATGGGTTGGCTATGAAGTTAAACATCCAAAAACATATACACACGCCCAGAAAAAAATACATAGAAACCAGGAACTTTGCAATTGTAAATATTTTGTGTTCTTTTTCTAAAAATATTCTAATTATTGTTTCAGCCCTAGCATGGCAATCAGTATCCATTAGCTTCCTGTTAAACAACAGTCCCCAAACCACCTGTGATGTCTTATCAGCATCTGAGCCTGTGGTCCCCCGGGACACCCGCTGTGGTGTGACTGCACTGCTTCTCCCCGGCTCTGGTGTAGGACTGCGGCTCCATTTAAGAGCGTAGATAGTGGAGACGGAAAACGCCGTGTGAGCGTGCACGTGCGTGCCCACCGTGGTGTGCTTTGTGCATAGGGAGAGGCAGACACTCCTTTTCTCCTCTCACGTCCCTCACAGTCCGTCCACCACCAACAGGTCTTAGCCTCGCAGGATCCCCTGCAAGGAAGTAGTTCTAGCCTCTGCTAACAATCACTGAGCTCATTCTTGGGCTGAAGCTAACTTCCCTGCACAATGGGTGTTGGGCGTTGTATCTTTCTTCCTGTTGATTTAGAACTGGGGCAGCGACTTCCTGTGTATGGGATGGAGCCCTTCCAGCAGCGTTCCCACTTCGGGTGAGTGAAGACGTCATTCCCCCCTTCGCTGAAAGGCCTCTATGAACATGCGGGTGGTGGGAGACCCTATGAACATCCCCCGGAGCCAGGAGCAGGCCTCGCTGACTCCTGGGCAGTGCTACCCACGGCCAGCGGGCCTGCAACCCCCTCGGGTCCCCCAGGCCTCTCCACAAACCCCTCTTCTCATGTCCACTTAGTCCCATTGGTGTCCCTCAGGCCTCCCTGCCCAGTGAGGTGGGGACGGTCAGGGGCTGGGGGTCCTCCCTGCCTATACCCATGATGCCCACAGCCAGAACTTTCTGGACCACTCCATTGTGAATTGGGCTCTCTCAGGATGGACAATAGCCAGCAAGGTCATTACCTTCAGTGCCTTGGATTGCTCTAGATGGATGCAAGAGTCAATGTTGCTAATGCCCTAGGCTGGAAATAAGTGTAATGGGAACCTGTGGGCCCACAGCAGGATCTCAGACTTCTGGTCAAGTTTATGGTTTAAAAGAAAGACCTCCCCCTGACCATCCATCTTGTTGCCTGTCTACCCTAGTCCACGAGCTCCGACCCGCAGACATCAGAGTGGTGGCCGCCCTGGGTGACTCGCTGACGGTGAGTGCTGAACCGCGCCCAGCGTGGGCCCCGGCCAAGCCCCGTGCACAATCTGCTCTCCCTCAGTGCTGGCTCTGCACTCAGCTGACACACCCACCTGGGCCAGGCACTGAACCGCAGCCACAAGACATCCCCAGGCAGTGTAGATGCCCCACTCGCCGCCCTTCTACACTCCAGCTCAGGCCCCACCTCCACCCCTGGGGAGAAGCTGCCTCCCCTCTGTCCCCTCTACCCCCGAGCATTGCGTCTGTGTGCTGGGGTACTCACCCAAGTCTGCCTGCCTTTATCAGGAAACTCATCTCCATCTGCTAGACTCACAGAATGGGGGTCTTACAACCCACACATTGCCCAGCGCCCCTCACCCCACTTAAAGATGTGTTCTTTGGGGCAGAGGGAGCCCAATTCACAGAGGGAGCAGAGCACACAGGAAGCACAGTTTCACTAAAGGAATCATGTTAGCCAACTACGCAGCTACTGCTGTGTGCAAGACACTCTGCTAGCAACTCCGGGGGGAAAGAAGTATGAGACACAGTTGTGACCCTCAAGAAATTTGTTCAGCTGGGAAAATGAGAAGCTTACACAGAAGAAGCTACATAATCATGTAGACAGCATGCGGGACTTAAAATCAGGTCCTTATTTCTGTAAAAACAACCAACTTCCCCATAAATATGGGAATGTGTTTTAATTTTGGTATGAACATGGAGAAAGCTATAAAAAGATGTGTGTGCGCATGCACACACACGTGCACACACGTGCACACACGCACACACACACACCCCACCAGGCTCATCACCACTGATCAGCTTCAGTGGTGTGTATATGTGGGTTAGGGGTGAGGTGGGGATGGGGCTAGATTACTGAATCATTTCACTAGTTATGGTGCATAGGTATTATTTTTATAAGTTTCAAAGAAGAATTTCTTTTTTAAAGATAGAGCATTGAAAGAAAGCTTTATAGAGGAGCTAGAGCCGGACACAGGCGTTAGAAAACGAATTAGACGTTCCCGGCCGGACCGCAGGGAACTCAGCGTGCCCGGAAGGGGCGCAGTGGGTGGCGTGGGGCAGGCAGGTCCAAGGCCCTCGGCCTTCAGCTCAGTTTGCTGAGACCTGGAGGTCTGTGTGGACAGGAAAGGAGTGGGGGAAGGAAGGAAGGAAGGAAGGAAGGAAGGAAGGAAGGAAGGAAGGAAGGTGGGTAGAAACCAGGCTACGGTGAACTCAGGAAGCTGGTGAAGGGCTTTGGCTTTGGCCCTGTGGGCGAGGGAGCCGCACGGAAAGGTCGGCATCAGGGGAAGGGTGGAGAAATGGGTCGCTCAGGGGAGAAGACGAGCGGACAGCCTGGTGGGAAGGGAACGGATGCTGGGGACTGTGGGGTCAGGTAGGAGGTCGGAGGGTTGTCCATGGCGAGAAGACGGCAGTCTCACCCCAGAGTATGGCAAAGGGAACGCAAAGGAGGAGCTGGGGTCAGGAGAGGCTAGCACTCGGGCACTGGTTGCACGTAGCGGACTGGGGAGTCGGGGCAGCTCGGACACCAAGTGTCCTGGGGAAAAGCTGGTACCGTTTTCAGAGAAGGTGAGTCCAGGTCCGGCGGTTGCAGGAGGTGCAGGGGCCCTTCCCGGCGCCCTGAACCTGCTGCCTGCTTGCTCTTCGCCCCTCACAGACGGCGGTGGGAGCCCGCCCCAGCAACTCCAGTGACTTGCTCGTGTCCTGGCGGGGGCTGTCCTGGAGGTGAGGATTTCTCCACTTATTCTCTATGGGTGACACTGTGAGCAGTGTGTCCCTGTCAGCCCTCCAGAGACGGGGCCAGGTTCCATGGCTCCGCTCCGGGATGCCGGGAGAGGCCCGCTTGCTCCTGTTAGTCCTAAGGGTGATGGGGACCCCCCCCCCCGCCCACCAGGGGCACTCTCTGGTTCTGACTCGGCAATATGAGGACCCGAGGAGCAGCAGGTCGGGGGATTTGAATAGACGTGTTTCTCTCCCCCAGCGTTGGAGGGGACGGGGCCTTGGAGACCCACACCACACTGCCCAGTAAGTAGCACCACGAAGAAGCACCGTCACTGCGGCCACAACAGCCCCTCGGGGAGGCCAGGGCCTTCCCTCCGAGAAATGGCAGAGAGAGTTATCTGCCAGGAGGGAAGTCAGCCAGCCCCGAAAAGACCCAAAACTGTCCAGCCCCCCACCTGGGCCCTGACACTGCACGTCTGTCTCCCACTCACCTGTGCTGTCTGCTTTCTCCCTCTTGAAAGACATTCTGAAGAAGTTCAATCCTCGAATATTCGGGTTCTCCACCGGCACACAGGAGGAGACGGCGGGACTGAACGTGGCTGTGGAAGGGGCCAGAGCTCGGTGAGTGGACGTGGGCACAGGAGGGAGAGCGCGGGGCAGGCTGGGGAGCTGTGGAAGACATGGACGGGGCGGTAGGGAGGCACCTGGGGCCCAGGCCCAGGGGAACAGTAATCGCTGCCCCGCACAGAGCTCCTCCGGGAGCCTGGCCCTGAGCTGGCCCCGCACATGGATGATCTCACTCATCCTCACACCCTGCAGGACACTGGGGCTTACAAAGTTTCCTGAATGGTCCAAGCTTCTTAGGAAAAGTTATCAGAGATGCTAGGATCCGGCCAGGCTGACTCAGGGCCTCCATTCTGCCCTGCGGTGCTGTTACTGCCTCTCAGGGCAGCAGGAGGAAGCACACAGCTCCACCCCCCGCCCCCGGGGTGCTGTCCTGCTGACCTCCTGAACCTCTCAGAAACTCGGGAACTTAGTGTGTGACCCTGTGGACGGCCACCCTGCCTCTCTGCCCCCTTGGCTCGGAACCTCCAGTGCTCGATTCTGAAAAAGCTGTTACTTGGGCATTAGGGAGTCAGATGTTCGGGCCCCTGGAACGGAGCGGCAGGTGTTTGATCTCCCTCGGGTTTCTGTTGTTGACACCCGCCCAGACCATTACAGCTGAAATGCCCCACAGAGTTCATTGACTTCCTGTGCGGGTCTTTCTGGGTATGTGCTTTGTGGCAGGAGGGCCACACTCACTCAGATCACCAAGGAAACGACGCTGCCTGGACTCACTGTGTTCCCAGGGAGCGCCCCGCTCAGACCCTGCCGGGGCCCCATGCTCTGTCGGGCCTCTGAGCCACAGGAAGCGATGTCAGTTCCTCAACGTCATAAGTAGGAAGAACTTCTTTTTCTGCGGAAAAACTGGGCTTCGTGGGGTCATAATGTCGACATCTAACTGCTGCTGTGACTATGACAGTTATTGCTCTCGTTGTCATGGTCACCGCTGTCCTTTCATTGTTATTCCACAGCCCCGGCTGCATTAACCGGGAGGTGATGCCTCAGTCTGCGGGCATTTAAGCCCCTTTCTCGCTTCACTCCTCTCGCTGTCTTTTCTGCTTTCCTGCCACTCAGCACCTCCACCAGTGTGAGCCAGTGGCAGGGGAAGTAGCAGCTTCTTGTTATGTCTCTGGTGTCCCGGGTTTGGGGAAAGGACAGCAGGCCACTGACTTAAGTGAGCAAGGCTGGAGCATTGCTCTCTCTCTCCTGTGGCCACGCTCTGTGTTTAAGATGGTGTAGTTAACGATAAGCCCACCTAAATAGAAAAGTAAATACCACAGCCGAGCAACTAAGATAATAGGACCTGGGGTCAGACCGAGTGTGTCCAGCTGTCAGCTCCCAGACTTGCTAGCTGTGTGACCTTAGGTAAGTCACTTAGCCCCTCTGAGTCTTAGTTTCATCATCTATGAATAAGGATAGCAAGAGTACCCACTTTGCAGGGTTGTTGTAAGGATTAAGCAAGACAATAATCCATGGAAAGCGCTCACTACAGTATATAATGTGTATGCCAAAAAAAAGTTTGCCATTATTAGGGTATTTAGTTTCAAGGTTTTATTAAGCATCTAACCTCCTTTCAATCCATCAATAAGAATTCACTGGATATCTGCCAGGGGCTGAGCCCCCAGGTGGTTACTAAAAGATACAAAACAGTCAAAAGGTGAATGTCCTCTGTGCAGAGAGCTTGCTGTCTAGTTAGGGAAACTAAAGGAATAACTTTGCGGGGGGAAGCTGTTGCATACGGCAACATTGCAGACCGAAATGACTTTGTACTTGGGAGCGCACCCAAGAGAACAGAGAAGCGTAGCAGGAGGACTAGGCACTCCAAATAGGGAGGCAGGCCCGGAGGGACCCCAGAAATCATCTCGTCCAACCCCTTCATTTCAAAGGAGAGAGAAATTCAGCCCTGGCTGGTCTTGGTAACGTGGGTGAGCTCACACAGCCAGTCAGTAGCAGAGCTGAAAGGAGAGCTCCGAGAGCAGGGCCCTTTGCACAGGGACAGGAAAGGAAAGGAAGGAGGTGTGGATGAAGGAGCTCACAGAGAAGGCTGGCGGGGGTGGGGGTGGGGCGCGGGGCTTGCTCTGAGCCTGAGGAACCTGGCTGGGGAGAGAGGAGGAAGTGGGCATTTCTGCCTTCCCCTCTAATGCTCACGTGGGCTTATCCCCACTGAATCCCCACTAGGTACACCTTAAACCCATTAAAAGGTTATAGGTGCCCTTTAATCAGGACAAGCTTGCTTTATAGCTTTCCAATGTTACCCAGCACTAGCAACAGTGTAGGGGTGCGATCCTGGAGGAGTGAACGGGAAACAAAGGCAGGGAGGGTGCCTGGTGTGCTTGGCCACCTGCTCGGCTCATCGTGGGCACGCAGGGATTTTCACTGGCCACCCTGCACCAGCGGCTGTTTCTGTGACTTCTTCCAAGGAAGCCTCTGTTGCACAGGGGGCAAACACAAGGCCTTCGGGCAGAATCCGGCCTTCCACCTTGTTTTATCCAGTGGCAGCACCGAGCTCTCGCTTAACTCTTAAGGAGTGGTTACATTGACACAGTCCTGAAATTACATTCGGCCCTTTGAAGGCAACCACGAGGCTGATGTGGCCCCCGGTGAAAATGAGTTTGACACCCTTGCTTATTGGCTGTATCTCTTTGCTGACATAACCTCTCATCTACATGCCATACACTGTCTTTAAAAGGCTACAGTGTGGTAAGTTTTCTATATGCCCATCCCTGTGAAACCGTCGGCAATCAAGGTGATAAGCACATCCATCACTCCCCAGAGTTCCCTGTGCCCCTTTGTCATCTCTCCCTCTCACCCCTTTCAGTCCCTGCCCTACTCCACTGACCTGCTCTCTGTCACTGTAGATTAGTCTTCAGTTTCTGAAGTTTTACATGAATGACATTGGACACTGTGTATTCTCGTCTAACCTCTTTCATCCAGCAAGTTTACTTGGAGGTGCGTCCGTGTTGCTGGAGTTATCAGTGGTCTGCCTATTGCCGAGTAGCATTCCATTGACGTAGAGATCTCCTCTCCAGAAGGATCCGTTTCCTTATTCGTGGCAGACAGCCTGGAGATGAAGGGAGAGCAAGCCCTGTCCATTCTCGTCTCCCCCATCCTGGTTTGTCGGGAGAGGCAAGAGCGAGGAGACAGAGAATGGTTCAGAAATCCAAAGCAATGACAGAGAAGAAAAGCAAAAGGATTAACGGCACGGAGAGTGGGATTTACAAGTAGAGATTAAAGGAGTCGGGAAGCCTGGAAAGGAAAAAGCCGGGATAATTTAGGGCTATGGCTTTTTTCAAATACACAAAAGGTTATTTTTAAAGCAGGCAGCCCGAAGAAGAAGTGAGCAGACTCAGCGTGCAGTGGAAGAGGTGGATGAGCTATCAGGGAACACCCCTGGTGGTGAGGCTGCGCAGAGGCCGCCCCGAGTGGCCCAAGGGGCCCGGCCTGCAGAGAGATGAGGCTTGAAGATTAGCCCCGGGCCGGGGCTGGGGCTGGGGCTGGGGCTGGGGCTGGGGCTGGGGCTGGGGCTGGGGCTGGGTCCACGTGGCTCGGAGGTCCGAGGCAGATCTCTGATTACTGCTCGGTTGAGAATTCTTGAGAAACAAGCCTCTCAGTACATTCTGAAGGAATAAACCTAACACAACATCAGTCTTCCTGAAACACACCCTCGTCAGGCCAAACTCCTGCAGCCTGAGCTCTTGCTCCTGGGCCAGTTCTCACAGTCCCTTCTCTCCTCCTGCTCAGGGACATGCCGGCCCAGGCCCGGGACCTGGTGGAGCGGATGAAAAACAGCCCAGTGAGTACGGGACCCCCGGGCACCCTGAGAGGCACTGGGTCTCCGGTGCGGGTGGGCACAGAGGCTGTAAAAGAGCCCCGAGGCCCCCCTGCAGCTCCTGCTCCAGGTCCGCCTCAAAGAGGGACCAAACGACCCACAAGAAGCAGGCCTTACCACAAAGGCACCCTCTGTGCTGCACCCCCTGACTCTGACCCTGGCACCCCAACCCCTAGGGCTGGCAGCAGAAGGGAGGGATAGAGCAGAGAGTTGGAGGTCAATGGCCTTGGGCTCGGGCAGCTTCCCACTGTACCCGGAGTCAGTGTCACAGAGCCCTATTATGTAAATGCTGGCTTCTAAAAATAGGCTTCTCGTTCCATCCTGCCCCCTTCCCGCTGCGCTGGCCCCTCGCAACCTTCTCACCAGTAGTTTTTTTTATGCTCTGTGTTTATGCCTTGGAACTCAACTCCTGGCTGGACTCCTATTATGGCGGTGGCTGAGGGGAAAGCAGGCTCCTTGGAGGGCCTCCCAGCCCCCACCGCAGCTCTCTGTCCACGCAGGGCTCCCCATCCTGTGCCCTCCCCTGTCCCCTTCCCTGTCCCACGCCTGAAGAGCTCTCCCAAGGGGCAGCACTGGGTTTCTGCCTCTAGCTGCGTCTCTTGCCCTCGGCCCCTTTGAAGGCCTTCAGATCACGTTTTCACGGGTGGGTTCATCCACTCCTCTTCACAGGGGACTTCAGCTTTCCGAAGAGGGTTTCAAAGGGCAAACAGTCAGTCCCCTGCACTGTGTGAGCAGACTCACATACACACGTGCACGCGCGCGCGCATACACACACACACACACACACACACTCTTTGAGGAGCTCCTGTGCAGCACCAAGGTCAGGGTTAGGGAGGCTCCACCGGGCATCTTCTCTCCATTGTGATGCAGAGTGAGAGACGGTGGGGTGGGAGGCTGTCTAGACTGGGAAGCACCCCCACAACGTGCCCCCCCGCCACCAAGCCCTAAACCTAGGATCCCCTGTCCCCTCAGGAAGTCAACCTGGAGGAAGACTGGAAGCTGATCACACTCTTCATCGGGGGCAACGACTTGTGTCATTACTGCGAGAACCCGGTAGGCCCCTGACCGGCCCCCTTTGGGGCCTGAGGCAGGAGTGGCCGACCGGCGGCATTCCCCGTGCCCAGGGCCCTGAGTTGCCTCATGGGAGTCACACCGACCCGCTCGCCCTGGCACCTGTCTGCCCTGGCTCACACGTGCTCCGGGGGGCCTTGCGTTTCCTGCAGCTGAGAGGCCCCTCGGGGACCAGCCTCACTGGTCTCCTGACTCCAGAAGTGTCTGGAGCACCCACACTTTGGGCACTGCTGATGGGGGGGCCTCTCTAGTGCACGCACATACGGTTTTCTGGTGTCCAGTGGATAACTAGCAAGGTCCGCCCCACACCTGTGTGCAGTGTCTGCCCTGCGTGTTGGTGTTTTTCTGTGGGGAGGGCAGCTGAAACGACACCCTAAGGGGCTGGATGAAACTGAGCTGGGCCCCATCGGAGGGCCTGCCGCGCTGCAGGGAGGTCACGAGGTGACCGGCCTCGGCTGGCCGGCCGGCCTGGGAACCCGACCCTGTTCCGTGGGGAAACATGTCCAGACTTACTAACTTTGGGAAGCTGTGACTTTTGGGATACATCTTGTTCTAAGTTGAGGACGTCCTGTATTTTATTTGGCCAGAAAAAGACAGCTGCCATCACTCAGAGATTGTGGTAAAGTGTCTGACGGACACAGGCGGGGGGAGAAGGCCCTTACCGTCCATTCCTCCTGCCTCAGGGAGACAGCCACAGGGGCTTGACGAGGATTCCCTCCCCGCACAGGGGTGCTCGCGCTCTCCCGGGCCCCTTCCCCTCCACGCTCTGCCTCGCTGCGCAGGCTCTGGGGGCAGAAGTGACACAGCCCCGTGGGGACCACAATGCCGTGGGGATCACCATTGCAGCTTGGACTCCAGGGGGTCCGGGAAGCCAGAGGTCACCCCAGGGCCACCTGGGGATACTTGGTACAGGAAAATGTCTCTACCAGCTTCAGAGTACCTGTCCCTTGTGTGAACAGGTTCCCACCCCTGCAAACATCTTTGTGAGAAGGGCCTGGCCGCCACCCCACAGCACTAACTGGGAAGGGGTGGAGTCAGCCTCTGGTCAGCAGATGGGCCGGGGAGGAGACCCCCGAGCTGAGTCACCAGGGACAGTAGGAGCCGGGGGGGGGGGGCGGCAGGGAGGCAGTGGGGCCAGCAGGGCCGACGCCTGGAGGAAGGAGAGCACGGCCATCAGGGGGGCACCGTCCTGACTAGAGACGGCTGAGGCTGGTGACGGGTGGGATGGAGAAGGGGCAGGGCGCGGCACCACTAGGGTCTGTGGTCCCAGGAGAGGGCTGAGGTGGGGATGGTTCGTGGTGTCCGGCAGGGGTCTGGAGATGATTTCTTCCCAGAGACTCTGTCCACCAGCAAGGAGGGCTGGGCTTCCCAGCCCGTCCGGTGCCATCAGAGCTCCTCTGTACCCCCGCTGCCGCCATCCCAGCCCTCTGCTGGGCATCAGATCACTCTCCCCCTCCCCTGAACAAAACCCAGGGGCTGAGGAGCACCCCTTCTTCCTTCACAGGAGGCCCACTCGCCTGGGGAATACGTCCGGCACATCCAGCAGGCCCTGGACATCCTCTATGAGGTAGGAAGGAGCAGTGGGTCCCAGCTCCTGCCAGGAACCCGCCTGTCTTCTTGCTCACTGGGCTGCTCCCAGGGTGCATCTGGGCAAGCTGTGCTCTGTGAGCTGCACACTGAGCAGGGCCCCACTGTGAGCGGGCAGCCGGACGGGATGGGACGGGACAGGACGGGAGGAGGCAGCTGCCCAGCTCCTCTGGGGGGAAATTCTAACTCAGTTAAACTGTATTGTTGGTGGCAAGGAGCTTGCCTCTGGAGCCAACCAGCCTTGGTTGCAGCCAGGTGCTGGGGCTTCCCAGCAATGTAACTTGGGGCAAGTGACTCCTCTGTGTCTTGCTTTCTCAATGTAGAAAGTGGGGCGGATAAAGGAGATTCAGTGAGAATAATACAAGTCATGGCCCCCCTCTGGACCTCAATTTCTTTACTGGTCAAACTGGGGAGGGGGAAGTTGGCTTGCAGGTGCTGTCCCTGAGGCTCATTCCAGCAGGAGCCAGTGCCCCGACTCCCCAACCGCCTGGGGACTCACGAAGCCCACCCCTCTGCTCCCCACAGCTTCCCAGAGCTTTCGTCAACGTGGTGCAGGTCATGGAGCTGGCCGGCCTGCACCAGGGCCAGGGCGGGAAATGTGACATGCCGCTGGCAGCTCAGTGAGTACACGGCCACGGCCCCAGGGCGAGGGTGCCTGGGGAGACTGGGGGTCACAAATGCCAATGATGGGACCAGTACAGGCAGAGCAGACAGTCCTGTCTGGAAGACAACTAGCCAGGAACTGGGAAACTCTGTTGGAAATGCCTGTACGTTATGGAATGCCTACTGTATACAAGTCACTTCATTTCTCAGGGCCCCTGTTTGCTTTTCCGTAAAGTCGGGCAGGCCAACCAAATAATCCTTAAAGCCTCCCGACACTGTCGGTGACCCCAGACTCCATGGGAGTGGTCCCACGTTCGAGAGGCCACAGAGGGCACCGAGCGCTCATGACCGCTGTGTCTGGCCTCGACCCTGGCTCGGTGGACTCTGGGACCGTGCCCAAAACCACCTAACCCTCTCTGGCCCTTTTGTTCCTCGCCTGTAAAATCTCCTTGCAACGTAGTTGGGAGGTCTAGAGGAAATGCGTGTGAAGTCCTTGGTCCCTGTGGGGCAGGCTCTCAGGAAAGCATGGGTTTTATAACATCCTTGACGTGACTGTCCTTGCAAGCCAGCGTGAGACGAGAATTTCAGCCAGGGACTAGAATTTATTTAAAGCTCAGCTGCAACCCTGGTAGGAAGTGGCCATCCTCTGAGGCCAGAGGATCCCCAGTTTTGCCCTCAGGGGAGGAGACTCTGCGGGGGGGTCGAAGGTCCTAGCTGGGGTCAGATGGACTTGCTGGGGCGATGACGAGCGGCCCCCAGGGGGTGCAGCCGATGCCCGGGGGTACGACGGGCTCCTCCAGCTTCTGCTGCTCTGGCATTCTACCTGGCAACCTGCCCCAAAGTACTGACCTGTCCCAGCTTCTCAAGAGTCTCCCTGCTCTGGAGCCCCGAGGGAGAGTCCCAGGCAGCCGGAGGTGGAGAAGGGAGGCGTCAGGAACATGAAGAAAGACTGGGTGCCACACAGTCTTCCCCAAACTGCAGCCCCACCTGGTCCTTCCCTGGAGAAACCCCCGAAGCCACAAGCTTGGGATGGCGCGGTCGGGCGGCACGGGGGGTGGGCAGCCTGTCCCCGGGGATGCTCAGGCATCGGGTGCCAGCTCTCCCACCTTCCCTCTTAACAAGTGCTGCTGAGCTCTGTGACCTGGGTCCACGAGTCAGCGAGGCTGTATGTGCTGTGGGGGCACGGGTGTCCCACCTTCCCCTGTGAGGCAGCACAGGGTCCAGGGTCCAGGCCCCTGTGGGTGGCAGCTTCCTTTGCGTGTGTGTGGGGGGGGGGTGGCGGTCAGCTTCCCTGAGGCCCAGAGCCAGGCTGCGCCTAGGGAGCTTCTCCATGGGACTCCTTTCTTACAGGAGCAACTGCTCTTGCTTCCGACGCTCCCAGGAGAACATGCTGGAGATGCAAGAATTGAAGCAAGTGAACTGGAACTTTCAGGTAACCCGCACCCCTCCTCTTCCTGCGCCAGATAGGAGGTGCCTTTGCTCCAGTGGGAGGGTTCCAGAGTTGTGTGTTCAGCAGGGCTTTCCTGAGAGCCAGGTCACTCCCTGAGGCAGATCACAGCCCCTGGAATATGTACGCAGGTGACTCGAACACCAAGGCTGGGGAGGAGAGGGGCGGGAGAAATCTCAGCGGGAAGGCCGAGTGAACTCCCCCTCACTGCCCCCAGTCAGCCCTGAGCAGGTGAGGCCCGTGAGCAGCACTGCACTGCCAGGGCACCTGTCCTGTGACGGCCTCCAGCCCACCCGGGCAGGGAGGGTGGCGTGCACTGCCTGTTGGTCTCTCTGGCTCCTTAGTCCCACCCACTCACTGTCCCCTCCCCTGACATGCCCACTCTGAGCCTCCCCGCGACTTACCCGTCTCACGCACGCACGAGGTGTGTCTCCTTTCCTCTTCCTAGCCACCTCCCCTGACGGACTTCACCTGCATACACCTCCGCACGTCAGCTCCCGCCTGCACGCCACTGGCCCTCCTTCGTCCCCATGGGGTTTCTTCACAGCTTGTCTCCCTTTCCCAAATGGATTATAAGCTCCTTAAGAATAAGCACACCTGGTCTTTCTCTCTTAGAGTCCACACTTTGGCACTAAATCCAAAGACGGTGGACTCCCATCCCCTTAAGCTCATGAGCATTTGGGGGAGCTGGCATGGAAGTGTGCCCCACTTGAGCAGGACCTGAACTGGGGCCCGTCTCCTAAGGCCCCTCTTCGTGCCGTGAGAACTGGGAGGCCTGTGGCCCGAACAGGCCGCTGAGCAGCTCAGACCCAGCCCTATGGAGACTTCAGAGTGGGATTGGATGCTACTTCTGCACGCACCCTTTAAGTCACCTTCGTCCAGGGGGGTCGGCCCCCGTCCTGACCGACCCCAGGTGGCGGGCCCAGAGCCTGTCCGTCCTTGCCAGGAGGGTAGAGCAGCCTCTCTCCCCACCCACAGAGCGGTGTCTCCAGGTTCTCCTACTGGCACCAGTACCTGCAGCGCGAGGACTTCACGGTGGTCGTGCAGCCTTTCTTCCAGAACACCCTCGTCCCCCTGGACGAGGTGAGCGGCAGGCATGTCTGGGAGGCATGTGTGTAGAAGCTGTATCTTAGGCGATGGATTTTCTTCTCTGTGTGGGCTTTTTTTTTTTTATGCTTCCCCTGCGTGCATTTTTGGAGTATGATTGCAACCTAGCTGCACTAGGAAAGAAAAGGAGAAAAGCAACATTTGACCAAGCTTCTGAGGCACAGCTCTGCTCTTTGCTGGGTTGGGATAGAATAGAGAGCGTCCTAAAAATATTATTCTTTTTCTACCACGAGGGCAGGGATGCTGAAGGGAAAGGATGGACTGTGGGCAGTTATGATTCATCTCTATTTAAAAATAAAAATTCAAAAATTGGGGAATCTCTCCAACAGTATCTGAGCCAGTTGCCAGCAAGGTTGGAAGGAGAGATGCCCAGGGTGCCTGCAAGGTGTTGGGGGGGGGGGGGTGGCCGGTAGCAGTGCCCTTGTCCCAGGGAGATAATCCCCTTCCCTTTGGTCACAGAGAGGAGGAGCTGACCTCACCTTCTTCTCCGAAGACTGTTTCCACTTCTCGGAACGTGGCCATGCCGAGATGGCCATCGCGCTGTGGAACAACATGGTGAGTGCCCGGGGGCCACGCCAGGGTGTTGGCGTCAACGACCTCCTGGCTAACAAGGCGCCTCTCTCCCCAGAGCTGAATAGGGAGGGCCATGCCATGCATCCGTCCTGACAGATTTGACTCCCTCAGTAATAATGCCCCAGTGCCGCGGGGGACAACTGTGTAGTCAGAGCCACTGGATGAAAGTGACAGCGTCAGGCCCTGACCGTGTGACCGTGTGATCCGGGGCAAATGATCCTTTCTCCGGCCATCTGTGTCAACATCTGTAAAAACAATGAGCCCGACACAGATCTCAGAAATGTGAGATAATGTGTGGACGGAACCCAGCGCAGTAATTAACATTCGACAAATGTCAGCCCCATCACCCTAGTCTCAACACATCCTCAACTAGTGTTTCTTTAACCAGCAGAGAGGAGAGAGCCTCCCGGCCTGTTTTCCCAGGCTGCCACCTACTCTCATCCTTTCTTAAGGTGGTAAAGGAGACCTTATGCAACGAACTTAGAGCCCCAGGGCCACAGGAACACCAGGCCTTGCCCCTGCCCTTTATGGCTGGCTACTCCCTGGCCAGCAGTGAGCCATGTTTGCCCAGAGCTGGACCAGTAGCCGAGGTAGCTGTGTCCTCTTGCCCAGAGCAAGGAAATGCCTTTCCAATCCACAGGTGTCTTTTGATTTAGTCTCTTAGGATTGGGTGGGTAACCCAATCCATGCCCCCCCCCCCAACCCACCAAATGTGCACATCCCCTCTTTCCTCCCTTGGGGAGGAAACACTTGGCACTCCTGCCCGATTCACTGCAGTTGAGACCTGCCGCCCCCGCTGTGCAAATATTCCCGCACCTGTCAGCTCATGCAGGAGGTCCGGGGTCTCACTCACAGCATGGGCTTCCCCTGAGCTGCACCCTTTCCTCCTGTCTAGCGGCCTCCCCTCCTCAGGACAGAAGGCACACGCAGCCACTTGGCCACAGTGACAATGCTACCACACGGCCCATGGCCCCCACCCACCCCTGTCCCAGCCATACTTTAAATTTTAAAAACAACAAAAACAAAACAAAACTGAACTAAATCATCAGAGAATGTCTTCTCCTATGCTATATAATTTGGGGAAATAATTATGTAGTCCAGTGTTTTCATCCAAAATCATCTCAGCTATAAAGCTATCACACCATGCCAACTCTTCAGATTATTTTCTTACTGGAATTTCACCCCTAGAGGATAAATAATAGGTTCGTAGACCTAAAAGGGCTCTGAGGAGTTATCTAGCCAGAATGCTCAACAAGTAAAACACAGAGACATGAAGCAATTGGCCCAGGACCACACAGCCAGTTAGTGGCAGAACAGGGAATAGAACCCAGGTCTGACTGCCTAGTGCTCTGGACGCAGCACCACGTGGCCTTCCCCCTCCCGGCCAGATAAGCGCATATGCAGCCGGTGAATTCATGTCTCGTAATTAGAGCCCTGTGACATAGTGTCTGCAGGCTTTGGCCGATGCTCCCAGTGTCTCCTACTGCGGCAGTAAACACACTTTGAATTTTTCGTCTCCTGCTCCTCCTCTCTTAACAGATTATGCTTCTTCCAGAGACTTTTGCAAAGCCAGAAATATCAGCAGGAAGTGTTTTTCTCTTCCTTTTTATTCTTTTGTCTTCTTATCAAGTTTTTCCTTTTCCTTTTTTTTTTCCCCCTGATGCCTATTCCTTCACTGCTGGCCGCTTCCTCCTGTCAAAATCCCACTCTCAGCTACTCTCTGCATTTCCCCAGGCACTGGGCGACAGCCTGGCCTCCTGACTGATGTCCCTGTCTCCAGGCTGCAGCCGGCACAACAGCAGTTCTCAGCTCCGGCTGGAGAGTAGCATCATCTGGAGACTTCTAGAAACAATTTATGCCTACACCCACTTGGGAAAACTCTTGGGCGTATCTACTAAATCTGAACGTCTAGATCCCCTGTGACCCAGAGATTCCCCTCCTGGGTATTTCCCCATCAGAAAGGAACACACGGTTTCACCAAGAGATGCAGACAGCGTTTTCACAGCAGCACCACTCATAATCCCCAGGTGGGAAACTCCCCAAGTGTCCACCAACAGGAGGGTGGATCCAAAAAAAAAAAAAAGGTGGCGGGCCCTGGCCCAGTGGCTCGGTTGGTTGGAACATCGCCCTGTACGCAAAAGGCTGTGGGTTTGGCCCCCGTTCAGGGCGTGTATGGGAGGCAACACATTGATATTTCTTTCTAAAATCAGTGCACATATCCTCATATGAAGATTAAAAAAACCTGACACAGTTATACAATGGAATACCTTACAATGAGAAGAAAACTTCAACAACACACAGATATATATAGATGTCTATATCTAGATATATAGATATAGATATATGGATATATTTAGAGAGAGATACATATATTTCAAAAACAAGCAAATTGACATATGGCCTCACTGAGGGTGACTTATACCCGGAGAGGGTGGCGGGGCTCTGGCCACTGGCAATGTTCTGTCCCTTGGATGCACGTTACAGGCTATGTTCACTTCGTCAAAAGTCATCAGCTCCTCACTGACGGTAGAGGGGAATGATTTGTACTTGTTTCTATATGTGTATTAGCTTCATTAACAAATTTACTTAAAACAAAATGTTCTGGGCCTCACACCCAGAAACTCTTCATCTGGGGTGGCACCTAGGTTTAGTATGTTTTTAAAGCTCCCCAGGTGACATGATTATAGAGGGTTTGCAAACAATTGCCTGGGACTTATTCGCACAGAGCAACTGCAGTGGTCCGCAGAAATGAAAATATGGCCCAGTCACACCCTGCTTGCCAATTCCTAAGGCCCACCCCTCCCCCAGGAAGAAAGGCCAGGCCCCTCAGCACAGCACACCCGGCCCCCTGGGACCTGACCCTGGTTAACCTGTTTGACAGCCACTCTGCCACCCTGATTTGCACTTGGCAATCTAATAAGGAGAAGAGTTTCCTGCGCTGCCCGTGCTGACTCTGCCTGTGTGTGTCTGCTGTGGCCCAGCCCTCACCCTGGACCGCCCTTCCACCCCACTCCTCCTGACTCTTACCCGCCTCACCACTTGACTCTGGTGCCACCTTTCTGTGCATCCCCAGAGTGGCCTAGAGGCCCACCCGCCCCCATTGCACTCTGGCCCAGGCCTGTCACTTGGCCCTTCATTGTGTGTCTGGCGTCAGAAAGGTGGGCTCTAGGGAGAACAGCCCCAGGCCTTCTGCCCCTGGGCTGCTCCACGCAGGGCTCAGTGGCTCCTCTCCATCCATCCACTCACTCAGCCACCACTTACTGAGAATCACTGTGCTGGGGACGCAGCAGTGGAAAAGATGTCCCTGTCCCTGTGGCGCTTACAGTCCAGTTAGGATGAGACGGATAAACAAGTAAACTAGGTCATTTCTGACCACATTCAAAGCTTTAAAAAAAATGGCAGGGTAACATGACAGAGTAATGGTGGGAGAGGAGGCGGCATCGCGGGAGAAGCGACATGAACTGGACAGGCTGCCGGGCATGCGGGGTCAGGTCCAGACTTCCAGGCCGAGGAAACAGGGCCTGTGTGGGTCCAGACTCAGGAATGAACTTGAGGCGTCTGAGGAACGTACAGGCCAGTGTGACTGCCGGAGAGTGGGCAAGGTCAGAGAGGGGAGCGGAGCCTGGTTTGGGATGGCTTTGAGCCACGTGAGCCGGTTTACTCTCTGGCTGCTGAGCAGCGATGGACTAGAAGGAAGCAGGAGTGGGCCTGGGGAGACCGTTAGGAGGCTGCTGGAGTCCAGGGGCGAGGTGAAGGTGGCCGGGACCAAGGGAGGGCGTGGAGGAGGAGAGGGTGGTCAGACGTGGGAGATGTTTTAGACTGACTCCTGAGGTGAAAGAGGCATACAAGAGGACTCCTCGGTTTGGGGCTGAGGAAACTGGGTGGATGGTTGAGGTGGTGGAGACAAGGGGGCTTGGGAGGGAGAAGTCCCAGCTCTGTGTTGGATGTGGTAATACACCCAGTGTTATCAGTTAAGCTGCTAAATGTATGGTCCTGGCGCTCAGAGAGTCCGTCAGGGATGGAGAGCTGGGAAGAAGCATGGGGGTCACTAGTGCAGAGGTGGCGTTTACACCACGGGTTTGACTGAGAGCTCCTGGGGAAAGAACAGGCGGAGGAAAGGAGTGCAGGACCAACTACTAAGCCCCAGGACATTCATCCCAACTTCTGACAGCAGCAACAGAGGGGGATGTGGGGGGAGGGCGGAGGGAAGCGAGGAGAGCGCTGTGTCCAGGGAGCCAAGAGAAGTGAGTGGTTGGAAAGGGAGGCATCAACTTTGACAAATATTGCTGAAAAGTCAAACAAGATGAAGACAAAAAACTAAAAAAGTGACCACTGTCTTTGGCAAAATAGAGGACATACATGACTCTGACCAGAGCTTCAGTCAGGCGAGGAGACTGATGACTGGTCGGAACGGAACGGGTGTCAGAGCAGAGGGGAGGCCAGTGAGTGCACGCGACTCTGCCCGGGGGTTGCAGGAAGTGAGAGCAAAGGCTGCTGGAGGGGGTGTGGGGTCAAGGAGGGGGCAGTTAAAGGCTGGGAGACAGAGCAGTGCATTGTGCTCTGATGGCGAGGAACCGGAAGAAAGGAGAAACTCATGCAATCATCAAACCCATACAGTCATTACCCCCCTCAAGTCCACTTCGTTTCTGGGTTCCTGGAATATCGTTGGGAATCACCCAACCTGGCCTTCAGCATCCACGAGGTGCTTCTGTCACGATAGCGCTAAGTGGAAATAATAATGTCTTACATGTGTAAGCCACCTCCTGCTCACACGTGCTCTCTTGGCATCTTCTCATTGGATGCTCACAACGGCTCAGTGTGGAGCGGTCAGGATAGGGTTTAATGCCCTACAGCTAACCCTGGGGCAGTTCAGGAGCCAGTCTAGCAACGTGCAGTCAGTATCCACAGAGCCAGGGCCCCAGCTGCAGACCCGCTGTGCTCTTCCCAGTCACCACACTGTCTCTCCCAGAGTCAGAGCAGCCCTTCCTCCTCTGTGCTACCCAGGAACAGGCAGAAAGGTTTTAAAACCACAGAAAGCAAGGTCATGAGCCAGGTGTGGTCATTAGCTGGCAGAGTACTTTCACTCCCTGCACAGGCTGTATGGGGGCGGGGGGGTCAGGCACCCGTGAGGTCAGAAACAACAGGCAGGGACGCAGATTAGAAGATAGTGGAGGCCAGATGTTCAGGACAATTGAATAGGTGAGAGTGCCAGGTGTCCATCCTTCTTGGGACTGGCCACACGTCAGGGGACGGGCCACTGGCTGAAGGTGCTGGGAGGAGGGGGTACAGCAGCTTCCAGCTCATTCTCAGAGGGTCCAAGGATCAACAGTACTAAGCAGAACCTCTGAGAACCACTGTTGCTCCCGGGAATGTTTGGAGTAAACCTTTTACTCTACGGGGAAAACATACCAAGATGCTCAGGTGAGAAAACCAGACTTCTCAGAGCTGACAAACCAAGTGTGGCAACGGTGTCACGGTAACCAATGTGCTTTCCAAGTTTTCCTGAGATGGACTGGCCCCGCACACTTCTAGAAGCTGGTAAATAGGATTGTCACCATTCTATAAACTGAACGTGCACAACGCCTGCGACCACAGCCGCCACAAGGGAAGCAGGAAATGAAGGTCTGGGCCCCACGTTCCACTCACTGGGGCCCCTAGACTGGCCGGTCTGTGCTGGCCTCAGCACATCCAGGACACGGACTTGGGGACCAGCCCTGACTGTGGCGGACTCGGACCTGTGGCTCTGTGAGCAAGAGTAGGGCCAGCTCTGGCCCCGGGGCTGCTGCTGGTATCTGCCTGGGGTCTAGACTCTTTGCTGGTTTCACTCTTGCAAAGGGAAGGAGTCTGGGATGGGACACTCCTCCCAGCTTTGGAGGGAGTCAGGGTTTCTCTTTCCTCTCGTCAGCTGGAACCAGTGGGCCGTAAGACAACCTCCAACAACTTCACCTACAGCCGAACCAAACTCAAGTGTCCCTCTCCTGTGAGTAAACGTCCTGCCTGTCCAGTGCGGACCAGATGCCTGGGGAGGGCGTGGGGGGCGCTGATAAATCCAGCTGGAGACAGCAAAAGCCCCCTGGGAGGCTTTGGCCTGGCGCACCTTCATTCACTGCCGCCATTCTCAAATCTCACCCTCCTCATTGCCCCGGCCACTTCTCAGCTCCTCAGGGTGCGCGTCCAAGGGTGAGGGGAGCCAGAGAGCAACAGACTGAAGCAGGAAGAGGCACTCAGGGGAGGCGGCAGTGCTGGCCAGAACCTGAGTCACCCTCTACCCTGAGGAGTCTGAGTCATACTCTGTCTTAAACAAGGTTGAGGAGCTCTCCCAGGCCAGGCACGCCATGGGGGGGAGCGGGGGGAGTAAGTGGGGGCAGGGTTGGGAGTGGGGAGGAAGGGAGGCACAGAGAAAGAAGACACCATTGCCTGTTCTGGGAGCCTGCCATTCTCTTCCTCCCTTTCCACCGCTGCCGTATCCCAGGCCTCTACTGCCTTCACCCAGGTCATCGGCAAAGTCCCTCACTTGCTCCCAGCTCCTCTGTCTCCCTCCACCCCCCAAATCATTGCTGGACGTGGAGCAGCATCCCTGGAAGTGACTCCAGCGTTGTCAAGACTGCTTAAAGCCCTCCCTGTTTCCCTCTGCCCATTGAAGAGAGGCCCCTTGGACCCTCTCTGTTCAGTTGCCTTGGACACTCTGCTCCTGAAACTGCAACAGCTTCCCAGATGAGCCCCACGACTGCCTTCTGCTTCTCCCAGAGGCTTGGCCCCCAGCCCCGCCTATGGAAAATGTTCACATCCTTCAGGCCTTGTCTGGGCTACTGTTCCGCCTTATCTCACTCTATGGTTCCACCTTATCTCACTCTACGGTTCCACCCCAGACACACACACCTGTCTCGGCCTCTCTGTTCTGTTCATACCTCTGTTAAGACACTGACAGGCTCCTTTTATCTCTCGGTCATATCTTAGCCCTCGGGTGCTGTGCCAGCTCCCCACACAGGGCTCCACACGGCAGGCAGGCGCTCAATGAGTGCTCCCCGGGAGGAGGCGTGCAGGGGGCGGGCCCACATACCGCCTCCCCCGCCTCTCTCATATTCAGTTCTCCAGCCTACAGAGCCAGCTGTCCTTCTACACAGAGTTCCTCTGCTCCCCGGGCACCCCTGGATGGGAGGATGGGGACAGTTGTCCCCGGGGGCCTAGGAGAAACAGAGTTGGGGGCTCTGCCAGCTCCCCGGGACACTCTCATTGGTCACCTGTCAGCCCCCAATCTTTCAAAATCGGGTCGACAGGAAAGGAGATGCGATGAGACACCCCAAAGAGGTTATAGCGGGCTCTCACCCACTCTGGATAGCCCTCCTCCTTCGGGAGATCTGGGCACAGTGTAGATCAGGGAGCTTTACACACGGAGGTGCTGTGGAAAGGTGCGGCATCTCCGGGACGGGGATCGGCCGGCCTGACGTGGGCAGGTGGCTGGTTTCAGAGGCCTTTGACCCTCAACCCTTCCCTCCTCCACAGGAGCGCCCTTACCTCCACACCCTGAGGAACAGCCAGCTGCTCCAGGACCCTGCAGAGGCTGAGGCTGGCCCCGCTGTGCTCTCCTGGGCTGCACCCGTGGCAGCAGGAGGTGGCCTTGTCGTTGGCGTCGGCTCGGTGATGGCCTGGAGAGCCGTGAGAAGGCGCCAGAGGGGAAATCTTTCAACGAGATTCTAGGCCCACCCGCAGAGTGGGGGCGCTCATCCAAGGTGCCCCCAGCCACACCATTTCCCATCAGGCCTCTTCTACCTCAGCCACCCCTGACCACCACAGAGAGACTGGCTTCAACTCCTGGTGACGCAGGACACAAAAAGGACCTCCACGACTCACTGAAGCCTGGGGCCTATGCTCCTGGAACTGGCAAGTTTAAATAAAGGCCAAAGCCCTTCTACTCTTGGGTGAACTTGTGTGAAGCTCTCAGGAAAACTGAGCCTTCCATCTGCTCAGTGAGGCAGCAGTGCAAACTGCCCGAGTGACGGCCAGCCGGAGCCTGACCAGTCCCTACCAGCTCCAGCCCAGCTCCAGCCCAGCTCCTCAGCCGCCAGACCCACTGTTTCAAAAGAAGGAAAATGTTGGTCACCAGGTGGTGGCTAGGACTTGGGAGCTGGCTGGCCGCCATCCAATACAATCCGACACACACCTGTCACACACCTGTTTTGTATCCAGGACAGCGTAGGGCACTGCAGCGCTGCCGAGGCTGTGAGGCACCTGACCGAGAAGACAATCTCCTTCGAAAGACAAGAAGCCCAGTGACTGTGAAATTCAGCCCTGGGACACGGAGAGGCGAGTGTGTCCGACTGCTCTCAAGACTAGGAGCGGTTCCCTGGGGAAAGTTCCCTAGGAGAAGGCAATTTGGAAATGTCATTTTTAAAAAATAAGAGGACTAGAACATGCATAATTCACATATCCTCAACCTGATTCCCTCAAGGTGCTAAATCTAGGAAAGACTTTCTCTTCTACATTACCAGGTTTCTGAGAGAGAGCTGGAGAGTCTCAAGAGACAGGCCCCTGCGAGGCACAAGGCCCTGAGCTGGACGGATGTCTCACCCAGACAAAACCCAGAGGATTCCTTTTGTCCTGCACGGAAACCCAGGGAGCGGGCACCAGAGGAGTTTTGAAAATAGAAGTGGCGGTTGTACAGCCTTGTGAATGTTCTAAATGACACTGGCTTTTTGCTTTAAAATGCTGATTGTAAGTCCTATGAATTTCACCTCAATAAAAAGCAAACAAACAAAAAAATCCATTACCACCTGCATTCTAAATACGTCTCTGACCCCACAGCTCGGGATGACAAAGAGTGTGAGTTAAAACCCCAGATGTGCCATTTGGACGTGTGGCCTTTGGAGCAAACCCCATCCCCAGCCCGAGCCCCAGGTTTGCAGACAGCTCCTCCATAAAACTGGACTCAGTACCCATGTCACCTCATGGCACCGCTGGAAAACAGAAACATAGACACACGTGCTGTGTAACTGCACTCTGCGCACATGGGAAGGAATTACTTTCTCCTCCGCGGAGAGTGGAGGTAGGGTCCAGGCTGTCGGGGAAGTGGAGAGGGCCGGAGACGGGTGTGGGAACCGGGCAATGGTGTACGGATGAGAATTGCTTGCCTCCCTCTTGTGAAGGCTCATCACCTTCTCTCCTCTGCAAACAGAATGGAGTCCCCACAAGACCTAGTTCCCGTCCCAGTGTTCTTTTAGCTTCCATTTCTGTTTCTGTACCATGGGGACAGCAGTCCTGCTCCACTTCTTCCTCTGGACCGAAAGACATAGTGACAGACTCACACGTCCTGAAGAACTGTCACTTCGCAGCTTGTGCTCCTAGCTCACCACAGTGTGACAACAGATGGAACGCATTAAATCCAAAAGTCCCTCTCCCCACGCCCCTTCCCCTCAAGTTTCCATTCTTCCAATAGCTCTGACTTCAAAAAAGCCCGGGCTGGGGTTGGTATTTACACTATGTGAGTAATCCTTGAGCCTTCAGTCTGAACAATTAACAAGAATAACAAAAAAAGTGATTCCAGGCTCATAACCAAGGGACATTTGTCACAAAGAGATGTCCTTTCTGGAGGAACACGAGTCAGGTCCCCCACATCCCCACCAAGTATATACCCAAAAGCCAAAGTTTAAAGACACTAAGAGCACCTACTCGGGCCTGGCGGGAGTTCACGTACATTGGCTACATGCCGCGCCCTTCACCTGTGGGAGGATGTTCCGTTTCACTAGGACGACACCCACAGCCTCACCGTGAGCGAAGCCACCAAATCCTGGGAAAGCTGCACTCCACGTTCCTCTCCACGGGGGCTTTTTACACTCAAAAGAGATTAGTGTGGGTTGAATTTGGTCCAAAGCTTCATAAAGGACATGGAACTTCAACTGTGCTCTGAAGGATGGAGAGATGATTTAGTCAGGGGCCAAAAAGAAAGGGGTTGTGGAGACAGCGAACTCTGTGAAGCGGGAGGATGCACGAGCCTGGTGTACGGAGAGGACGGCAGGAACGCGGGAGAAGAGGAGGAGGGATGGATGAGCCGGGCACACTGGCATTAGCGGGGCACTCTGGGAAAGGTAAGGAGTTAGTAGTGATCGTGCTGGCCCAGTGGTTGCGCTATCAGGCCGCATCTGATTTGAGTCTATAGATGTTACTGAGAGAGGTTAGTGCAAAGAGATACAACACCGGAAAGAGCTGACAGAGGGTTCACACTACAATAGACCCCATGGTGCCCAATAGTGAAAATGTCTGCATCCCTCTTATCATCCCCTTTTTACGGAGGAGAAAACCAAGGCTCAGAGAGGAGGAAGTTGGCCCAGAGTTATAGTTCCGTTACATAATGGGACGTTCGTCAAAATGAGACTCGTGTCCGGGGTACAGGGGAAACCCCAAAACATAAAATAGATGATTCCTGTGGTGAATTAGGCCCAACTGCAGATAAACGTGGTACAAAATGAAAACCCAGGAAAAGGAAGATATTGTCTTCACAAGGCTGGGAGGGCACCATGAGCTCCTCTGCTTCCAATTGGTCCAAAGAACTCTCATTAATAAGCTATGATATTTTTCATTACTGAAAGGGACTATGATTTATTTTACAAGGAGTATGTGTGGAGTTTTAGCAGCAGACAAATCTTCTAATGAAGACGCAATCCCTGTGAGAATCAGCAGACACAACAAAAGGCAGGATTAGCCCCACATCTTACATAACAGTCTTATACCAGCACTGAAGACAGACTGTATGTTTGTTTAGAAAGGTTAAAGACCAAAGGGATTTAAACATGAGATGAGAATAAAGCACCATTTTTTTAAATGAAGGCAAAATTATGAAAGAACTAAGAATCAAATAGAACTTCTAGAAATCAGATATATTGGTCTTCTGGAGAGATAACAGATGGAATACTTAGTAAACCAACATTACTTCCTGTGTATTTACCATAGAGCAGGCATTGCTTTCAGCAGTAAGTCCGTATTAGTCATCGACTCCCACGGCAGCCCAGGGAGGGACACACTACTGTTACCTCAGTCTTCCAGACGGGGGAACCTAAAGCAGACGCTATGTCTTCCCAGTCTTTTCGGAAGAATTAAATGAGATAAAAACTACAGTTTAAAAGACAGGTATTCGGTAATTAACTTCCTGCCCACATCAATGTTAACTCCAATGGATTAGTCAAGGGGCTTTGTAAAATAAATACAATAATGAGAAGATATTTGGCACAGCCTCCTTCCAAGTGCTGTCATCTTGGGTGGGCCCTAAATGTGGGAAACGTTTTCGGGTCCAGGACACAAGATGGGACAGGCTCTCACCACCCAACCCCCAGATCAGCGGGGAGGCAGCTGCTTTCTCTGCCCACTCTGCCAGGGGACTACCATGTACAAAGGTCTGGTTTTAGGTTAAGTTTGTTTCTAAACTGGATGTCAAAGGTTGAAATGGGCCTGGGGTCCACGACTGGAGCTGGAACAAGTCCCCCAAGCCAGCCCTCCCCAAGACTACCGCATCCTGGTCTGGATGACAGACTGGCTCTTCTATGTGTGGGGTCCAGTGCAAAATTAAAATACATGACTTCTTTGTGGAAAAATTATTAAGAATGTTAAGATAGCAACAGCAGAGCTTTAAACCAAGTGCAGGGCTTTTCCGGGCCCCTCACAGGCCACATACCCACAAAGCTGGCCTACCCAGGCCGTCTAGTCCTCTGTGCTCTCAAAAGCCAGAGCAACCAAACCAACATCCCTGTCTACGTGGAGCGGAAAGGAGTAGGCCAAAGGCTCAACCCCCTAGAGAGGGAGGCGCCCGGGGCCCTGTGGCGGAGCCTCGGAGGCTTTGCCCAAAGGGAGGCCTCCAAGGGCAGCTTGGGTTTTTTCCGCTTACTGGGAAAATAGCTCAGAACCTATCTCCTGTGACCGGTAGATCGATGATAAAGTCATTATACGTGGAGGTTCAATTTCGACATTTCTTTTCTGCTTCTATTTTTGTAACTCATTTTTCCCAGCAGGGGACGTGATGGGGATCTCTGGGTCTGAAATCCCCTGGGGAAACAGGAAACATAAGCAGTTTCCAGAACTGTCTCTGGGGCCACCGTCCTTCTAGAAGAGGAGGCACAGGCACCTGGGAAAGCAGCGCAGGCGCTGGTTGGTTTCCCATACGGCTGTTGCGAGAATGTGGGGAGGGCCTGGGCGTAAAGCTCAGAGCACCCGGCAGGGTGGACACAATGCATTTAGCTACCGTGGGTGGTGTTCAGACCAGTAGTCCAAATGGGAAAAACGAGGACCCTTTTGGTGCTCTGCCAAATGTGTATTTGTTTATTCAGTCTTTTTCCCCCTGAGTTGGCATTTATACTGTTTCTATGACATAACACTTCAACCAATAGGTGTCTTCATTTGGTCCATCAGTCAGCCCGTCAGCCTACAGAGCTGAGCCTCATTATCGCGTGTCCTGTGTGAGCCAGTGGGAAACATCGATGAGGAAGATGCAGGTCACCTCCAAAGGTTTTACTGTCTGCTGTCGGGACCACCCTGCTTTTATTATTATGCACCTACATCAGCAAAACACTTTACATGTAGATCCCAGTATAGAGACATTTATTTATAAATTATATATACAGGGTCTGGCAGAAGTAATGCCTGCTTGAGTGTGGTGGGTAGGGCAATAATATGGGTGTAGTAATTTATAGTTTTAATCTGAACATTTTACCTAAAATGTCATATGGTGTGTGTGCTTCAGTGTGATATTCTGTTACAGAATTGCATGCTTATGATTTTGAAATAAAAAGAGGTGTTATTTGATCCAGACCCTGTATATGTATAACTGTGCTAATATATAAATCACAGAACATTCACACAAATAGAGATAAAAGACAAAATAAAGCTGAAGTTTTGCTCATGTTAAAAATAATAGTAATATTTGGGGGAAGGAAAATATTTTGATTTGAATGTGTTTCTGTACTTTTGAAAATCTTGACTTAAAGCTTTGTGACACAATGATTTATTGGTCTGGGTTCATGGTAATTTTGTCTGTAAACTTGCTTTCAAAGGTTGTCATAGCTGAAGAAAAAATTCCTCACAAATATGGGTGACTCCAAACAGAAGAGGCACCTTGTTGGTTGTGTTAATTGCCATTCAGTTGCACGAAGATTTTTACAGAACTGTCGCTAATCAAAGACCCTTCCCCCTGGTTTCAATCTTTCCTTTTCATGTTTTGGGAGATGTCCCACTTTTTGCAAATGGGTTCAAACCCCACCGATGCTCTTTCTTTTGACATTTTCAAACCAGGCTTTAAAATTCACTTCTTAGTGGGTTTTTAATTTGCAGATGTGAGAGTCTCTACAGAATGAGCTCATCCCTTTCAGTTACAGAATCAGAACAGCAGCCACATTGCCGAACATCTGTTTTCCAAATCAATCCCCTCCCTCACCTTTTTTAAAATGTACCTTCCCACATTGAACTACACAAGTTACTTTGGAAACACAATTACTTCTTCTCCATGAAGTGAGGTTTTTTTTTCCTAAAATACTTACTAGGTGACATATTACTGACAACCAGCTATCAGACTAAAAAAGACCAGCAAGTTTGAAACTGTTGTCTATCGATTTAACAAAGTGTAATTTGTCTTCAAGCTTAATGGTTCTTCTAAGCAAATTGCCAAGATACTTTCATGCTAACTCTGTCCCTCATTATAAAAATGTTGCAAGCATTCCACTATACTTAAAATCTTGTTTTTGTACCAGTTACTACATTGATGATATCGCATTTTGTGCACTCCTGGCTTCGAAGCAATCGCTCACCGACTAAGGGTCAGGGAAAGAATTTCATGGACGGTGCTAGGTCTGTACTCTCACCAAGGAACCTTTTTATCTGAGCCCTCAATTAGTGAGGATGCGTCCACAGTTTTTCCGAAGAATTGTTATTAAAAAAATTGTTAAGAATTTATCTTCACTGGTACATTTTTCTTTTAATGGTATACATACACACAGCAACTGTATGTATAGTTCACGACTGGAACAGTCCAACAAATACCACAGGCTAAAACATGCTGGGGTTTTTTAAATCTATATTATAGCCAGATGCCCAATGCTTCATAATTTGTTCTAATGCTCAGCGATGTTTTCTCTGCATCTTCCAGCAGTGTGTACAGACCAGCACCCATCCTTCTGGTGCTGTGCGATTTCCCTTAGTTTCTTTTTGTCATTATGGCACGTGATTCTTTGCCTCTGCTAGTAAAACAACTTTAAAAAATAGGAAAAAGCCTTTAAACATTCATCATTAAGTTTAGAGAATTTTGTGAGGTGCTGAATGGAGAATGCCATGATTTCAAACATTGCTTTGAAAAAGCGTAGGGGTTTATTGACATGTACCAAATGTCTTGCTAATCCATGTAGCTTCGAATCATTCACTTATATCTGAGTGCGACATACGCCCTTAGGGAGGGGTGCATATAAATCTATATGCAATACAGACTTCGTAATTTCAATGTTTTGTCTTCCCCATCAGGTCTGATTAGATCATCATTGTTTTCATTTCGTGGTGTGGCTGTGAAAACCCCGACTGTCAGCTCCGGCTTTAATCCGTCTGACAGCTCGCTGTCAGATTTCAATTCTGATTCTATCACTAGCCAACTCCATGACCTCAGAGGACAGATGTCACAGCATGTTGAAAGTAAATGATTGAGCAAAGGACCACTTCTAAGCTCTCTGTGTTGGGTCCGCCCTGCCACTCTTGGGAACCCGCCCATACTGTATGTGACATGTGGCACTTGAGAGTGCCAGGGTCAATCCATAAATAAAACACTAGGGAGGTAACTTATCACAGGACCCAGCAATATATTCCTGTATTTGCAAAAAAAAAAAAAAAAAAGAAAAGAAACATATACCTACGCAAAGAGATGCACAGAAGTTTTGATAGCAGTTTTGTTTATAATGTAGTCCAACACTGGAAACTACAGAACTTCAACGGGAGGTGAAAGGGATGAATTAAGTTGCAGTGTATCCACATCACAGAATCCTACTCAGCAACCAGACAGTGAGCTACTAATCCTCACAATAACCTGGATGGACCTCAAAACATTAAAGAAGCCAACCTTCAAAGAGTACATACCCTTTTTTGTGAAGTTCTAGAAGAGGTAAAACATCTATAGTGACAGAAGGCAGATAAGCGTATTTCGTGGCCCGGGATGGGGGACCTGAGGGCAAAAGGGCATGAAGAGGGGAACTCCTGGGTGATGGGACTGTTTTATATCTTGATTGAGGTGGGGTTACATTTTTCAAAACTCAATTTCTACACTGATAATGGGTGCATTGTATGTTATACTGAGGAATAAAGTGGATTTAAAAAAAAATCTTGTGCTCTGTCCCCTAAATCACACTGCCTCTTTCCCTAGCTCTACCCTAAATCACACACTCCACCCACAGGCCCAGGGGACGGCAGGCCTACACTCTCCCAATGAGAGGAGGGAGCCGGCAAAACAAGGTCAAGCATGGCAGCCCGAGGTCGAGGAGGACAGAACAGCCTGCTGGTAGATCAAGCTATTTAACCTTCTGACCCTTGTTTTCGCAGCTGTAGAAGGAAGATCAGAAAACAGGGTTGTCGCCCCCGACTCTTGCCCACGTGCCACTGTAGGTGTGTTTCACCTTTGCCAGTGTTTCATATAAAGAGAATCATAGAGTAGGTACTCTCTGAGGTCTGATTTATTCAATTTTTTTTATTCATCCACGTTGATTCATTTTCATTGTGCTGTTCTTCATTGCTGAGTGGTATTCCAGTGTAAGGATACACTGCCGTTTATTTACCCTGTTCACCTGTTGGACATTTCAGTAGTTTCCCAGCTGGGACTATTCAGTAGTTTCCAGTGAACAGAACTGCTGTCAACATTGTGTACACACATCTTTGTGTGTATCTGCTTCTTTTCTATTGGGTAAATACCCAGGAATGAGATGACTGGGTCATATGATAAGGGTACTTTATTTATTTTTAACTATTTTTTTTTGAGATAGAGAAGGAGAGAAACATTGATGTGAGAGAGAAACATCAATTGGTTGCTTCTCATATACTCCTCGACGGGGGACCAAATCCACAACCCAGGCATGTGCCCTGACCAGGAATCGAACCGGTGAGCTTTCACTTCGCAGGATGATGCCC